GGGGGGGCGGCCTCTGGGGCATCTCCCTGGCGCTAGGGCCTGCTAGCTGTAGCCGGCTCCAGCCCGGTGGAACTCAAGATGGAATGTCCATTTTGGGTGATGCAAGGTCTCTGATCCTCACTGCGTTGCCGGCAGTGGAAGAACGCACGTATTTGCTCGCCTGTGCCCGATCTCGATCCCCGCGAGGGCGTGGCCATCATCGAGATTTGGTCCCCCACATTGAGGGTCACTGTGGGTATCGCGGCAGGGCGAGATCGGCAGTTCAGACCTCTCCGGCTTCCCGACTCGGCGCGAGCTTCTGCCTCCATCAGCGGCCCTCCCCTTCGGCTCTTATAGGACCCCGCGGGCAGTAGACTTGACCACTAGGCCGAAGCGAGTATCTGCCCCGGTCTCCCACAACGACCTCTCACCGCCAGCGCATCAAGACCACAAGCATAGAGCCATGTCACAACCTGTATTATATCTCGCACATTGTAGCAGTGGTGTCCTACATGATATTTGCCATACGTTACGATATCACTTTGGCATTCCACTCGACGCCCTTCTATGATGGCAAAGCAAAAGTAGAAAACATAGCAACAGTTTCTAGCTTACATCGGGCTCTCGCCCAGCTCCATGTCGTCGTCGTCGTCGTCATCATCATCATCGTCGTCGCCGTCCTCCTCCTCCCCCTCCTCCCCGTCGCCGCCGCCGCCAACCGCGTCCATTCTCTCGACGAACTCGTCCTGAACTCCCTTGAGGAGAGCACAGGACGAGTCGTCGGCGCCGAGCTGAAGAAGGACCTCCTTCAAGTTGCCCACAAGGGCCCGACGCCGAAGGGCCGCGTCACCCCCACTGGCCTCGGCCCGCGCCTCGGCCTCGGCCCGAAACTTGTCGGCGACGACCTGGGCCAGGCCCAGGAAAGGCTTGGGGCAACCCACAGCCTTGGCCAGCTGGAGGCCATAGTCGCCCTGGGCGACCGGACCCTCGGCCACAGTGTGGAGCATTTTGAGCTCCGGCCTCGCGGCCTCACCGTGGCCGACGGTCCGCACCTCCGTTCGGAGGTGCTGGTTCACCACACGCGGCATCCCTTGCATGATCTCGGCTAACACCAAGTACAGAATCAGTATATTGATACAATAATATTATTTACATGGGCGTCTAGGTCGTTGAGCGGAGGTGCTGACCCAGCTCGTGAAAGTGCGTGGCAAAAAAGACGCACGCCCCGCTCGCCAGCAGTTCTTCCGCCATCGCGATCGCCATCGCGAGGCCGTCCTGGGTGCTGGTGCCACGGCCCAGCTCGTCGACGACGACGAGGCTCTTGTTGTCGGCGTTGCTATGACTTGTTAGTGTGCCGATCGATCAGGGGGTATGTGTGATCCCAGGGATTGTCACATACCGGAGGATGAAGGCCATCTCCCTCATTTCCTGGGAGAATGCCGACACATTCTCCTCCATGCAGTCGTCCTTGATCATGCGGGTGAAGACCTTCTTCACCATGGGGATGGTGGCGGTCTGGGCCGGCACGAAGCTGCCAATCTGGGCCATGATCTGGATCACGGCGGCGGTCTTGATGAAGGTGCTCTTGCCGCTCATGTTGGCTCCTGTCAGCACCTGGAAGGTGTACCCGGGCGAGGCGTAGACGTCGTAGGGTACGAAATTGTCGACGCACTACAACAGCGACAGGAAAGGCAGATTAGCAACGTGTCCTCGAAGTAATTTGTATCCACGTGGTCGGGGCCGTAGGAAACGGTGTAGATACCTTCTCCACGAGCGGATGCCGGGCCTTCTTGAGCGCCATGGTGGTTGAGATCTCGGGCCGGCAATAGTCGTTGGCGGTGACAACATGGGCCAGGCTCGCCAGCATGTCCAGATATCCAACCGCCTGGCAGAGGCGGGTCAGCGCTGGGATCTCCGTGCGGAGCTCATGGGCGAGCATGCCGATTGCCTTGGCTCCTCTCATCAGAGTCTCGTCCTCGGCTGCTTTGATGTCCCGGTTGAGCTTTTCAAGCTCGATGGTCTGACACTCGCAGTGAGTCCTCTTGGGGACGACATTGATGAGGAGATCGGGATGCGCGAGATTGGCCTCGATGTAGTCGCTAGCCAGGAACCGAAGGTAGTAGCCGCGAGAGCTGTCGAACTTGATCTCACTGACAAGGTTGTGCTCGGCTAGTCGACAGGGCAGGTTAGATCATGGCTGAAGGAGAGCATTTGAGGGAATTCAGGCAAAAATGGGAACTGCTTACCATTGAACTCGCTGACGTGCTTATGAACATTGTCCTGCTGCTCTGCGAACGCTTGTCGGGCCAGGTCTAGCATGGGGTTGAGGCCGGCCTGGGGGAGCGCCTGGGGTCAGCTCTGCGTTCAAGCTTGATGCTGGGAAACAGCATCGAGAGTGTGGCTCTCTTCAAATCCTACCTTGATTGCGTAGATGGTCTGGGCTCTACGTTCCAGAGGTGTTTGGGAGAACAGCGCGTCCTTATCGACGTGCTTGTCAATGATGTCAAGAATCTTCTGCGTGATCTCTGGGAGACACTGCGCCTGGACCTTGATCAAGACATCACACTTTGCCAAATTCAGAGCGTCGTGGAGTGCTGGGATTGCTGCAACAAACTGCTTGATCTGGAGAATGCAGTTGATCATGCTCTTTTGCTCGTGGGTCATGGCAAGGTCCTCGTCATTGTCAATGCGGATGAAGATGAGCTACAAAATATAGGTCAGTAAGTGCTTCGTGTGGCGGGAGTGGAACCGGGCCAGCAGAGAAAGAAAGCTCCGGCAACTTACTTGAGAAACAACCTTGTCAATGTCCGGGAGCCGTTTCAAGGCTGCGAAAGGCAAACAACGAGTTAGTTAATGTTCACAACAAGGAAGGAGGCTGGGAGAGCAACGGGAACACACCATTTCGAACGTCATAGAACAGACCCTGGAACTCTGAGAGCTCCTTGACTGCATTCTGCCTGGGTTCGATAAGCTTACGCTTGGTGGATGGCTGAAGAATAGAACTCCTGAGGTAGCGGGCTCCCATCGGGGTGAGAGTGTGGTTGAGAAGTCCGAACAGCGAGTTCCGCGATCGGGCATTCTGTGCGTTCTGCAGAAGCTCCAGGCTATGGATCGAAGAAACATCGATCATCATTGTGTCATCCGCCGGCTCGTACTGGATGGCCACGCTGTTGGGCGCGATCCTGACGCGGGCTTCGCTCTCGACATATTTGAATGCCTGTGCGAACATTGTCAGACGTTAAAATGTTCCTCGGTTTAAAAAATAGATGGATGGCTTGTTGACCTGGGAGGTCGTCTAGGCGGGGACGAGTTAACTTACCGCGGCGAGAGAACAGAGTGAGAAGAATTTTCCCTCGACAGAAACCTTCAGGGCCTCGATGTCTTCTAGAAAAGCCAATTTGTCGATGTAGTCGCGGCCGATCTCCTCAGTCCAGTATCGACGGGGCAGAGGCACCATGCTGGCTCCAACTATCTCCTCTTCGAGCACGCCACACAGCATCGACTTCTCAGGAGCGACATTGCTGGAGATGACGAGAATATGGCTGGGCTCATGTACTCGTATCTTGTGGATGGTGTGGACGTAGCACTGAGTGTCTGAGATTTGACACAGTGTAGCTTTGCCAAGCTCGATGTCGATGATGGCAATGCCAACTGGAGGGGCGACTCCACGGGCCTCGGCGACAGCGCAGATGATGGTGCGTCCCTCGTAGCCGGCGAAAGAGGTGGCAGCTCTGGACTGGCTCCTGGCGTTGGTGACAGGTCCGGCAAGCGCCAGCCGCATAGTCGGGAGGCGAGGAGGGGAAAAGCCACGAGTGATCGAGCGTGCTCTCGTGATGGCTCTGCGGTCCCCTCCCGCCATAACCATCGACGGGCCCGTCAAGGGTCTGAGCACAGGAGGATATCCACGGCCGAGCGAGCGTGCGTCGATGGGAGTGGAACTGATGTCTAGGCGGAAAATTGACTCTGAGCCTGCTGAAGCCTCATCATCCTGCAAATCGCCGTTGAAGCTCTCTGTGAATGTGGGGATGGCTCTCGCTCGGCCTCTCCGAATCTCACCCCTGGAGGCAGACTGTGAGCTCGAAGAGGGAATGTCGATCGGAGCGCTTCGTGTTATGGAGATATTCTCAGAAGGCGTCGTGCCATCACCTGACTGGTTGGAGGAGGACATCTTGAAGGAAGCGGAGGTACCGTGTGAAGCTTTGAATCTTGACAGGCAAAGGAGGCTTGAATGAACCGGGTCTTCTTCTGACTTTGAGCAGTGGTCTTGAAGACGATTCCAGTATGCTCGGTACAAGGCCGGTTTCCTTTCCTGCTCTTGTCGACAGTGGAATGGCGGGTAGGGCTTGTAAAGTAGAACGGGAAGGAATAATGAAAAATGATTTTGGGTCCTGAAGAAAGAAGTATCGCAGAGGTATTTTCAGCGAGGAGGTATCGTCAACGAGGAAGTGCCGGAACAGCTTTGGATGATTGTAGGCACGGAAAGAAAAGAACGACGACGAGACCTGGTGTACGAAAAGACTCGAGAAGGCATGCGATGCGCAGCTGGATCTCTGTGCTCAAGATATCAACGAAGCGACGCGTGCAGATGCGGCGTCGGGAAGACGATGGCTGTTGCAAGAGAGAGGCAGACGTCAAGCGAGGCTCGGGTCTCGCGGGCGAAGAGAAGAAACTTTTTTTCTGCTGGGAGACTTCTTCTACCAGCCAGAGATCGGCTCGTCTCTTTTGGCGGGCCAGTCAGGCGCAAAAAGTCGAAGCTGTTGCGTCACAAAAGGAAGGAGCGAGGGCAGCCCACCTTCCTCATGGAATGACTGTAGGGTTAAAGGAGGGGCGCCACCATATCCAGACCGCTCGCATCTTACACAGATAATACTGGAGGAATCACTCGAGCGCTGGTGCTGTAGCATACACGGCAGGGATTGTTCGAGAATTTGCCTTGGGATGTTATTTTGACGTTTTATGGATTCATAGTGAACTGAGGAAGAAACCAATTAATTACGCCCTGCTGCGCATGCAATCCCTATCTTCAGTATGGGCTTGTGTACTTGCTCCCTCAATTGTGTTGAAACAGCAAACATGGGCTGTTAGACGCCTGCTGGAGACCTCTACCTGCTGCCACCCATCGACGCGCAGAGCAGTGTGCTTTCTTCTCCACATGAATTCCTGGGGAACCCAAGAGCTCCAGCTCATGGAAACATCAAAAGGACCACATATTCTCGAAGTTTGCCTTGATATATAGCTGTGGATATGAATCTGGCCAGTGGTGTATGGATCGTGGGGCTCCCGGGCTGTCTGTGCTGATCGTACACATGTACTGGCCCTTTACATCTGGAAGCTCCGTAGTTATTTCACTGCCAGCGGGCCTCTGGGCTTCATTGGGATCTCCATATTCCTCGATCTCTCGAGGCCCTAGTGGTCATTTCGTCTCAAGCCTCTGCGGCCTCAGACCCGCATCTACATTGGCGGGCGAATACTGGACTGGAGAGGAACAATCTCGAGAACACAACATACAGTGCCATGGGATTGAAGTGGGAGAGATCAACTGTCAAGGAAAGTGAAGAGCCTAGCTATGCTCAGATTAAGTACGGTGACTAGTCTTCCAATAAGTGAGATCGCAAGTCCCCCAAACCCAGCCAGACTCGCCGAGATTGCAGCCAGCACTGAAACTCCTATACTCCCGTACGATTCCCGCACTTGAATTTGTGTTGAAGGACAAAATGGTCGAGATGCTAGGTACTCTGAAACTGCTTCACTGAGCAAGAAACTCCGTTGTAGAATGGTGTGGGAGCAAGGCAGCAGTCTTTCTATGAATGGCTAGAAACATCAGAATTATGAGCTCAAATTGACGGGTGCGTCCTTCATGTCGACATCCTGACCCGGCGCTTCATTCCCCTTCTCCCGCTCCCTTTCTCTCATCAGGAGCTCTCGTAGCTAGTCTCGACGGTCCGTGGGGCCCTCGTCGAAGAGTGTTGTGTGCTCGCCCATTTCTAGGAGTCTCGGTCTGATGTGACCACCGTCTGTGGGGATCGCAGGTTGTTGAGCAGCGTCGCCAGCACGTCCTGCGGAACCGATGGCCTTGGCGATGAAGCTGAAGGTGTTGTTGGCCGCCCGTCGGATGCCCTTCTTGTGCGCCTTGAGCATGTCGAGCAGCTCGAAGCAGATGCGCATCCACTCCCGCGTGTTGAGCAAGAGCAGATGCGCATCCACTCGCGCGCGTTGACCGACTCGGGCCCGCAGACTTCGTCTTTTTGGTTTGGCGGAAGCGGTCGCCGGACGGCCTTGCCTTCCTCGGGTTTCCAGTTAGCACACGTCGCGCATTCGGAGGAAGTGGAAATGCTTACCATGTGTAGACCAAGACCACGTGATGTCCCGAGTCACAGGGGCTCAAAGACCCAACCCGCGCTGCGGCGGTGACGGGACTTCCTAGGGGCGCGAGCCCCCAGGAAGTCCGGCTCGAAAGAAAAGGAAGAAGAAGAAAGAGAGACTTGGAGGGACGAGGGAGGAAAGACCACCATTATATACCCCGGGGCGAGGCAGAGACCCACAATTTCCAGAGGGCAGACCCCCTGCTGGCTGCATAGTAACGCACGAAAGACGCGTGGCGAACGGGCCAGAAGCTCCGAGGAGCAGCACCTTGGCGGCCGGCGCTGTGGGCCTAGACATGGATATAGATGTGAATAGAACGCTCCGGAAGAGATCGAGGGCACCTTGTTGGTTCCCAGGGCTCGAAAGATCAGGCCACTTTGCTCCGGCTGGCTGCGGCCTCGACGGGGTGCGGCGTTTCCCGTGGTTTGAATAGAGGTTGAGGAAGGCACGATGCCACTCAAGACCGGGCGGCGCCGCCCTGCAACACGCCTGGGCCAAGTGCCGCGGGCAGCAGAGCACGTCGGAGCTCTGGGCTTGGCCCTCCCGCTTTTCCCAGAGACTGATGGCCCTTAGGTGCCGACCACTTGGAGGTTGCGCCTGCCTGCTCAAGCTTCTTCTGCTGGGCTGAGGGCGATGTGAAGTTCCCGTCCGCTCTGCGAGAGAGGCCTGGATCTTCCTGCACCAGGGCAGTGGGGGGCGTTTCACAGCCCGGGCTTAGACAACACCACTTGATCCCCACGGCGAACTATCAGGTATATTTTTCACCTAGAAATAAATCGTTTGTAGGTATTGTGTGCCTTGTTGCGATGTTTGCGGCAGCATGTGCTGGCATGGTCGGCGGGGAGCCTGAACGAGCAAGACTTGCACAGTACCACCACTGCCGTGAGCCCTGGCTGCACAGAGAAAGGTGGGGCAATCTCTAACATGTTAGGGTTCCTGATGATGCGACGCTGAAGTTGACAAATCTAGATGTCAAAGGTGGTTGTTGGCGGTGGATATTTTGTGTGCCGCTCCTGCATATAAGGGCTTCTTTCTGCTAAATGCCTCCAGTTCGTTTATAGAAAGTCTTGTTGACACAAGCAGGAAGAGCAAACAGCTCGAAGCCACCTGATCAAGCCCAGCAGCCGGCGGCGAGCTAGCGTAAACCGTCCAGCGATGCCGGTCATCAATGTTTCTTTCGTGCCGTTGACACGAATCCAGCTGCTTCAGCCGCAGCCCATGACACACACGACACACTCTTGAATGGCAAGAAAGATGAGGATTATTATTTGGCTTTACTATCATTTCTCGTTCTTTCCTCTTGTCCCCTTGTACTATGTATGCGCCGGGTCCTGATCTCATTTCCCGTCATGAGGACCAGCATGCCCAACACAAACCCCCATTGCCGACACTCCTACAGCTCGCAGGACCAGTTGTCCGGGTTCTTGAAGTTCCCTCCAGCGCCGCCCTTGAACACGTTGCGCAGCGGGTACCTGCAGTGCCTGCGCTTGTAGTCCACGGCGCCGTTGGTGACGGCGCTGCCCGTGATGGTGTCGGGCGCGACGCCCTCCTCGACCCAGCGCACGGTGGCCCACAGCACGTTCTCGTCCGGGCCCGTGCTCGGGCCCGCGCCGTTGAGTATGTCGCTCGCGCCGGTGCCTCCAGTGCAGTGGGCCAAGCCCGAGACGCGGAAGTAGCGGTAGAACCTGTCCAGCTCTCCCGTGGCGGCGCCCATGGTGCGGGCGACGTGGTCGTAGTAGCGCGCGCTGATGGTGCTCGTGATGAGCGGGTCCTGCAGGCCGTGGTAGTGCAGGATCTTGGCGCCGCGGTCGCGCACGGCCGACAGGTCGCCCTTCCACGTCGAGATGCCCGTGAAGTCGGCCGCCTCGGAGGCCTCGTAGTCGCGCGGGCCCAGCTGGGCCGGGTCGAAGGTCACGTTGGTGCCCCGGTACACGGCGTACTTGAACCACTGCTCCGAGTAGATGAAGGGCTGGCCCGTCAGGTAGATGCCCGCAAAGGCCGGGAAGTCGGCGCCGTACTGCAGCTGCGGGTACACGAGGTTGCCGCTCAGCCCGTGGATGGGGCTGAAGACCTTGCGCACCGTCTCGGCCTGTCGGCCCGTCAGGCAGGTCGCCGGGTTGGCCCGGGGCGAGCCGCAGATGAGGTTCTCCGGGCGGTAGATGCACTGGTCCGGGTCCTCGAGGATGCCGTCGGCCGCCCCGTCGAGGCCGTCGCAGGTCGCGACGATGTCGGCGTGCACGGCGCCCCACTGGTCAAAGGTCAGGAACTCGGGCGAGCCAGGCCTGCCGGCGACGGTGTAGAAGTAGCCGGACCAGGAGGTCAGGTTGTTGAAGGAGAAGGCGGGGGCGCCGGCGACGATGCCGTCAAAGTCCTCGGGGAAATCCTGCGCCATCTTAAATCCCTGTCGGCCGCCGGTGGAGCAGCCAAGGTAGTAACTCTTGGCGTGCGGGCGGCCGTAGAAGTCGGCAACGAGCTGCTTCCCAAGCACGACACCGCCATGGACGGAGCGCCAGGAGAAGTCCTCGATGACTCCCTTGTCATAGCCAAACGCTTCTCCCGAGGTACCGTTGTGGCCGTTGTTTCCAGCGACGACGGCGAAGCCCCTGGTCGTGCCATAGGCCAGTGTGTCGTACCCGATGCAGCCACCAAGACCGCCATTGCCGGCGCTCAGGAACCGGCCGCCGGTCCAGTTGGACGGCAACCAGACCTCGTAGCTGACGTTGGATCGTTCTGAAGTCTCCTGGAGCAGCGAGACGCGGCAGACCTCAGCCGGCGCAACCTGGAACGACGGGCCGCAGTCGGGAGGGTTGTAGGGCAGGCTGATGTTGGTGCCCGCCGCGACCGCCTCTGCGAACCAGATGGTGGTATTGGGCAGCGAGATCTTGCTGGCGAGTGCGGCGCACTTGGTGCTGAACGTCTCGCACTTCACTGCCGCCACGAGGGGCACCGCTGCCGCCAGCCAGAATATGTTGGAGGTCTTCATCTTGATCCGCAGCCGTGAGGTTCTTCCTTGGATCCAAGGACCACGCCGGAAAACGAGAGTCAGGGGCTGGTGTGAGGGCCATCATCTGATCCCAGGACAAAACAATAGGACGGCGCCCATCTTTATGTACGCGTGGCTACTGGTTCTTGCCCAGGCGAGCGACCTGCGCAGTGTGGGCAGGAGGTTACATTTGGTCAATCTCCGGCTACCCCATAATCTCGTCATCCATGTCATCGATGCTAGTCTATACCCAGCGCGGGGTTGCACCGGGCCCAGCTGCCGTGCCCCAGTCGCGTGACTCGCCAACGAGGGGGAAAGTTGTGATGAGCAAATCCCTCGGCACACTCTGCAGGCACATGGCGGCACACTCTGCAGGCACATGGCTCGGCCACTATGAGTTCAGGGGCAGTCCTCGTGCCATCATACGGACGGGCGGTCAAGGTTGCTTCCTCCCGAGTGTCTTACTGCAGGCGTAGCACGGAACGTATGTAACCCCGGAGCCGCGACGTGTGTGGAATCCCATTAAGACGCCCACAGACATCGGCACAGCATCTGCCCGTCGATTTGCCGATGTGGGAGAACGCTGCCGAACCCCAGGAGGGGGGCCCTGATTTCCCCGCATCGCCCCGCTCAGACGAAGGAGAACCATCGCCGCTGCGACAGCCCCGGAAAGGCGTGGAAGCTCACCTTTGACCGCATCTCGCATGGAACAATCAGGGATGCCATGGGTGCAATGCGATCGAATCAGGCGCCGTACCACACCACCCATGCTGCAATTGAGGTTTTCAATTGGCTTGCCCGTATTCTCGCGGCCCAATACGACCTGGAACGGACCGGTTGGGATCGGGAAACGAGCACGCCGGTCAATGTGATTCAGTGGCAGAATGCTATGGCAACTCTTGACCTGTTTTGTTTAGTAATGATATGTAAGTGCGCCTAGTCTCATGTCCCTGGCACTGCGTTTGTCTCTGCATCATGTGTAGCGCTGGGATATGGTTTGCCCACGGTTCCTCGGCAGGATTGGCGAGCCGTTTCTCACGAAAATTATGTGGCAATCCAAAATCACAACGAATGGCATGATCGCGAGGCATTTCCGGAGCTTGCATTCACTGCTGTTATGGAAGGTCTCTTGTCGAGGATCAGGGCTAAGACCGTCCTCGCACCCGGTGGGAAAAAAAAAAAAGAAAACCATAGAACATCTGCGCCCGATGCATCCAGAGACAGTGACAGAACCTCCGCAGACACCCTGTGAGGTGAGATGGACCCGAATGTCTGTCATTCACAGAGTATAAAAAACCTCCGCTGGCACCCTGTCAACGAGAAGGGCGTTCGTTGGGACCAGTCGCATAGACAAACACCAAAAAAAATATCCCTCCAGCCGCCAACATCCTTGTAATTCCAGAAGGATCGCCGGCCAAAACAAGTCAAGGGAGTGCCTGACACTGGCTACGGCCATTCCTGTGCCGGCGCCATGGTGTTAGCTGGGACGTTCAGGACACCATCTGCCAATGGGAGTGTAGGGAAACGTCGGCACTTACCCCCACAGCGCTGCCTCTGGCTTTGGCATTCTTGGCACATGAACCGCTGATAGATCAGGACGTGGCTCAATTGGTCTATCTGCTTCCGCTGTGGGCGAATACTCGCTGTGTCCTCGAATCGACGTAGGAAGACAACTAGTGCGTGGGTGAATTGGACCCTGGTGCTCGAGATATTGGGGTTAGCTAGGAGAACAAGTGAAGACCTTTGCGGGTGCAGGGACGCGAACTTACAAGGCTCTGACGAGAGCGGGCACTGGGCCGTCGGGATGGAGTGATGTCTCGGTCGGTATGCCGAGTAGGCCTCGAGTGGGGAAGGCATAGGGATTGCCATCCAGCGCCAGCGGCAAAGGCAGGTTGACGGGACTTCCTGGGGGCAAGGCTTTGGGAAGCTGGTGTAGATCTGGCTCCAGGAGGCGTGGCCGGGAAGCAGACTTGAGCGACAGTGCTCGGGTTGCTGGATGGACTGGCAGGCTGGAGACGCAGGCTGGAGACGCAGGCTAGAGACACAGGCTGGGCGGACAGACTAGTTTGTTGGGCGGCAGGCCGACCCGCGGCCCCTCGGCCCTTGGCCGCGGGCCCATGCTGAGGTTGATATCCCCCCGGGGGCAGAGTGGGTTCTTGTTCGGATCGTGCTGGTCCCTGCCCCCAGGAGGAAAGGGCCTGCCGCCCAACGGGCTCATGCTGAGGTTGATATCCTCCCGGGGGCTGAGCGGGCTCTTGTTCGGATCATCGCTGGTGATGCCCGCCCGCCCCCGGGAGGAAAAAGGAAGAGTTTGTTTGTGTTGTGAAGAGAGAGGGCCCCCCCCCCCAAAAAAGATATTGAGTAAGAATACTCAATAAGATGAAGAGGTGACCGATGATGGAAGATGGCTCAAGTTTGAAGACGACGAGCGGGGGAATGTTTGGGTTTAAATAGGCCGAGAGGGCAGTTGGAGGACGGAGAGAGAGCTCCGGCAGAGAACGGCCACGTCAGCCACCACCAGTAGGCAGCAACAATGCGCGGGGGCTTGGGGCAACAGAGGAAGGAACTCTGGGCCATATGGGGACAGAGATAAGTAAGGGAACAGGCAGGGCTGGTCCTCAAGTGTGGGAGGCATGTGACAAAGCTTCCACGTGGGTCATGCCACTCAGGTACCACATCACACTAGAGGGCGTGGAGCAGTACATCTTGCGGCGCACCCACCTCTCTGATCGGTCCTTAAGTGCGTAAGTACCTCTAGGCATCTATCGAGGAAGCGCCCTCCCTGCCCGATCTAGACAGTGTTTCGTGCAGGCAGCGATAATCACACGATAGCCAGGCAGCAGCAGATGGGCAGAGCCGTGCTTGGGCTCCAGATGACGAATCCTAACTCCTGCGGCTTGCATGAAGCTTCGGTTGCTCTGTCCATCTCGCTGTTAAGGCCGGAAGACCCGGCGCAACCTATGACAGCGACGCCTCGGCTGCCTGGAGGCACGGAGCAGAAGCTCCCATAGCTCCGGAACATGAGCGAGTCGTGCCTTCTTTGTCAACGCTTGCGTCACCATGCTAATGCTCGGCTATGGGAAGTGAGTGAGACTGCATCCATGAGGAGAGCTCCCCGCAAGGAAGGAGGTCAGAGAAGCCATTTCCTTTGGGAAGCTACAGACACCTGCGTGCCTGAGGCAGCCCAGCGTCCGACATGTATCCATCCGGATCTTGGGCGTCTAGTCTGGAGATGAGAGCCTTGACCCACACTCCGCTCGTGGAGGTAGGGCGCCATAGCACCTTCCCACAGTAGCTACAGCGAGCAGGCGAAACCTAAGGGCAGGATGACGGGGTCCAGGCAGCCAGTGCTAGAAGTAGACAGATCGGACGCAAGGGCCCAGGCCAGACCCCTGCGACCTGGTGGGTACCGATGTCCATCAGGGTCTGCTCCTATGATCTGTGCAAAAACACGCGCTCAACCGCTCCGCCGGGTACTAGCTAAGGTGCCTACTAAATGTGGGACCTTGGCGAGGCCGCTGATGTCAAGAGCCCACACCGCCAGGCGCCCAGCTGCCCAAGCGGCAGGGTCTCGTGGGCTTGCATGGTGAATGCCGGCAGAATAACGACAGCGTCCCGCCACGTTTACAGGCCATGATAGCGATAACGAGACGGTCGATAATGAGAGCAAAGGTTTATAGGCCGCTTGGGGCCACATCACACGCCGCGCTTGAATGCCTGGCTTTCTAGCAGTCAAAGCTGGAAGAGCCGGGGGGGAGAAGAAAGCATGCATAATGATGCCAGCTGCGGGCCTGCAGTGGCAGTCATCCTTCTCCTGGTGTCCTTGATCAGCGACAAGGCACCCTATCGGGAGACATCTCCACACGGTGACTGCCAAGCCTGACAAGGTGAAACTACTTGATAGGTACCTACCATGCGTATGAGCGGCTGGGGCGAAGCACGAGCAGCCAGAGCCATAGCTTTTGGCATCACCACGGCGTCGCTCCAAGAATAGGCAATGTCGTCGTCGCACATGGATATCTGCTAGAGGAATATATTCTAGAGACTCAATCCAACCTACTCTGTCGCTAACCACTTCAGCGGCGCCCCTGGAGTAATTGCATGAGAGTGGGTAGGAAGCTCAAGGCATATATCCCTTTGTAACGCTCATCCAAGAAACAACGCTTTGCTTGCGGAGAGCACCCCTGCCTTGTTGAATTCTTTCTTTAGGTGCCGCGGGTTAATGCGGCGCCTAAAATAGCTGAAGCCCCGTTGATGGACCCCGGCAAGACCAGGGCCATGGCTATTAATGTGTCCGTGCAGCGATGTTTCGTGTTTCGACTGTTGCGGCACGCATCGGGCCGATGGATGGTGCAGGGCAAAAAAATAGAGTAGTCAGCTCAGCCAAGGTGGGCGAACACCTCAGACAAGGTGGAAGCTTAAAAAATTCCCCAATTAGGCTAGACGACACATTTTTTCTCCCACCTTGGCTGAGGTCTAGGTGTCCACTTTTCCCCACCTTGTCTAAGGTGTTCGCCCGCGCTCATCCCCTCAGGAGGTGCGCCTATATAAAGGCGCGCCGTCCAACCCAGAGATATTGTCACATTTTCCCTCCTCCACCACCAACCAGTGTCTTCTCAATTGCACCATTTCCTTTTGTCTTTTTCCTTTTCCTTTTTCTTTTTCCTATTTGTCGTCTCTTTCCCCCCTTTACCTCTCTTCTTTCTCCTCCAAGATGCACTTCACCACGTCAACCATCGTCAAGGCCGTCCTGACCGTCTCGCTCGCCAGCCAGATCGCCGCCCTGCCCGCCCCACAGGCGCTGACGGACGAATTGCAAGCCCGAGCCGTTGGGCCCCAGGAGCCCAAGATCCTACCCCGTATCCGCAGCGGATGTCTCCCGGGCGGGAGGGGTTGTGCGGCCAGGGAGGTCTCCATTACCGACCCTATCATCTCGACCAAGCCGCGCAAGGGGGGCGCCCGTGCCATTAAGCGCGATGTTGCGCCCCAGGAGCCCAAGATCCTACCCCGTATGCGCAGCGGATGTCTCCCGGGCGGGGGGCGTTGCTCAGCCAGGCAGCCCTCCGTTATCGGCACTATCGTCCCGACCAAGCCCAAGGGGAACATCCGTTTTCTCAAGCGCGATGTTGCGCCCCAGGAGCCCAAGATCCTACCCCGTATCCGCAGCGGATGTCTCCCGGGCGGGAGGGGTTGTGCGGCCAGGGAGGTCTCCATTACCGACCCCATCATTTCGACCAAGCCCAGGGGGAACGCCCGTACTCTTAAGCGCGATGTTGCGCCTTAGGCTGCCGAGCCCCATGTTCACGCCCGAGCCCCCTACGCTCCCGGGTGTCTCCCGGGCCCGACTGATTGCTAGAAGGCGGGTAGGGCCAAGAATGCGGGGAGCATCAAGCCTGACACCAAGCCGGTCAGGCAAGGCCGGTTTTAAGCGCGACATTGCTCCGCAGCACTGCCGCTGAGTAGGAGCCGGAGGAGGCGAAAAGATCCGTCCTTGCTCAGAAGTTTATATCCTACGCCTTGCCGAGTTTGGTCGCCCACGAGGGTCGAAGTGGGAAGCACCGCGCGCTCGAGACCCGTGGTCCGTAAAGATCCCGTTTTGGTAGGAGGGATTGGAGAGGTTGAAGTTTGTCTGGGTACGCGTTTTTATTTCTATTTTTCGTCCGCGATATTTTGGTCAGCGAATCTCACGTATCACATTGCGGGCTCCTAGCGTCTCATAAAGAAAATACGATATGCGTGTTAGGCCAACTGAGTGATACCCTGCCAAAAGTAAAATGATATATAACGCGTGTGTAATGCGCGGTGTTGGAGCAGTTTTGAGCGTTTAGTATCCGGTGCTACCCCCCACATCAGCAAGCGCTAGCGACACTTTCTCCGATAGGAAGAGGGGCGACGGGTGCTGTTATGACGCGGTGTGCTGCGCGGGTTGTCGAGGTCTGACTGTTAATATACGGCGCGGGCGAGTATCGGACACGGGAGTGGCATCGAGATATCGAGTGGTTGATCCAGGAAAACACCGTGCACCCGGAGCCGGTGTCAGAAGAGGGGGGGCTGCAATGCTTTCATCGGCCACAAGGGGGAGTTGTCGCGTGCATGGAGCAGGCTGAGGCCAGAAAGCCGCCCTACCACCAAGCAAAGAAAGCGCTGGTGCATTCCTAGTCCCCTCACGCGTCTCCTCAGAGGCTCGTGTGTCTGGGGTGGGCAACCGGGGTGGATACGGCCTCCGCAGCTCGGGCCAGAAAATAGAGCCTGCACTCGCCAGGCGCGGGCCCTCGTCTTCTTACCTGGACTCTCCCGCCAGAGTCTCTGTGCTATTCTGCCCTCCTGACCCTGTGCTGCGGCTCCAGGTTCCATGGGCAGCGTCCAGAGCGCCGTTCTTCAACAATAACGCGAGTGGCCCAACGGTCAGGCGATCGGCTTGCTAGCTCTTGTCCTTGACAAAAGGGTGCTCAAGAGGCTAACGGTTCGAACCCTGTAGGTTGCCATTCTCCGGTGCGCTCACTGCGAACCGCACCGGCGAGGTCAAGTCTGCTCCTCTCCGACCCATTTGCTACAGTGCTGACTGTTTATGGATGAATATACGACGCAGGTAAGTGTTATCCGTCCCTTGACCTGTCCTCAGAGCTGGCAAGCCGGTCGCGCGTTCTTTTTGTATTTTTTTTTCTGCATTTTTATATCGGCGCTTTGCTGCGGCTGACGCAGCGGTACAGACGAATCCACGCCAAACAGGCTCAATGGTTGAATTGCAGACAACCGGACTTTCAGCAGGGGGCGGGGCCACAAATAGAACAGCGAGGTTGCATGCTGCTGTCAACGTGCCAGCGGACCAGACTTTGTCTTGCAGACCCTGGACGGCGCGCATCCCAGCACCCAAACTGGGCAACTGTCCGCCGCCGTCGATGGTCCGACTCCAATCGCGACGTCAGCCACGAAAGGCACCGCAGCGGCCCCGAGCCAACCTTGCGGCTTGGCGCCGGTCAGCTTACCCGCGCGTCTTGCATGGTGCTGGCTTGGGACCCATCCCCGGCTGGCAAGCGAAAAATGTGATAAAGAGCAGGTCGGAACCGTTGCAAGCAGAGGACCAGCTTCCCTTCGGCTCCTTTGATAGCCAATGCACCCTTGATAACAGCCCAACACACATCCAGCATGGCCCGCTTGAGCCCGTACCTCCTCTACGCCGCCGTAGCGGCCAGCTCCACTACGGCCGCCGTCATGCCCGACGGCACCACCGAGCCGCCGCCCGTGGTCCAGGCCGCGCCGGGGATTGAGTCGGTGCCCAACACCGCCACCACGGTGCAGTCCGTGCCGGCGCGCCCACCCCACGGGTACGCCGCCGAGGAGATGCAGAAGCGCGCCATCACGCAGATCCAGTTCTGGAAGGAGAGAAACTTTAGGGGCCAGTATGCCATCACGACGTTGGACCCGAAAGTCTGCTGTAAGCTCGGCCCCCCCCGCCCCTCTTGCGTGCTCTCCCGAATGTGCGTTCTGACCGTTGCATCTTCCCCGCCGCCCGCCATGCCAGACACGTTTGGAGGCCCCAGCTGGACGCAGTGGGACAAGGCCATCGTGGCGGTCAACATTGCGAGCAACGGCCCGTGCCGGTTTTACGAGTATGCCGCCCCTCTTTCCCGTCCAGTCATGGTTTTGATTCAAAAGTCCGCTGTGGCTGACTACCAGTCAGGGGTCACTATTGCGACGTCAACTCGCTCGGTCCGATTGAGTACGGGCGCCCAATCGAGGACCTCGGCGTCTACGGCTGGGCGAGGAGGGCCAGCTCCATCAGGTGCGATTGAGCCAGGGACCCAAAGCGAACCGAGTTAAAAGGGCGGCTTGCGCGCGGGACATGGGCGACATCACGCGGGCCGGAGAGGGGCCGGCAGGATACACGAGTTTTGCGAGGCACTGTTCCGTTGATATAGATTTGCCACAGAAACTTTCCACAATACCAACACCAAACAGAAAAAGATCCAATAGCGCTGCCATCCGACGTTGTTCGCCAACTCCGTCATGAAATACAGCGATTAAATCTTCCACATCTACCGGCAGCCATCGTCATTTAACGGTGGTTCGACTTGGGCCAGCCGGGACCGCCCCAGTGAGTAGGCCTGGGTTTGACCTCGGGGTTGGGTTTGCGTGTGCGTGAGACAAGGGGGCCAGCAGCAAGACTATGTTGTGGCTCAGCGCCCAAGCGTTTTCTTTGTGAATCTCTTCACATTCTTACAAAGAGGCACCATGCTTGGCCGTAGCTCGACAGATGTCATGCAGCGAGCGGGCAGAGCTCTTCATTCCATCACGTCGCCGAATGGCAACCCAGATTCATACAGCTCAGGACATGGCGCCACTAGAATGCTCACAAGAGTAAAGGCAGGCCAGAAAGAAATCGCTAGTTATTTTCCCACCCAGGCCCCAAAAACCCAAAAACCAAAACGCCGTACAATGCAAATCGTGATGCCAGGTAAAGAAGCACTGGCGTTAGAACTCCAGCGGCAGAAAGTCGACCCCCTACTTAAAACGCCAGACGCCGTTTCCTGCCTGTGTATTTGGAACTCGACTTAACCACTTTACCCTTGCGCTCCATCTGGTCCTTTTTCTTCATGATCCATGCCTTGCTGCCCTTCTTCATCTCCCCCCTCCCGGACTTCTGATTCCTCCTGGCGACGTCCATGACGTCGACGTTGTCCATTCCCTTGACCACGTCGGTGATGTCGCCGCCGCTGCCGTCGGCGGCGCTGCCACCGACCGTGAGCACTAGATAGACCTTCTTGTTCTTGGTGTCCGGGTCGTCCTCGAGCAGGCCGGCGCCGAAGCCGGCGCGCTTGGCGGCGCCGGCGATCATGTCGCGCTGGGTGTCGTTCTTGGGGTAGAACTGGCAGACGGCGCGGCCGCCGCGGCGGAGCGAGGCGTAGAGCCCGTTGAAGAAGCGCGTCAGGCGGCCCTGGGGCGACGTGTCGCTGCTCTCGGCGTTGCATAGCCACTGGATGGCGCTGATGCTAATAGCGGCGTCGAAGGTGCCGGCGCGGAACGGCACGCCCTGCCCGATGTCGGCCAGCATCAGATCGCCCTCGACGTCGCGCTGCAGCGCCACGTCCAGCATCGACGGGCTCACGTCCATGCCGACCCACGTGTGCGGCCCGCCGTCCTCGGGCAGCTCGGCCGTCAGCATCTCGCCCGACAGGCCGCTGCCGCAGCCGACGTCGAGGATCAGGCTAGGCGACTTGAGCTCGAGCAGCTCGAGGGCGCGCCGCGTCATTATCGCCTGGATGTTTTGGATGCGCGAGCTCGTCGTGTACTTGCGCGCCTCGGTGTCATCGTAGTGGACGTCGGCCGCGCTGGTCTCGGTGTTAGTGGAGGCGGGGTTAGCTGCGGCGGGGGAGGTTCACAGTCTTACAGGGTGTCCTCGGGCCGTGACATGGCTGCTGTGACGTCGTCTGGCGGTCGGCAACTCCGCGCCCGTGTCTAGAGTATTGTGGATGTGTTGGCGGCAGCCTCAGCCTTGAAGGAGCGTCACAATGGCTTGCCGTCGATATAGCAGGCTGTCTCGTGTGAGTTCCGCGTTCCGGGGTGAAAAAAAGGCGGTGTGATAAAATGGCAGGGCACAAAATAATGTAGCTTGGCAGCTTGCCCCTCAATTTGTCACATAGGAATTCCGAGCACAGACCACGAGCAGCCAGAAGCTCCACCACTGTGTATGGTACACACAAGCATTGACGCGATCTGCAACATGTCGACAAAGGGGCAAATTCGACACGTCACCAACAGCTCCTCTGAATATTTATCCTCGCCGCGCTGCAAATAACCGCAGTCATCAGCATGCTATCATCGCCAACATCCTAATTCCACTCCCTGCCGCGCATCGGCGCACCGATCGTCAAGATGTGGATTCTTCCACTCGTCGGATACCTCGGGTCCGTCCTGGGGTTCTGCTTCCTCACCCTCTCCATCGGTGCGCCTCCCTAAACCCGGCTCCCGGCGCGCCTTGCAGCTGGCTAATTGTTGATGCGACTCCTCCCGCAGCCTCTGGATTGTACTACCTTAGCGAGGTCGTCGAAGAACACACCGTGATCGCGAAACGACTACTCACCAAACTGATATACTCCATCATGGGCCTCCAACTCGTGCTCTGCGTCGCGGACGGATTCCCCTTCGGCCTGACCCTTCTGGGCATATTCTCGCACTTCATATACCTAGGAAATATGCGGAGGTTCCCCTTCGTCAAGCTTACGGATCCGCTATTCCTGCTCTCGTGTGGTAGGTCCCCACGCTTGGGCACACACTCCCTGAGGGGCTTTCCCGGCGTCCACCTTGTCGCGCAGCTCGGACGTCGCGCGCACATGCTGACAGAAGCCTTCCCCCACAGTCCTCGTGCTAGTCAACCATTACGTCTGGTTCAGGCACTTCTCACACCGCCAGCAACAGGCCTACAGGACCATGACGTCGTACTACGATCACCCCGAAGGCGTCCCGACCTTCACCGAGATCGCGTCCTACTTCGGCCTCTGCGTCTGGCTCGTGCCATTCGCGCTCTTCATCAGCCTTTCGGCCAGCGACAATGTCCTCCCCACCATGGGCAGCGAGACGCCCCAGCTCGGCGGCTCCTCTCCGCTCTCGCCTAGCGGGGCTAGAGAGACGGCCAAGAGACGGGGCCAGGGCATGGCCAAGGCCGTGGTCGATAACGTCAGAGCAGGTATCGCCGAGGTTGGCTCGATGGCAGGCTGGAAGAGACCGGGGAATCGGTTCTAAGCGCGCTGCTTTTCCTTGTAAGTTCTGTTGGTTTTTTCTACACCGCTTCACGTCTGGAGAAACGGAGGTATTTGTCGCTACTAGTGCCTCCTCGATATGATGTTTTCCTTCAATTTATGCTAAGATAGTATCTGAAGAGCGCCTCTGGCGCTCCTATGATATGTCACCCCGGGCTGATTTCTCTACTTCAACTCGTCTTGTTCTTTGAGGTTTGAGATTCGCAAATGCTAACTTTGGAGAACACACAGATCTAGGCCACCTCCATAATGCTCTTTAATCAAACTTATTTTACCTTATGACCATTCTGCCTTTGCCCTGCCACCATTCACATGGCGGAACGGCTAGAGACCCTTACTAGAAGCAGGCCAGATGATGAGCAATGCCGTACGCATATCCCTGCGTTCAGTTATGCCCGCCCGTTCTACCATCGCAGAAAACATGCCACTTGAGTCAAGAATCCATCTTGAGAGCGCCTCGACCCGACAATCAGGTCTGACATCCATCCCTCCCTAGACATTCGTCCCTCTGCTCTGGGCGCTCCGCCAACCAAAGTTTGATCCACATCACAGGTCTGGGCGAATCACCTTAGTTCCACGACTAGGGGCCTCGGCAGGCAGCAGGGTGCATATTAATATTATAGGTCTAGTTTATCTCGCGTCGTCCTGGCTCGTATGACAGCCACCATGCCAACGCGCCTTTCGGGTCGAAGAACTGCTGGCCTAAGCGTCGCCCGCTTTTGAGCCCATCATCAGATGAAAGCTGTCGCACTATTATTCCCGGAGCCAATGCCTGGTGTTTGGGCCCGTGGGGGTCATACAGCACGTGGTCTTTCGGGCCGCCTCATTGTTTGCCTCGCGCATTCGTCTTATTGGCAGACATCGAAGTAAACACGGAATCCATGCGGGGTTCGCCCCTGAGCCTCGATTCGGATCTAGCGCCGTTTGTTTGCTTGGCAGACCCATGCGGGCTTCCCCACGACCCACCCCCTCACTTTTAACCTCGGTTAGGGTAGTATTTTCCTGGGGACGACACCAGACAACACCCCATAGCCACGGGCCCCCTCGCTGTCGGTAACGATCACCCCTTCCAATCGGCTGTCACGCCGACAATAGCTCCGCCAATGTAGCCTTGGCATGAAGAAGCAACTGCCTGTTCTGGGAGGTCGCAACTGGGTGGTGGATGAGGTTGGCCGACGCGAGATGACGATGGGGCTCTTCACCGTGTCGTGGATCTATAAGAGTGCGTGGTCACCGAGGCATACTCCCAGCTACGCATGACTTTCGAGGCTGCACCACGGAGGTCACCAGCGAAAGGTTCCTAGTCTCGGCAGCTAAGCCCGCAAGGAGACATGATGAGCTACCACCGCTTTCTCACTCTGGGTGCGGCGTTGCTTGCCCACTCGGCCATCGCCGCGGGCCTACCCCAGGCAACAGCGGCCGGTATCGACGCCGCCAGCCTGCTGATACTGACCAAGGCCGCCGATGCCCAAGTTCAGGCTGTCATCGATGGGAAGGCAGCCTCCCTCCTCGGCTCTCCCCGCGGACTCACGCGACAAGTCCGGCGACTTGTGACGCCGTTTGTTTGGGATCAGTCTAGCTATTACCACAACGAGACTCTGCTGTCTTACGCAGAAGACATGCTCGCAACCCTGATGGAGCGCCAGCATGCAGACGGCACATTCACCGTGGGGAACCGGCACTCTCCACCCGACACAGGCTTTTTGATCGAGGATTTCGGGGTTATGATCACCATGCTGGAAGCAGATGACCACGCCAGCAGCAAGAAGGTTGCCGAAACCATCCGCGCCCTGATGGCCAAGGCGGGCCCGGGTCTCGCCCACGGCGGCATGCACACTCCGAACCATCGCTGGAAGCTCTGCTCTGCCCTGGCGCGAATCACCCACGCTACGGGTAACAGCAGCTACGTATCCCGGATCGATGACTGGCTCGCCGAGGGCATCGACATTGACGCGGACGGCATTTATTCGGAGCGCAGCACCATCTACTACTCCAACGTGGCAAACCCCTCTCTGCTCACAGTCGCGCACATCCTCAACCGGACGGAGCTTGTCCCGCACATTCGCAAGAACCTTGAGCTTGTTATCGAGCACGCTGAGCCCACAAATGGCGAGGTTGAAACCACCCATTCTCGGCGGCAGGACCAGAACCAGCGCCAGGTCCTCAAGGACTACTATGTCCAGTTCCGTGAGCTCGCGCTGCTCGATAAGAACGGGCGCTTTGCCGCCATGGCCCGTTTGATCGAGCGACTGTTCGCCGCCGATCTCGGCGATTTCCTTGGTGATCTTCTGGAGAGACCCGAGCTCGCGGCTGCTCTCCCGGCGGAGAAGAAGGCTTTCGTCGACTTCGACAAGCACTACAAGGCATCTGGACTCTTCCGCGCGCGCCGCGGCAAGGTGGTCGCGGCAGCCTTTGGCGGCTCCGATTGGTATGCCGACGGCAAGGAGACGCCCTTCTTCAACCGGTTCGGCTCCGGCCTGTCGACAAACCCGACGCTATTCCGGGCCTGGAACGGACGAGCAGTGCTCGAGGCCGTCCGCCTGGCCCCCGAGTTCTTCTCCATGGGCCACTTTCGGTCCAACGGGCTGGCGTACGACAACAGTGTGGTGCGGCTCAGCAACGACCTCAAGATCCCCTACTACCACCCGATCCCCGCCGAACACCGCCGCGCGGACGGCGTCTATGCCATGTCGCGGTCCGTCGACGGCCGCTTCTACGCCGCGCTGGACTTTGAGAACCGACCCGCGCACACGCGCGACCTCAAGACGGACGTGCGCATCTCGCCCACCGCGACCGGCTACGATCTCAACTTTGTGGTGGCCGGCGAGGAGAACGTCGATATGACGCTCGAGCTGACGTTTCGTCAGGGCGGCGAGCTGTCGGGCATCCAAGCACTCGACGACGGCTCATTCCGTCTTGTCGAGGGTCAGGGCACGTACAAGGTTGGCGAGGACACCATCACGTTTGGGAACGGCAACGGCGCCGGCCCTATCAACACGGGCGCCGCGGGCGAGCAGTACAGCTGGCACAACGGGAACCTCGTGGTCCAGGGCCAGCACGTCTACATCACGGGCAGGTCGCCTCTCAACTACACGCTCAACATTGGGTTTTCGTGATTGGAGGATGGATAAGCTAGCTATGTGCCAACCCTACTACAGTCTTTCGTGATCTAACAGCCACTTGAAAACACGTTTTTGTGGGCAGCTGACCACCCATTCCGAGAATCCACCCGTTCGTGTGCGGCAGGAAACATACCCGCCTCTGCTGAAGTTCTCCTGCTGGGCCGTTTTGCCCATCGGCACACACCACCGAGGAGGCGATGCGTCAAAAGAGACCCCACCTGGCACGCGTTGGGCAGCACGGTTCCATTCAGGAAACAAGATGGCCGCTCACATTCCGCTTGGTACATCGTGAATCACCTTACTGTCTCGTTGGAACCAACTCCCCGACCTCACTCTGCCTGCCCATCCATGGAACCGCCCGAACTGATCGGCCCCGCCTCATAGTCCGCTGAACCCGCAAAGGCCTGTGCCCTTTTTTATGACCCTGTATTTACAAATGGATCAAGTACCCCGCCGCGCAGGAAACTTCGTTGGCATCGCCTTTTGCCTGTCGGGTGTGAATCGTGCCCGGTCCTTGTCAACTGAGTGCATTACCCCTGCCACTTTTTTAGCGACCGCGGTTGGGCTAGCGCTAAATCTACACTAGCCCCTTGGCTATCGGGTTGGCGAATGGGCACCTCCTGCCCGCAGGGCCTCCTTCCCCGGTTCCAGGCCCCGGCGCCCTCGGATTTCTGAACCGATTCCAGCGAGCCTGCCATATTCTCCAGCGACGATGACCCGCCTGTCGACAACTAGGTATGCGGATGGCCGTTGCAGGAAGAAGCGCCTGTCTGGTTCTTGGTTCCAGCAGCCGGAGCAGTTGTTGTCGTTAGAGGCCGACCCTAGGTACCTGCTCTGCCAGAGTTGCGTGTGTGCGTGTCCCGCCACTTCCGGCCCATTCAACATTCTGTCTGGGAACATCTTCAATCTCCCTGCTTACCGTTGTCATCAATGTTTCCTTGCCGCTCGGGACCTGCGTGAGGCAAAATAAAACCAGGGCTCATCGACAGCCGAGGTCTACCAAGGAACCCTTAGGCTGACAATCCCTTAACTTACCGTTATTCCCACCGCTGAAAAGCGCTCGTCCATTAAACCATGTGCCTGCGCGAGCTGGGGGTCTATTGCAAAGACGTATGACATAGGGCTACCCATACACTGCAATGGCAACAAATATCACGACCTCAGAGCCAACGATACCCCCCCCTCCTTCTGGAGGCCGCAAAACTCAAGAACAGCAATCCTGCCGAGGAGCTTCTCCTTCCCTCCAATTCTTCAACAACTGGCTTCGAGTGCCAGTATCTACGGTCTGCGATTCTCCCCTAGCAGAAGCAACGATATAGCCATCTCATATGCACACCCGTCCACTATTTGTTCGATTCTCAATAGGTCTAGGATGATCCCGTTAGCCCCTGGCCGAGCCGGAGGTGCCGTGGTTTGTCGAAGGCGCCGGTGAAGTGGCGCTCGGGGTGCCATGACTGAGCTTCTGGACTTGGCCAATGTTGTTGTAGGGGGAGGAGACGCTCGCCTCGGCGAGCCAGCGGTCTATGGAGTTGACGGAACCGCTGGCACCGGTTGGTGACGGCGTGACTTGCTGGGCTCCAGTGCCCCAGGCCCGGGGAACATGTTTCCAGGCGCTCTGAGCGCTGCTGTTCTTGCCTAACATGGTGAAGGGCTTTTGGATGGCAGGAAGTATGAGGCTGAGACAGGAGAAAGAGCGGGCTTGCTGGGAATAGAGGAGCCTTATGTTGAGGAGGAAGGTGGGCTTGCTTCTGGTGGGAGGATTACTGAGTGGTGGAGGGTGGTGAATCAATGCTTCTCGTCGCCATTGTAGGGCGGAGAGAGGGCAGCATCTTATATACATCCAAGCCAGGCAGGAGAAACGTGGACGAAGGGAGACGGCGGTCCGACGCCTGAAATTTTTGTCGACGCATTTGGCTCCCGACCCGCGGCGCCGTCTGGCGGTTCCTCGCTACCTCTTCTAAGTGCTGGTACATGGACAGCTATGGCCGAGTACCTGGGTTTATGTGGAGGATGTGTACAAATTGACGTCTCACCCGTACCTGGCTTAGTCGTGATTCCATGGACTTGTTTGCCAGTACCCGACCCCCTTTCCTCCACGGCTTGCGCTCGAAAAATGCAATAATTTTTAGAACATGATGCCTAGCCCGCCAGCCAGAATGCGAACCATCGTGCCTCGAGGCACGTTTCGGAGGCCGCATTGCCTGGGAGCCAACCACGCGGCCGACGTGGACCAATGATTACACGGGGCTTGCTAGGACCCCACTTTTAACGACCCCTCTCATATCCCTGCCCCAATGATGCCCGGATCAAAAAATGCGAGACACCAATTGAAAAGTGTCCCGTTTTTTTTTGATCCGGGCGTGCCAATGACATCCGCGATCTCGTCCCCCCATGCTTCCCACCCGTTCTCGATGGCCATCGACACCCAATCGGCGGGCTCGAAAAGACAGAGATGTATATCTTAGCATCGCGTGGTGTATGTGGTACGGCGAAAGAAGAAGGCGGCTTGGGCGTTTTTGATGATTAGGGCGCCGGCGGCTTGCCATCATCGCTTTCTCGGCAAAGATTTCGCCTCCTGCGGCCAGCTCACATCGTCGTCGTCGCCCGGATGCGTCTTATCCGGCCGCACAAACACACTGGTATACCGGTAGGTAGATATCAAGGTTGGCATTCATTGATGTGGCGCATGCTGGGCACCCAGGTAGGCTATCTGGTAGGTATGTACCTCGGCAAGAGGCAACGGCCAGTTGGATTCCGTCAGCGGTCATATGTTGTCTTTTTTGTCTCTCGTTTTCTTCCACCCCTGCACAACGGCTAGAATCCTCGTCCACATTACCTCCGCGATCCAATCCTTCAAAACCTGTAGGGTCGCTGGACTGCTTGTTTTCTACTGCGCAGCCGTAGCCACCGGCTTATGTGGTGGTATGTGCTGACGGGGGGTGTGTAGTTGCGATGGATTTTTAAGGTGTGGGCGCCAGCGTGCGTGACGACACGGGACGGCGAGATGGAAGAGTCAAGCTTAGCCAAGGTGGGCCAGGGCAAAGTGGAAGCTTAAAAAATTCCCCCATTTGGCCAAACGGCCCATTTTTTCTCCCGCCTTGGCTGAGGTTTAGGGGTCCACTTTTCTCCACCTTGCCTGAGGTGTTCGTTTGCATTGGAAATCAAGCTACATCATTGGCTGCCCGAGTGTCCGACCCGGGCGAGCAAAACTGGAAGACAAAACACATTGCGGTTGCTTGTGGCCAACTAACTTACTAACGTGGCATTATATACAATTGATACTAGATGTACAACGAAAAATCCGGGATTGTGGTTCAAAAATAGGTTTCACATTCGATAAGAACCCCCCCCCCCCCCCCCCCACTTTCATGGTTCGTTATACACACGAGGGCCTGTACCCCTCCCCGATAACCCTATATTGACAAAAGGATACCAAGTACCCGGTCATATCAGCTGAAGTTCATACAAGATCCACAAACCTGCTTCCCCAGCAGGATGTCGACATCCCGATGGTGGAGCGACAGGAAAGCAGTGTCGCCTTCGCTGGAAAGGGGTGGGCGCTGCTTAATAACGCGGCATGCGCACTCCGGCAGCGACATGCAAGCGCCCATGCAGCCGACGGAGCCTCATTCTTGACACTATATACCATCGTGCCGAGGTGCTGATGACACCGGCAACTACTCCTTGGCCGAGCCGGTGGTGGCGTGGTTGGTGGAAGGAGCGGGAGCCGGGGCACGGTCAGGAGAACCCGAAGCGCCGTGGACCCGGCGCACCTGGCCGACGGTGTTGAAGGGAGAGGAGCCGGCCGGCTCGGCGAGCCAGCGGGCAAGCATGTTGCCGGCGGGGGCACTGGCGTCGCCGGGAACACCAGCACCAGCACCAGCACTAGTAGCGGCAGCGGCCGCGGACGACTGCGTAGGCTGACGGGTCTTGTCGGCCCAGGTCCGCGGGACGTGCTGCCAGTCGTCAGACATTGCGTGCGGTTGAAAGAAAGGTTCCGAGTTTTGTCTGCTCAGGAAGAAGGCGTATAGTATTCGGGAGATAGGTGATGGATGGTGTCTAATTAGGTCAGACGAAGCCCAGCCTACCCGTTATAGGAGGGAGAGAGGGAGGGCTTTGGTAAAAGCGCGGTCTGCGCATGCCCATCGTGGCCATTGCAGGTTGAAGGAGAAGAGGGGGCACTGGTTTTATACAACGGCAAGGTAGGAAAAGTAGCGAGTTCTGGTCAGTGTTGGGTAAGGACGGCGGTGATAGACTGGTGGAATCACATCGACATCTAGTATCTAACTGGCTTCGGGGATAATCCAACACAGCAAGCGACCAGACTGCAGCGACTGGGGGGTGTGTTCCAGTGCTGCCCCCCGCCCCACATGGCAACCAAAGCTGCGTCCCCATTTGTCGTGCTAATTGGCAAGTGATCCAATCACGGCCGTTAAACACGGGGGTGCTCCGTCAGGGAGCAGTTAAATGCGCCCGCCCGCTGGTGTTTGCAGCTGGAGCCATGCGGCACAGCATGGCTGGGTCCGCCCGCTGCGGTTGCCTACCATAAGTTCTAGAAGCGGCATAATGTTCCGCATTCGACCCGCAACTGAGCTGGAGGTCGATTCAACACGGGATCTGCACCTGTGACCACCACTTTTCTGAAGCTATTCAGACCGCAAATTAACCCCTTGCACGAAATTTCTTATCTATTATCTACGGTCGGCAGCAACAACGCGTGCACCTATAAAAAAATTCCCAACAGCAATGTACTCTGCAATGTTAGTGCACCGGGATTTTTTACCGCAAAAATTCCCTTTTCACTGACAAATTGTTAAGGAAGGAGGTACTTTTACACGTTGCGGCCCGCAAAAAGGTACAATCCCAGGACCCGTGTTTTTTTTGTTTTTTTTTGGAAAGTTCGAAGCGTGGTTAGAATTAGATGTTTCACAAAAAACGGCAATTGGCAGCAGTTAAACATTCATGATGCGAACGGATGCAACTTCTATGAACGGATGTGTGGATGCCAGAGGCTGCTAGTGTGGTGGAAGTAGGAACAGAATTGGCCTGGAGACCTACTTGTATTAGAACCCATGGCTGGCCCGGGCTCGGACTGCGGCGGCCTTGCCATGCCCAGGGCGCCGCCACCTGGTGCAAGCGGCACATGGCTCCCGCTGATATGGAAGGCCCCGGTGGCTCGTCATCTGTGTGATGACCACGATCCTGCTGCACTTGACTTCTTGGGCCGTCTTTTGGCGACCTTCCCCGTGCCCCTCCTGAAGTTTGTGTCGACCGCGATACGATGGGCGCGGACGCGGGCGTAGCCTCGATCCCCTTTGCTACCCATCCGTCCCCGAGAGCCACTGACATCCCACCGACCGTACGGGCATGCTAGCAGGTCGGCAAACATTAATATCGGCATTGGTTTGGTGAATGTGAGGGTAACCAGGATGCCAGGTGGGTAGGCCTGCTACCAGTTGGATTTCGCCAGCCGTCATACGTTTGCTTTCCTGCATCTGTTTTCTTCCGCCCCCATTCACCGGCAGGAATTCTAATCATATACCTTCGGGTGTTTCGACTGGGGTTGGTAGTTGCATCGTATCGTATCCATGGCATGGTGAGGAGCCCGGGAGGCTCCGACGGCTCGAGCCCCTACCCATGGTCTGGCAAAAGCCGGGGGAGAATTCAAGGCGGTGCTGCGAGCAGACTGGCGGTAACTGGACCGCAAGACGGCGCCAGGTGCAGATATGCTAGTGCATTTGTTCATTTTCGGGTCGCTGCCTTTGGCGATGTCAAGTAAGACAAGGGTAGGTAGAGTCACGCCATGGGAAGCGAATGGATTTCTTGCATTTCCGATGCTTCCCCCCTCCGCCCACCAACACCATTGGCATCTGCGTCTTTCCAGATGAAAAGATTACTACCTATTCAGTGTGGTGTAATATGGATATTCGATATGATACAAGGTCCGCGCCGGAAGACAGGAAGAATATAAGCAAATAACAATACTAACTGTCCCAAAAAGCCGCTCCCACCTTTCCCTACCTCCCCACCGCGTCACCATGGCCAGTTGTCGCCACAGGCCCCGTCCGAACCCCTGCCCATTGCAAATCCCACATATCCTGTCAAACACTGTCAGTATCCAAGAAGAAAACGTCCCATGTTCCGTAGACACTTCATGAAAATTGAAGAATAGAACCTCGGAGCACAAAAACAAATGGGGGGAAAATGACAGAAAGGAGAGAGGAGAGAAGTAACGCCGTCCTTGCGGCTGCTGTGCACCCTTGTTGAGCCATTGCATTAGCTCGGGTATGACAACATGCATGGCCGTTCTTCGTTTTTGTGTCACTAGCAGAATACCACGTACCCGGTCTTGTCAGCCAGAGCCCGGAAAAAGTTCCACATGCACTCCTGCTTGGCAGGTTAGTGTTCTTGAGGTGGATGGAGCATAAGGGCAGCGTTACCTCGATGGGCGAACGTGGACGCAGCTTGGTGTCTTGAAATGCACGCTACCGTACCGCTGCTCCAGCGCTTGTGTGCGCAAGGGGGGGTTTTGGTTCGACGGCATGTGTCCCCTGTGGGGGGCGTGCCCCATCCAGGGATAGCTGCCAGGCGGGCTACTCCTTGGCCGAGCCGGACGTGGCGTGGTTCGTGGACGGCGCGGGCGGATGGTTCGTGGAGGCATCATGTCCCTGCCGCACCTGGCCGATGGTGTTGTAGGGCGAGGAGCCGCTGGGCTCGGCGAGCCAGCGGTCCATGGGACTGGCCAGCGCCCCGGCGCCAGCAACACGGGCAGCACCAGCGCCGAAAGACCGAGACACGGTCTGCCATGTGCCCTGGATATTGGTATTGTCCGACATGGCAAGGGCTCCCTGGTAGCGGAGGTTGGATGGGACGGTTGGGAAAGGAGGACGAGGGGGCGCCCAAGGCAGGAGTGTGTAGTACTTGGCAGAGGCGGGCCTGCTTGAAGGATAAAGATGTCGTTGCGAAGAATGTGATGCAGCATCGTGGCCATGGTTGGTGACGACGGAGGAGAGCAGCGGCTCGTCTTATACTTTTCGAAGGGGAGCTTACAGGCGCGTTGCTGTTGGGCAGGGGAGATCTTTCCTGACTTTTCTTACTCCTACATTATATCAATGGAGAGAGGAGGTATGCCAGGCGACATCTGATGGCTGCGAATCACAGGAGCACGGCCGAAACGCCAAGGATAGGGTGGATCCTATGTGCAGTAGAACTGCCTCCCGCCCGCATCGACCCTGGTCTAGCGCGTTTGTACATGCACAAATCGACCTGTATTTGCCAATCCGCCACGTTCTCTCACTGCCCCGCGGCAATGTGCACGTCCCCGTCAATCTGGCCGCCGTGTTCTTTCCTGTTGTGCGCCCGAGATATCAACCGGTGGGACCGACGCCTCGGGCCCCTGGCCAGCGGGCAGTTTCCGGGGACACTGGACCCTTGCTGGTATTGCCAATGGGGGCTGGAATTTTTCTGTCACCAAGCACCCCTGTGGCATTTTTCTTCCCCAAGCACTGGTCGATGCGCAAGAGCCCACGCGTTCATGATGATTATGGCGGGCCAGCAGCTTACACGAAGCGACGAGGCTTACAAAAGATACGCATGCATCGGGCACATGCCGGATTTAACGTCATGATTTGCATGCTATGGGAGTAAAGACATTACGACAAGGAGGAAGATAAAGATGACGTTCCTGAGAAATGTTGATGGGTGATGAAAAAAAAAGAAAACCAAAAGCAGCCACCAAATTTTGTAAACCCTTTCCCTTCCGTGTTTGTCGCCCTGTCCCCCACTATCGCCCAAGGAAATTATCGCATCGTTTCAAGGAAAAGGGGGTGGTGGTTGTGCTGCGTGTTGTTGGGGGGGTGGTGGTGGTGGTGACGGTGATGGTGGTGTTGGGGGTAGGAGAGAGGGGGTTAGGAAACCCGGACTTGGACATCGCTCCTCCGAGAATGAGGGCTAGGAAAGATATTAAATGGACTATGAATAGGGAAGCGCCTTGGAACGATGGGGAATTGCACGAGCCTCCTTTGTTGCGTGACTCTGTCCCACGTGAGAAAAAAAAGCGCAATACTCTCCCTCCTGCGCTGCCCAGATACTCACAGCCCCCCGAGTCGCATGCCGGAGTTAAAGTCACCGTCCGGGTCAAGGAGTCACGAGACAGCAGAGAGCTTCTGCAGGGCGAGCAGGACACCTGTGTATGGAGTGGTTCGTTAGCTGAGTTCGAATGGGCATCGGATGTACGGGATCGAGAAGAACAAAAACAACAAAAACCTACCGCTCACGCCCTGCGTCAAGGTGGCGCCGGCCTCGGTGTTGCGGCTGCCCAGGCTGACGGTGACGACGTCGCGCACCACCTTGTCCTCGCCGAGCTGGTTGGCCCACTTGAACACCTTTTCGTCCTCGCGGCCGTCGCCCACGACCATGAGGAAGTCGACGGCGCCCTTGCCCGCCTCCGCTCCCTCGCCGCCGCCGCCGCCGCCGCCGCTGCTGCTGCTGTTGCTGCCCGTGATGCGCTTCCGGATGCCGTCAAAGACGTGCTCGGCCGCCGTGCTCTTTGTCCAGTCGACCGGCTCGACGATGACGCACCCGTCGAGCGGGACGGCGTGCACGCGCTGCGCCTCGCACGCGTCGTTGATGTGCGACGCGCAGTCCGACGCCAGCCGCGACGCCGTGTCGTAGTCCTCGGCCGACTTGTAGTGGAACATGAGCGAGCACCGGCGCTCCTCCACCTCGGCGCCGGGCGTGCGCTCCAGGTAGTACGTCATGATGCCCTTGACCGACTCCTTCCAGGACCGGATCTGGTCGCCGTCGGCCATCTCGGTCCACGTGTCGGATCCGCAGTCCTTGAGGAAGCAGCCGTTCTCGGCGATGAGACCTAGGTTAGGGATTCGCCGGAACAGCCTGTCCAGCTCCTCGGGCCGGCGCCCCGACATGACGTATATGGTATTACGCTCGTCCAGGAGCAGGTCCGACAGGACGTCGAGCGTGCGCTGTTGCCTGAGGTCAGTGTACGTTCTGGGATCGTCGAGTCCGTATGCCTCGAGGTTCGTCTTCCACGTTCTGACACTAGTAGACCCGCGGCGCGTCTCGGATGTCGTGGTTGACCACGATGAGGCCGTCTTGTCCTCCTGCGCCTCGGCGATAGTCTTGATGACGGCAGGAGAAGGGGGACCATGGTTAGCAGCATCGGGGAAGGCCGCCCTCACCGCCGAGACTTCATGTAGCGGCGAGTGCGGCGGCAGACCTGTGGAGCTTTCCACCTGAGCGTTGACCTTGCCACGCTCCGTGGCCTGTTGCCGTCCTTGACTCTGCTGCTGCGGACTCTGCCGCGGCTGAGGTCGCGGGTTCGGCTTCCGAAGTCTCTCGCATAGGGTAGCATACGTGTTGCGGGGGTCAATCGATATCGAAAGAGCGGGAGCAAGTACCTGTGGGCTGACGGGGATGATCTGGTTGACGGGGCCCCAGCTGACGAGGGTGCCCTCGTAGTCGAGTATGAAGAGGCGCTTCTCGCTTCGCTTGTACTGGCGCTCCAGCGAGCTTACTGACAGGCGTGGCACCGACGTCTGGTCGCGCTTGTGCTGCTCCTCGTAGACGCGGTCGAGGCGCGACAGGAACTCGGTGAACCAGTGCGCACCGGTGTGGTGGTTGACCGTCTCGTACAGCGCTCCCCACCGTCGGGCCTTCTCTCCGTCGCCCATGGTGAGCGCCTGCTTGATGGCGTCGGCGCAGGCCTGATAGTCCCACGGGTTGACCGACAGCTCGTGGCCACCAAAGAGCGAGGCCGTACCGGTGAACTCGGACAGGATCAGGGACCCGTGCTTCTTGGTGACGCCGCTGCCGGTCGCCTCGCTGTGGCGGCCGTCTTGGCAGGCCAGGAACTCATGGGACGTCAGGTTCATGCCCTCCCGCTGGCTCGTGATCATGAGCGCGTCGGCGATGGTCAGGAGCGCCAGGTACTGGGCGTAGTCGATGTCCTGCTTCAGGTACACGACGGGCTGGTAGGCCAGGTTGGCCCACGACGAGTTGACGCGCGTAACGATGTCGGAGACGGTGGCGTCCAACTCCGACTTCTCGCTCGTAGAGAGCGCCACCTGGATCAACACCGTCTTGCCGCGCCACTCGGGGTTCTTGTTGAGGAAGAGCTCGTACGAGAGCAGCTTCTGGCGCACGCCGCGCACGTGGTCGAGCTTGTCGCGCGCCACGATCAGGCGGCAGTCCTGGTAGCGCTGGCGCATGCTCTCGATCCAGCGCGCCACCTCGGGCTCGCGGCGGTGCTGGTCGAGCGCGACCGGGTCGATGCCGATGGGCAGGTTGATGACGTCGACGAAGCGGTCCTCGAGCTGCAGGCCGTCCGGGGTGGCCTCGGCGGCCAGCAGGCGGCTGCACGTCTGCAGGAAGTGGCGCGTGTACTCGTGGATCTGGAACCCGATCAGGTTGGCACCCAGCATGCCCTCGAGCAGCTCGTTGCGCATGGCCAGGCAGCGGAAGATCTCGGACGACGGGAAGGCGACGTGCAGGAAGAAGCCGATCTTGGCGTCGGGCAGCTTCTTGCGCACCATGCCGGGCACGAGCAGCAGGTGGTAGTCGTGCACCCAGATGACGTCGCCGCGCTTCCAGTTGCGCACAATCTTGTCGGCGAAGGCCTGGTTCACGTTGACGTAGTACTTCCACGAGTGGTCCTCGTACGCCTTGCTCTTGGGGTTGTCGGGGATCTGGTAGTGGAAGACGGGCCACAGGATCTGCTTGCAAAAGTGCGAGTAGTGGCCGTCAAAGTCCTTGTCCGAGCACCACACGGCGAGCGCGTCGTGCTCCGTCGCCAGCCTGTCCTCGATGTCCTGCTTCTGCTGCGAGCCCTCGAGCGCGTCCGTCGGCATGCCAAGCGTGCCAACGTACGTGTAGTCGCCCAGCTTGCCCTCGCGCGCCGCCGCCTCGGCCGCGTTGCGCAATCCGCCATTGCCCTGGTCGGCGTTGGTGATCTCGTACGCGGCCTGGGAGAAGACCTTGTCGTGGCTCTCGCTCCGCGTCAGCGCCCGCGGCTGCGAGATGCCCTGGCGCCCGAGCTCGCGCGCCTTGGATGCCAGCGTCTGGTTCCGGCTCAGCACAGACGACGGCGGCGGAGAGTTGGCCCGCGACATGGGCTGGTCGCGCCTAGCGCCCCATGTCGGCGAACCGCGGTCCGCGGGGCCCTTGGTCGGGTCGCGCTTGATAGCCGCCGGCGCGGCGAAAGTCTTCAGGCCATCCTCGTTGGTGAAGATGCCGCCCTCCTTGGACTGCTCCTCCGTCGGTGTTTGCGGGGGCGTGATGTCGGCCAGCGGCTTGAATAGGCTTGGCTGCCTCTGCGGCGCAGGCTTAGAGCCCTCGGATCTCCTGGTCTTCTCCAGCTGAACACCGGTCCTCGCAGGTGATCCGGGGAGCTTGAAGTGGACCGTCTTGGGGAGAAATCTAGAGGCGGGCAAGTGCTGGTATTAGCAGAAGAAAGGTGACGGCAGTCCAACATTCCGGGCACGGCTATTGGGTAGGACAGGGCAGGGCATGGCGGGGCAAATTTGACAGCCTGCTGCACCCGCAATAGAGCTTTCTCGACGTACAGTGATGCAATAAAGACCGTCATTTTGACTGTTGGATGTGTGCGAGGTGATGAATGGGTTTGTCGCTGCTTCGGAATCAACCCAAAGGTCGAGGCCACACTCCGCCGTCTCGAGAACTGGAAGAGTCTCGGAGGTCCAAGCCGCTCTCGACAACCGACTGGCTATGCAGAAGGGTGCAGCCAAGCGCCGAGTATCATCAGAGCAGCTAGACGTCTTTGCCCGGACAGATGTCTGAAGTGGCAGCTCGCAGGCGATGAGGCGGGTGAGAATCGCGCCCTTGACAAGTGAATGCGCAAATGTCGTCACCTGGACTTTGGGCTGTCGTCTGAGTCGGCGACGCAAGGGGCGGGGTATCGTGATACAAAAGTAGAAGTGGTGTGGCTGTGGTCGAGGAGGCCGTCTTTGACCTCGGACGAAGACGGGAGCCGAAGCTGGATTTTGAGGCTGCCCAGAAGGCTGTTGCTCGGACCTAGAGCTTAAGCCCAAGGTTTCGGTTTGGGCAGGGAGCTTGCGCGTGTGGAGGCTGTGGTTGGGGCGGCAGGGGCCTGAAGCTTTGGAGCCTCGAGGCGAGTCGGGTATCGATTGGGCTGGTAGGAAATTTCAAGTTGGAGCTTGCGCCCGAAGTTCGTAGGAAGTAGGAATTCCTGTATATTTGGTAATGGACTAGCCAGTCAACAAGCTGTCTCAGTGACAGATTTGTAGGTAGGTAGGTACAAATACCCGAAGTGAGATGACAGAGAGGTGGGAAGAGGAGCAGGTAATGCGCATGAGTTCCAGAGAAGAGCGTCGAAGGCACCGAAGGGCAAGAAAAAAACGTTGACGTCAAAACCACACCCTTGCAGCAGCTAAAATGCGGGCGGACATGGAGCCAGGGTGGTTAGGGGGTGGTGGTTGGGCCGGAAGCCTCCACTCACTAAAAACACGCGGTGCGAAGAGCTCGACAGGAACAAGGGGCGCGTCAAGCTGAAGGTCGGAAAGGGAAGGAAGCACTCAGAGAGACGGAAATCTTGGCAGGGCCATGAACGAGGCAGGAGGTTTTTGTCCGAGAGTTTAGACGGACCGATGGGGAAAAAGGGCTTCTTATGAGCAAATAAAGGGAAATCGCTTATAAAAAAAAAAAAAAAAAAGACCCCGGTCAGGATCTTCGCCAAAAGCAGCTCCGCGGGTGAGGGGAGGGGTGCGAGGAGGCGGAATGGCACATGAAGCGAAAAGAATTCGATCAGTGGGGACGCCCGTGAGCACTGGGCCGGGGCGGGGGAGGGGGCAGCTGGGCGTCTTTTTATTCTCCATGGCCGTTTCTTCCGCGACAGGGAGTCGTTGCGAGTCCGGCCGCCTCCAGTCCCATGTTTCTTAATTCTCCCGGGCGGTTGGCTGGCTCACCTGCGGCCGTCCCTCCCGCCCAGCAGAGCGGGTGCCATGAACGGGGCTGGCCTGTCGACATTGCACCCTGCACCTTTACGCACAAGGAAGAAAAAAAAAGACGCGCGCGTGGCGGCATGGCTAAAGGAGCCGCTCTCTGTGGCTGTACAGTCCGCAAATGTACCTGCACGCGGCCCAGCCCCATCCCCAATGTACCCGGGTAGCCCAGGTTACCATCCACGACGCACGGGTTGCACCTCGGAGCGGCCGGGACATGTGCTAAGGTGCGACGAGACGGCCAGATGTTGGCTTTGTTCCCGGGACACACAACCAGGGGGGGAGGGTCCTGCCTGGTGCTGGTCCTGGTGTTTATTCGTTGGTGCTGCCTGCTGCTTGCTTGTCGAGATTTGATGATATGCCGCAGCAAGCCCGGCCATGCAGCCGAAACGTCACTGCAGTCAGCAGGCCCAGCCAGCAGGGCAGGAGCCAGCCCACCACCCTTGTCCCTCCAGCGCTTGTGCAGCCTCCGCGATCAGCGGGGCGGGAATGTTTGCGGCAAAGCCTGGGTCTGTCGTGATCTGACCGGCCAGGGCATCGGAATGTGCAGGGTGTGGTTTTTCTTCCCCTTGCTTTCCTGGTTCGTTTTAGTTGGATGATTGCCCTTGCCTTGCGTCTTGCGCCATCACGGATGATGAGAACCGAGCCATAGGAACTCACTCAACATTACCAGAAATTGAGGGTTATAGGTACCGAGGCAGTACCTAGGCACTAACCGCACAATAGCTTTCCAAACTGCTGCGGGCAGCCGCAACCAGGGCACGGAAGCAGATCATCGTCATCCACCCATGGATCCGTTAGGCTGGAATCTTCCGGGCGCGAGCTGCCCCTCGTCGTGAATCCGGCGACCGTGACTGGCGACCACACACAGCTGCGGTCAGACCGCACCTCGCTTTACGTGATACCATCGTCAAGGTGTGACTTGGGGTCCAAAACGGACCCGAGAGTGCAGCTGGCGCGTCGGCTCCTAGCGTAGGACGACTTACATAAAAGCTGCCCACCACCACTGCCTCGGCGACGAGGTCGTGCCGGCAGCTCGGCCACCATTTATTTGTGCGTGCCTCACTGCCTCTGTGATCCGTCACTTTTTGCGCATCTTCCATGGGGGTTTGGCCCACTCGGCGGGGGAAAAAGAGCAGGCGCAGATCGGGCCGGCGATCCTTGTTGCTCGGCAAATCATAAACAAAGAAGCCCCGATGAACTGCCCGGGCGTCCTATGTCCGCCGCGGACAGAGTCGATCGCTAATTGTGCTCGAGGTTGGCCGAGTGGCTGGCTTGGCTAGATGCAGCTGAGTTCATTCCGTGGCGGCGACCAACCACGAACTGTTCCATTTACAGCACAGCTTTGCATTGAGAGAGAAGCAGTTCGGTTCAGCCAGCCAGCGAGAGCGGCCCACCACACGTCTTCCAGCCGAGTTTGAGAGATGCACGGCGATCACTTTTCTTAGACGTGCGAATCATGACCAGGCCCTGGATCCCCACACACTCCTCCTCGTCAAGAAAAAAACTGGAAAACATGTGCTCCGGATGGGTGGCTGCTGGCACGTTCACAGCCTATCGACTATCCGATAGATGTCAGAAAGAGGAATGTATATCCGTGCGTTTTCGTTTTTTTCTTCTTTTGTCCTCCTCCAAGTCGCTTTACTTTTGTCTCTGGTTCCTCGGGCGTTTAGGCTGCTGAGGCTCCACCTTGTCGCATGTTTTGTGCAATATCTCGTTCCCCCGGAGCGGCGGTAGGACGGTGCAGCATCGGCAAGAGCAAGAACGCAACAATCCTATCCACAGTCACATATCAGATCCAGTCGGAGGAGGGAGGAGACAGGGTCTGTCAGCGGGGTGCAGGGCAGTCAGCAGCTTGGTGGCTGGAACTCCCGACGAACCCCATCCTCATCCTGCTGACTTGCTGGGAGTACGAGACGGAGCCTCGTCAGCATCAGACAAGCCCCCGTCGCAGTCAACGAAGTGGCCGCCGTGCCGGGACGTCGGCCAATAATTGTCCCGTCAACGTGGCATCAGTGTGCCGCCGCTCGCCCGGGCGGATGTTAAGGCATATAAAAAAGCGCCGAAATTAAAATAGCAAGCAAGTATTTCGCACCTGGTCGTTGAGTGCTTTGACTAGCCAAGTCTCATTCCATGCTTGGCTAGGCCGTGATCCCATTTGTCCCAGTGCACTTTTTTTTTATGTGTGAGGGGTTTGCCGCGGCGGGCGGCTCACAAGCCCAATCTAGAGATCCCACGATGCGGTCCATTTTGAGGCGGAGCCTGGGTTACAACCGACGCGAATGGTGGCCACCACTCGGAGAAAAGACACGCCTCTTGGGCGCAGCCAACATACCGTGACCAGTGAGACGCCTCAACGACCCCTCGTGGCCCCCTCGCGATTGGCCCCTCGGTCACTGCAGGAGGGCTGGGACACCGACCGGCCATGCGGGATGCGTCGCCTAGATAAAGGACGGGCGATAAAGGATGGCATGGAACAGAAATACCAGGGCAAAGACCAGAAACTCCATCTCTTGGGGAAAATCTCGCATGCGGAGTCCAATTCTCCCACCCCCTACCATCACCGCCGCTCGCCCCCGGCAGCGCATTGTTGGGGTTGTTGAGAGCATATGTGCGCCTCTGACGCGCGCCCGTGCTCGAATAGTACCCGAATCTTCCCGACGCCCTAGTTACCCTGCACCTACCCTGTAGGCCCACTCCTCAGGGCTTGACAGGCTAAAACGGCTAGAGTGGGCCCCTGGCCGAAGAAGCCCTGCCCCTGTGGCCCTGGAGCCCTGGATGATTTTTCTTGTTCTTTTTCTCTTTTCCTCGATGTCCCAGCAACGCAGCTCCTTTCCCCAGCCCTGCGTCCGCCTTGGGAGCCAGTCTCCGCATGGCAGCATGGGTTGAGGCATTTTGTTTTGGCAGTCCTTCCCTGTCGAGTTTCGAGACACGGACATTGCCGTGTGTCGTATTGTTTTGGGGCTCCGGCCCAGCCTCTGCACTGACACTGCCTTATGGTCGTCCCGGCTACCCCAGCACCCCAGGCCGGCCACCCGACCTTTCTGTCGTCCGTCGATCCTGACGGCGCCATCGTAAGACGCGCGCTGGTGATGTGCTCACCAGCCCCGCAACCGCGAGTTGGCTGCTCAACTCCTGTTTGCTTACGATCCGCACGCCAAACACATGTTGGGAATGCCTGATGGGCGGCCTGTCCACTGGATACCAACAGAGCATGCCGCCTAGTGAAGGACGGTTTGCTCCGGAGAGCCATCAGGGCATAATGTGATTTGCTAGCCGGTAGCAAATAGGCGTTGTCGACCTCGACCGGATCTCGATCTCTCGCATACATACACGCAAACCGAAACTGCTCTGCGCCTTCCGAGTCTGGTCTGGAGCGTCGGCGAATGATCGCTGGGTCGGGCCGTTGGACCATGAACCTGTGCAGGCCTTCGTAGTCCAGACTAGCCTCCGTTCCGTGCGGGGCTTTGTGCAGTTCCTTGGCAAGACCTGTCAACTCTGGACGGCTGCATGCGTTCCATGACGCGTTCATTTTCTGTCCTCCCCACGCCGGTGAGCCCTGACGTTCTAAATCCGGACAGCACTTGAATGACCGAAGGGATTCCCAACTGGATGTGCACGGCTTACAGGATGCTCCAGCTCGAATACACGGACCGGAAGCTAGCATGGCTCTCCGGTGTCTGTCCTCCCCTCAATTTCCCCGCACGACGCCTGTGGCCATGGGGTGATGCCGGCAATATGCGTCTGTTCCCGCGTCGCGCATGCATATGATGCCATGTAGCCTTCCTGCTCTCGCCCTCAAACCCGGCTTGTTGCCGCCTGAAGCGAAGGGCAATTGGAAACATCTGGAATGTCAAGATGCTGTGCTTCCTCAACCGGTGTAGCGCCACCCCGAGCCGGCCAATGCAGGGCATCGATAAACTGGCCACCATCCCGTCCATGCCGGAACTACCGCCATCTATATGCCGACGTTGGCTGCTCAAGACGAGACAGGGAATTGCGTGACATGAGGAGTTCAATCTAAATTAGCACGTGTCAATCGTTCGAACCCCTTACGTTTCTCTTAGCCAACCCTCCATCGCACAAAACAAGACACTGCATCAATCGACACCTGGCAGCATCGTATAAAGGCTGTCTAGATGCCGACAGTAGCCGGTGGGCCCTTCGGTGCTGTCTTACTCTGGTGGTACCAAGGAGGCTTGCGGAACAAGGAAACGCCTCTACCATTGCGATGCACAGGGCACATCTCCCGCGCTTGCAGGGCTTTAGGAGGCAAGGGAGAAGTTATTCCTCGCGTCCTCACCGGTGAGCTTTCCCACCCAGGGGATGTGTGACGATCTTGTCGGTGCAAATGCCTCATGCGTCCTCGCTCACTTCATCTCGCAGGCTCACAGAATCGAGGGGCGCTACGGGAAGAAAAAGACTGGGGTATCTCGGCTCATGATGGATTAGATAATCCGCCATGCCAGGGGTAAGTCCATCCAGCGGGGTGCCAAAAGTTGGGGAAGTGGCGCAAGGGAAAAAAAAGCTGGAAGAAAAAAAAGTGGGAGCTAGTGTTGGATGAAGTTTGTTTGAGCTCATCGCCGCATGACGGTTTATCACGGCTGGCCTTTCTAAGCCAAGCGACCTTACCGATTGTGATAGATACTCAGATCTGCCGCTCTCCAGCGTGCCTTCTCGGTGGTAAGCTTCTCGCCGGTAGGAAGAGGGGGAAGTTCTGCTCGAGGGCCTCATAGCGCGGTAGCCGCCCAAGAGAGCCCTCCCACCCGACTCCAGCCTGTCATCGCAACCCTCCCTTCGCCCTCTATCGAGGCTGTTATTTTTCGGGCGGACACAAACGGCTAACCTGCCGAAGCTTTCGCCAGGGTCGTTTGCCTCAATCGCCGGTCGGCGCACGAACTTGTCCTTCGGGGTTGCCTCTGTGAGGAGCTCTGATACCAGCAACTCGACTCAACGGCTGCCCTCGCCCGAGCCACGCGACCTTCCATTGCCCGTGCATACTAGCAAAGATCTACTACTACGGAAACTTCTAGTCGAACGGACATACGTACCATAGACGAGGTACCGCCTCCGTCACGCACTTGTCGGCGATCTTCTTTGGGGGAGGTGCTTAGGGGTTGACCGGATTTCGGTCCCATTCGACTACCAGCCCCGTTGGCCTGTGCTGTCTCCAGCTCCATCTACACCTTGGACAGCGGCAAAAAGGCCCAACCCCCACAATGGCTACGGTAGCCCCGCCGCCGTCCAAGCGGCAACGGCGTGAGCAAGTCGAGAAGACGCAGACACAGCAGGACGTCACTGCCGCATTTGCACCGCCCACGGGCTCTTTTCGTGCGCGTTTCGTGTCGGGTGCCGACGGTTCCCCGCTTGCCGATGTGGTTGAGATCCCCTTTGCCGACGCGTCAGAGAAGAACGTGTCGCTATTGCTCAACACCCTCCTCGGCCGCGACGCTGAAGAGTCGGTTCCATACCGCTTCCGCATCCTGCTGCCCGATAAGGACCTTGTCATCGATGCGTACCCAGCCGACCTACAGGCCCTCCTGCGCACTCACGGCATCGAGGATGCCTTCGAAACGACCCTGACGCTCGCCGCCGAGCCCCAGGCCGTCTTCAAGGTCCAGGCCGTATCGCGCCTGGCCCACCGCATCCCCGGCCACGGCGAGCCGATCCTGTGCGCGCAATTCAGCCCCGCCACCAGCTCCCGCCTGGCTACAGGGTCGGGCGACAACACGGCGCGCGTCTGGGATGCCGAGACGGGCACGCCCAAGCACACCCTCAAAGGCCACACCGGCTGGGTCCTGGCCGTGAGCTGGTCGCCCGACGGGCAGCGGCTTGCCACATGCGGCATGGACAAAACCGTCCGGCTTTGGGACCCAGAAACAGGCAAGCAGGCCGGGCAGGAGCTTAAAGGACACGCTAAGTGGGTGCTGGCGCTGGCGTGGGAGCCGTTGCACCTGTGGCGCGACGGCACCCCGCGACTGGCGAGCGCAAGCAAGGACGGCACAGCGCGTGTCTGGACCGCCAACACGGGCCGTACCGAGCACGTATTGAGCGGACACAAGGGTAGCGTTAGCTGCGTGCGATGGGGTGCGGGCAACGGGACTGGCGTCATCTACACGGCGTCGCACGACAAGACAGTCAAGGTCTGGGACGCTGTCGCGGGCACACTGCTTCACGATCTAAAGTCACACGCCCACTGGGTCAACCACCTGGCCCTCTCCACCGATTTTGTCTGCCGGACTGGCTTTTTCGATTACAAGATGAAGGAGGCGCCGACAGATGACGAGGAGCGCCGCAGGCTGGCCAAGGAGCGCTACGATAAAGCCGCTACCATTGGGGGCAAAATCGTGGAAAGGGTTGTCAGCGCAAGCGACGATTTCACCATGTACCTGTTCGACCCGCTCAACGAGGGTACCAAGCCCATCTCCCGCATGGTCGGCCACCAGAAGCAGGTGAACCACGTCACCTTCTCGCCCGACGGCTCGCTCATCGCGAGCGCAGGCTGGGATAACCACACCAAGCTGTGGAACGCTCGGTAAGCCTTACTAGCGCTTCCCCGGTAAAATTGATTTTGATCAGCAACTAACACTAGACTGCGAACAGGGATGGCAAGTTCATCACCACGCTCAGGGCCCACGTCGCGCCCGTCTACCAGTGTGCATTTTCGGCCGACTCGCGCCTCCTGGTCACAGCGTCCAAGGACACGACGCTCAAGGTCTGGAACGTCCGCACCGGCAAGATGGCCACGGACCTGCCCGGCCACGAGGACGAGGTGTACGGCGTGGACTGGAGCCCCGACGGCCAGCGCGTGGCGTCGGGCGGGAGGGACAAGGCGGTGCGGCTGTGGAGGAACTAGGACGGGGCTGGGTTCCTTGCACGCGGAGGGAGAGAATTGTTTTTGGATGCAATTTCACGATTCACGTTGGGGTGGAAAAGTTTACAAAAGACAGACATATCTGGTATTTCCTTCCATAGATACCCTTGGGTTGGGGCGGGCTCAAAACGGAGGCGATAGAACTACCTAGAGCGTGGGATAGAGATAATAATGAACCATACTTTTGGGAGCCAGGTATAGTTGGTCGCTCGATGTTACAAGTGCAGTTGCGCATCGATAAAACACAGCAGCCCCACGAAGATGAAAGCCGGTAGGTAGAGGATGAAGGGCAACGCAAAGTCTGGGATATTTGAGCATTGTCATTAAACAGAAAAAACCATTCCGAGATGGGGGGTAATACTAGGACAATCAAGGTAGAGGGAAGAGGAACGACAGAGAGAATACAAGATCGAGATGCCAAACAGAACCGAAGCAAACCTGACGCCAAAGGAGAACCCTCAACAAACCAGGGAGAAATCAAGACCAAAAACTGACAAAATCACCCAAGACGCCGATAAAACAGTCTTCATGCCGAAGGAGACCCACGGACGAAACAGCGAGGCGAATACGACCGACGCGTAACAAAATTACAAAAGACAGCGACAAAAAAGATCCTGAAAGAACACCCAACCAGATCCTGGAACGCAAACCAAGAGAGACCGCCGCGCGGAAACGAAACAGTAGAAAACAAAATAGCCATTGTCGCCCCACCTGACACAGAGTTTAAAGAACCGACCCGCGTCTAGTCGATATCCATACGGTCGCCGCCTTGGGCGTCCCGGTCGCGGCGGTTCCACCTCCTGAACAGGCCCCGGGCACGGCCGCCACCGTCCTTTCGTGCAAAGTCGAACAGACCCGCCAGCCTGTCCCGAAGCACATCACGACGGCGTCTCTGTCGTTGCTGTTGCTGTTGCTGTGGTTGTTGTTGTGACTGCGGTTGCGGCTGCTGCGGCTGCAGCTGTTGCCGCTGCTGCTGTTGGCCCCCATGCGGCGACACCAGCGCCGCGGCCCTCCGGAGGTCCGATATGGTCGGCTGCCTGCGCAGCCTACCGCCATCAGCCGCGCGCCTCAGGTTATGCAGGGCCGGCTGTCTGCGCAGCCTACCGTCGTCAGCCGCGCGCCTTAGGTTCTGCAGGGCCGGCTGCCTGCGCAGCTTCGGGCCCTTGCGCACGCGCCCGTCGCTGCTGCTGCCGCCGCCGAGCGGCCTCTGCGGTGAAGGCCTCTGCCGCTGCTGCTGCTGCCGCCGCTGCTTCTGTAGCGCGTCCTCGGCGTCGACGGCGCCCAGCCAGCCCGCGAAGGAGAAGATGGCCGACGTTGGCGCCGGGTCCAGGTACTGCCTCGGCACGGGCGGCGGCGGCGGCGGCAGGGGCGCCAGCAGGGGCGCGCCCGGCGGGTCGCTGTTGTTCCTCGCCAGCTTCTCGACGCTGCTGGCCGAGGTGTGCCTGCTGCTGCTGCGACCGGCGGAGCTGCTCTTACTGCTCGCCAACTTCTTGGCACTGCTGCTGTTGCTGTGGCTGCCCGTCGGCTTCCTGATGGCACCCCGGCTGCCCGACCGTGCGCTGCCCCGCCGCTGCTGCTGCTGCTGCGGCGGGGGGATGCGAGGTAGGGATATGCGTAGCGGAGAGATGGGCGGCAGAGAAATGCGTGGCGGAGACATGCGCGGCGGCGGCGGGGGTCCGGGCGGGGCGGCCGGCGGCGGCGGGAGCCTCAGTTCCGACAACGAGGACAAGGCCGAGGATAGCGAGATGGGCCTCGGCGCGGGTGCTGCGACGGGGCCGTTGGGTCCGGCGAGCCTCCTCAGCTGGTATAGGGGTGCGGGGCGGCCTCGCCCCCGGGGTGGCTCCGGTAGGCGCGTTGCCGGCCGCGGCGGGCTGATCTCCCCGGTCGGATTGTTGATGGCGGGCGGTTGGTTGCTGGGGCCGACGGCTTCCAAAAAGTCCAAAAAGCCGCCCATGCGGTCACTGCCCGCCGGGGGGTCAACGATGCCGCCGCTGCGTCTTGTCCCAGCGCTGCCGACGGTGACGTTTCCGGGTGGCCTATTGTTCGGGTTATAGTCACTCGCGTCATATATGTTGGACATGTCGTCGTCCCATCCGATGGGGGCATTCCAAGCAGGTGCGACAGCTTCGCCGCCGCCTGGAATACTGCCGGCGCCCCCGTTTCCATCGTCGCCAGCGCCAGCGCCATTGCCATCCTCGTCTCCCCATCCGGCGGCAGGCCATGCAGTACCGCTGGCGCCCCCGTTTCCGTCGTCACTGCCATCGCCGTCATCGTCCTCCTCGTCGCCACCATGGTCGTCCGCGTCAGCGCCGTCCTCATCGTTTGCGCCAGCGGAGCCGACTTTCCTGTTGGACGAGGTTGACGCCTGGCCGGCGGCGGGATCAGAGGAGGGGACTTTCGTGCTGGACGACGCTGACACCCAGTTGGAAGTGGCAGCGCCAGCGACTTTCGTGCTGTCCGACGCCAAAGCCTGGGCATTAGCAGCCTCAAGGGCCACAAAGGCTGGAGGGGCAAAGACCGATCTTGAATCGCTTCTAGCCGGGGCGGTAGAGAAGGTTGCGGCGTACGACGGCGACGCTTGCGCGGCGGCGGCGGCGACAGGCAGAGTTTGGGTGTCAGGCAGAGATTGTGCGGCAGGCGGAGAGTGTGTGGCAGGCGGGTTTCGCGGCCATGCCGGCGCTCTCTGGCCGCTGATGTCGGGAGGGGGCGCGTCCTTTGGCTCGTTGAAGAGCCAGTGCACGAAGCGCTGCAGCTCCTCGTCCCCCTGTGGTGAGTCTTTCCACTTCTCGCCATCGGGGTCGCCGAGCGCGGCTGTAATCATCTGCTCGAGGAGTGTGAATTCTGGGCGCGCCCTGGGGTCGTGGTCCAGACACTTGACGATCAAATGCAGCAAAGTCGCATCCACGTCGGCAAATTCTTGATTGCCGATGAGCGAGACTCCGTAGCTGTACGCGTCGGCCCCGTTGAAGAGGTATCTCCTGAGCTGGGGCGGGTGCAGGGGATCACACCCTGTTACGATGGACCACATGATCATCCCGACCTGCCAGAGGTTGGTCCAGCGACCGAAGTCGCCCGGTGCTGAGATGGGGAGCTCATCCCGTCTCTGCCAGAGCTGGTCGTCCAGGTACTCCCACTCCAGTGACGTTTGCTCCTGTTCGGCGGGAGGTCTGCCGCGTTAGATGAGCTGGATGGGAAAAGAAGATGAGGGAAGGAGAAACGTACAGGTGTCTTCCACAGCCATTTGCCCGGATATCTCGCTTCGACGACCTGGCGCCTGACTATACGTTAGAACACTGCGAGGCGAGACCAAGATATGAACGTGATGGAGCGGATGGAGACGGACGACATACCAGTCATTTGTGTCGATAAACTTGCCACAGCCCAGATCAGAGACCTTTATTTGCAACCAGCACAGGGTCAGTGAAGGAGGCACTGGGTCAATAATTTGCATTGATACATACCTTGACGATAGGGAATAGCATGTAGTCCGGCCTTGCCCCCGGGGTTGGGGCTAAAATGTTGTCAGAAATCGGATGACATAACATGACTTTCGCTTCCTCTGGCTTGGAGGGAATAGGATATGTTGTATCTTACCAGTAAAATGTCCCTTATCGAGATCGCCAACAAGGACTATGGGAGCGAGTTAGTAATTTTCCCAGATACCAGCTTAATTGCACAGCTCCGGCCATGCTGCTGTTGCTGCAGGAAGTGGGCTGGTGCTCAAAGTCTACTCACCATTCTTGGGGTCGAGGTCCAGGTGAATCCAAGACCAGCCGGACTGAGGATCGTCGTACTCCAGGGAGCCAACTGTCTCATCCCACAAGATATTAGACCTGGGGATATCCTGCTGGCCTCCCCAGGCCATTGCGAGGGCGGCCTTGAAAACTGTGTAGCGGTGTGGTCGGGCGATGTCAGTCATTTACCTACATGAAGAGGGAAGAGAGAAAGGGTCAACGTACGGCTTCGGAAGATCGTCCACAAGAGCCTGTTGCACAGTTTCACCCGGTGGGTGCCGAGCTTTTCGAGAACGCCCCGGAGATCGCCATTCTTCATGAACTCGATGAGGAGGATCTCGTTCCCCTCGTCGATCCTCTCCTTCTTGTGCCTGTCCAGTGGGTTTATCGAGTCGTACCAGACCGCCTTGAGTTCTTCCGTGATGTGCAGACACCGCTTGAGAGCCTGGACGACGGGCGCAGAGGACGGCGGAACGAGATGGAGTCAGCTATGGGCGGTGAAATCGGGGATTAGACATTGAAGTGCGCAATGACATGATACTAACCCGGTGGTTCTCCTTTTCACCCTCGAGATCGTTGTCTGGGTCTAGCGAGACCTTGGCCACGACTTTGTGCGTCAAGCCGTACTCGTCCGTCGTCTCGAAGAGAGCGGTCACGCCGAGGCCGCCGTAGCCGAGGATCTTGACGAATCTGAAGCCGGTGGTCAGGAGGTCGGCGGTAGAGGCCACGACCTGTTGTCTGGCAGCCTCGGCGCCTGCCGACCCGCCTCCACTGGCACTTAGCTTCAACGACTGCTGGAGGAACGGGGTGCCCTGCATGGCGCCAATGAACATGGGGAGAAGGGTTGTGACATTTGGCCTGGGGAAATGCCACACTGGGATGTTGAAATATATGGGCTCTAAACGCTGGAGAAAATACTCTCGGAAGGCAAGGAAGTCGTTAATATGGCCGGTCCAGTAGTGGTTGAACACAATGTTCATGTAGATGGCCAGGTCTCGCGTCTGGCGTTCTCTGGGAGTGAGGATGTCGTTGATGTGTGGCATGGGACCTGCTGCAGGGACCTGCCCCGCTGGCGGTTGCGGATCAGGCTGTGGCCTCGACATGGTGACGAGGGCTTGCACAAGAGCAGAGACTAGTGCAGAATAACGGGTGTGGTGGGATGCCAGGCCTGGTTGAGGAAGAGTCGGGATAAGACGGGATGGAAGAGAAGAGAAGAACAGCTCGCGTATGCCTTGGTGAGCGAAGCGTTGGAACGGAAAGAAAAGGAAACCAGTTGTGGTTTCTAGCCCCGGGGGTTTTGAGGACGTCCAAGAGCTTTCTTTGGACAAAGGGCCGGGGCCCAACACGGGGAGCCAAGGCGGTGCCTTGGAGATTTGGCGACGAAAACAGACGCCAAAGGAAGGAGACCATCAAAGGGATGCTGCAAGAGCTGCACCACGGTTGCAGCCAACAAAGACGCATCTGGTGCAGGGCCTGGATTGAGAGTCTACGTATTTTTGTCACTCATGTTGAGCTTGAGCTCTTGGGATTGAGCTTTTGGGATTGAGCTCTTGGAATCGAGCTCCCAAGCTTGAGCTCTTGAGCTCTCGACTAGTTGGGTTTGGCAGCCCTGCAGAAGGCACAGAAAACCGACCAAAATGCAGGCTTGCCAGGGGGCTGGACCCGAGGACTCCCTGGTGTTATCGCCTAAAGTTAATGCCGGCATGTAGTCTGGTACAAAATGTGGGACACCCGCAGCAGCGAGCCAATGATGGGGTTACTGGGCACGGGCGCAGCCGCATGCGCCCAACGGGGAGAGCTTGTCGAGCCTGGAGTCTGGTTGACTCGCAAACTGCACCTGCCCGTTGAGCAAGGAATAAGCCTAGGAATCATAGCGGCGAGAAGAGGTAGAGATCTTACCTTGCGGGGGGCTCGTAGGGTCATTAAGTAGAAGAAAATGACCAAATTCGATATGTTCCCGAGTTTGCAATGTGACATCTTCATGGAAACTTTATGTGGCGGGCTTGATCACAGCATATCAAAAAAATTAACGTTAACTCAAGTTAGCTTTACACCACTACAATACACTGGTAGCAACATCAAATCCACTGAAATGATTCAATTCGCCATGTTCCACCCGCCACACCAGGCACACAAATAGGGTCGCCGGCTAGGGCGGCCCGAGGATCGCTGCAGGGCCAGGGGTGGGCGCCCGAGAAGCGGCTTGGCGCTTGATCTGCAGGTGTCTGCCATGACGCAGACGCAGCTCGAGATGTCGGCGCTCTGCTAGCACTTGCATCTGTCCGCCTGCATTCCTTGCTGGCACGACAGGCCTGGCCCAGCCATCTCGACTCGCCTCTCCCATCCCTGAGAGCTTAGCTACATGTACTATGCAAGCCCGCTGCCGCCAGGCCTCGTACGTCAGGTGCGACCCTGCTGCTTTATCTGCGGCGCCCTGGGTCTCTTCTTTAAGCCAGCCGACCCCCCTGTTTTTGTTTTAGCTGTCCCCTCGCCCCTTCCCCCACCACTGGTGCCAAAATCGCCCGCCCAGACCGCCGCGCCTAGATCGACCGCACAGCGGGCTTGCCTAGCTGTAACAAGAGATTGGAAAAGCTTGTCCCCCTCCACCCACACCCACACCTACACCCACACACACATCTCACTCTGCCCCTGCTGGTGATCGCCCGGCTGGCTTCTGCTTTTGTGTTTGAGACCGCGACGAACACGCCTGGCAAAGTTGCCGCCCCTGCGAGATGCGTGAGTTACCCTATCGTCTGCTCGTGCTTCCTCGCCTGAGCGTCGCGTGTTGAGCTGGCGCCCGGACTATTTGTCTCGACCGTTTGCCCACTCCAAAGCGCCAACGTCGAGAGCCAGAACGACAACGACCGTGGCGGTTTGACGCACGCAGCCCTGACCAGCCACGCTGACAGATGACATATTACCCAGATCGCATCCGCAGATGGGCGCGCGAGAAAGCCCGCCGCCAACCCGCCAGACGGGCAAGCTTGAGTAGGAATGCCAGGAACGCCAACACCCCCAGCGCCAATACAACGGTCACGCCACGGGGCGGGGCCGGTGCGACCCAAGATGCGACCCAAGATTCCAGCGGCCGCGCGGGCTCAGCCCTCGACCCTTCTGCCGCTGCCCACGAAGACGGCAAGCTCACAACTGATGACGACGATGGGTACGCCCAGAAGAGCGCCTTCCAGCGCTTCCTCATCACTATGTGGGACGTCCTGATCTACAGCTACCTGAACTTGCTGCTGGTGTTTGTGCCCGTCGGCATCGCCGCGCACTTTGCCCACCTCTCGGGCGGCATCGTCTTCTCCATGAACGCCATCGCCATCATACCCCTGGCCGGGCTGCTGTCGCACGCCACCGAGAGCGTGGCCGCCCGCCTGGGCGACACCATCGGCGCGCTCATGAACGTGACGTTTGGCAACGCCGTCGAGCTCATCATCTTCATCATCGCCCTGGTCAAGAACGAGATCCGCATCGTGCAGGCCTCGCTGCTAGGCTCCATCCTCGCCAACCTGCTGCTTATCCTGGGCATGTGCTTCCTGCTCGGCGGCCTCCGCTTCCGCGAGCAGATCTACAACAGCACCGTGACGCAGATGAGCGCTTGCCTCCTTAGTTTGAGCGTTACTAGCCTCCTACTGCCAACAGCCTTCCACGCGTCATTCAGCAACATGGAGACGGCCGACGTCAAGGTCTTGCAAGTCAGCCGCGGTGTCAGCGTCATCCTGCTTCTGGTGTACGGCCTTTACCTGATCTTTCAGCTCAACTCGCATTCGTACATGTACGAGTCGACGCCCCAGCACATCATCGACCAGGAAATGGTACCGGGCCCGGCCGCGAACTACTTCAACGGCTCGTCGTCGTCGAGCTCCGACTCTTCTAGCTCCTCAAGCTCCGATTCGGACTCGTCCAATTATTCGCGCAGCACTGCCAAGAAGATCAAGCGAGCCGTCAAGCGAGCCGCCAACCGGAGACATAGCATGTCATCGTCTGACTCTCGTCCTGACAGGGGCGCCACTGATCGCTCCGTGGCGACCGAGAAGAGCACGCCTCTCAATGCAACGTCCCCGGCCACCGACATCCCAGCCTTTATGCCTGATGGCACCGACGCGACCCCAGCCGACGACGAGGCTGAGGGAGGTTCCAACTTGGAGAAGACGCGCAAGAAGAAGAAGGGCCGTAAACACCGCAAGCACCGTCACCGCCACCACAAGCGCCGGCCTGCCACAGAGTCTACATGCGCGGAGCAGCAGCCTGGCAGCCAGACTGAGCAGCCGCTGTTTGCGCCGATTATCACCACCACTGCACCCGAGGACGGCGAGCCGCGCAGGGTCGACTTTGCTCTCGCGCCTGACGTCGAGGCCCAGGCTGCCCCCCAATCCCGCCCCTTCTTGCTCCGTGCCCTGCGCCCAACCATGCCCAAGACCATATCGCAGACCGTCTTCTCGCCGCCGCCGCCGCTCAGCCCGGCGCAGCCACTCAGGTCTCCTCTGTCCCTGCACAGCCCGGCACACCAGCAATCGCACCACCACCATCACCACCACAGGGAGCGAGGTCCCCGACGTGCCAACTCACTACCCTCGTTCCACCCGGAAGTCCAACCCCAGCACCTGCTGCCGGGTGCCATCCCTCCCATCGTCCCCATTGTCGTTAACAGCACGCCTAGAAGGGCTTCTGTCGTCACGAGCGGCCCCGACGCCAACAATGCTAGCCCTGGAGGCGAGATTGGCGATGACGAGAGCGGCCCCCACCGCCAGATGTCGCGCACCACGGCCGTCATTCTGCTTCTCGTGTCCACGGGCTTGGTCGCCATCTGTGCCGAGTTCATGGTGGACGCCATCGGCGAGGTAGTCCAGGGATCGGCCGTGTCGGAGGCATTCATCGGCCTGATCCTGCTGCCCATTGTCGGCAACGCGGCTGAGCACACGACGGCCGTCACAGTGGCCATGAAGAACAAGATGGACCTGGCCATCGGCGTGGCCTTAGGCAGCTCCATCCAGATCGCCATCTTCATCACGCCCCTGGTCGTCATCCTGGGCTGGATCATGGGCAAGAAGATGTCGCTCTACTTTACGCTCTTCGAGACTGTCAGCATGTTCGTTAGTGCCTTTATTGTCAACTTTCTCGTGCTCGACGGCCGCAGCAACTACCTCGAGGGCGCCCTGCTGTGCTCTGCCTACGTCATCATATCCGTCGCCGCCTTCTACTACCCCAACGCTGAGGCCGCGAACCTGCTCGGTGGCGGTGCCGATGATGGTAATGCCACCGTCACCGCCACCGTCACGGCTATCGCCGCCACGGTGACTGGTAACGTCACCGGTCGCGCCTTTGGCTTTTTTACCTAGGCGACTCTGGAGTTGTTCCATCCCGAAAAAGAAGTTTCGATGCTTGGAGTTTGCCATGGACCGCTCAACTCGAATCTGCGATGATTTTATTTTTTCTGCTCTTGCCCGGGCTCGGGAAGACCTTTACTTTTGAGGTGCGAAGGCAACTGTCCTGGTCACTTTCCTCGGATCTTTTCGAAGGACTGCAACAAGTTTGTAATCATATACCGTTCTTGTGTAATTATGGGGGGAAATTGTAGATATAATGGCTCAAAGCTGGTCCGGGTCGGCCATCTCTGCGATGGTATCTAGACACGCCGCCTGTTATGCGCAAGCATCTCACAGGAGTCCGCCAGGGATTAAGAGCTGGGAATGTCTGGCGCAGTTTGGCATGAGGGAGGGTGGTGGTGGCCGGGGTTTGTTCTTCTTCGGGCTTTCGAGTTCAGTTTCTGCACGGCTTCCGTTTGTTCGAGCACATTCCATTTGGCAAACGTATATCCCGCAGACTCACTCGCGTCCGTTAGATAGACACCACGACACAAAGAATCGATGGGATATCTACAAGGGTCCACACGTAGTGAGACGTCAGTTACTATCCCTGACTTTGGCCTTGGTTTCGATAACCCCCGCCGTTCTGTTAACCTTTAAGCGCCCGCGTGCTTTTAATTTGTTGCGCGCCAGCAAGGAGCCCTGATATGCAAATGTGAACCGGGATGAGTGTTGCCGCCAGCACCATGGTCGCGCCCACCCTCTGGGCGGTATCAAGGGCCTCTGCGCGGATGCGGTATTGTTAACAAGCGTTTACCGGCCCTCTAGATGACCTGCACCCAGGCAGTCATTTGTGGACGAGGTGCCCCAAACCGTGCTGCGGAAGCCTGTTGGCGTAACTGGCCTGGGCGAGCATACTGGCATCAGGCCGGGTATCTGGAGTGTCCAGGCGGCTCAGAGGGGCGAAAGACGCCGAATCGGCCGAGGGAGCGGCCGAGGGGCCCCCGTCCCGGAAGGGTAGCCGGGTGCATCTTGTGTAGCATCGCCCCGTCCCTGTAGACACGTCCCCACGCCACCGGTGGCTTTGTGCTGCTGCTGCTGCTGCGTGGTAGGCAGAATATGGGTTGCCCAAGGCAGTGTGGTCTCTGACGGGCGCCATGGCCTGTGAAGGAAGTTGGTATACAGCCGGCGTCATGGAAGAGCAACAGAGGACTTTATGATAGGCTTGCCGTTAATCTGGACTCGAACTCGCCACCCTGCCCATCGACGTGTTGGCCTCATGCAGCGGAGACGGGAACGGGCTGTTAAATACCGATGCTCTAGCTCCACAGATACCTTAAACGCCGAGCTCGCTGCTGCACCGGAGCAGTGTGGTCGGTGCCTCACTCGTGCCTCCTAGACTAGGCAGGGTCCCTCTCTGCTAGGCTAGCGGCCGTGGTGAGCGTGCTCCCCCGGCCCTGCGTCGGCCCCGCATTGGCCTGGCTCGTGAACCGCTGGGGTGGGTTGCGGGTGTTGCAAAACGGGGTATCAAGCTCACCTTTAACCGCACCGTAATGGCTGCAGCTCATCCACTGGGCCGATAGCCCTCGAGGAGGAGAAGACATGCCTCGGTTGGACAAGCGGTCGTGGCCCTCTGGTCGCCGTTATCATGTCTAAGGATGGCAAGGTTTCTGAGGCCGTCCATCGAGCCCGTCACTCCGCGGCGCTAGGTGTCCCCCTGCTTGTACGATCTTGTGACGACGGACGGAGGCCCGAGCACGCACTCTGGATCTCTACTCCCATCTTGGCGCTGTCCAGTGGGACGTTTCCGGTGCCAAGATCCCCCGTTTTATGCCACAGCCTCTGTGGTTGCCATCCATCGACTGCTGGCCGAGAGCAGCGGGGAACTACCGGCAACCTCGAAAGGGGTCTGCCCCTTTCAGCGGTGAGGCGATACTCTGACAGAGGCAGCGCTGGCTGGTATCTGCAGGTGTCGCATGCACATAATCGGGTTGTCTTCGTTGCGTGCCGTCGGCGCCACGAGCGCGGCGGCGTGTGAATCTGGGGTATTGGCCGCTGCCTGGAGAAGTCGCTAAACGTGAGGGCATCGTACCTGGGCGTCCCACGTCTCGTTAGCTTCTGGTGACCGGGCAGAAAAGGGTCACACATTATGACTAGCTGAGACTATGGATGGACGGGGGCTTATCGAGTGCCACCATGCTCTCAAAAAGCCATGATCTTACAATCCTGATTACGTGCTTGTAGCGAGGCAGACTGCTGACATGAGCTCTGTTGGTTGTTGGGGATGCCATATTGAAGGCTGGGTAGGGTCAATCTAGGTACCCCTATCGATGTGACATTGAGGGTCGTCCTTGTATGTGCCTGCCCACCCTTCCAGTGTCTGATTGGCCAAAGCTCCGCCCACGGCTGCACGGGAGGTTCGAGAACAAGGTGGCGTTGTCTGGCTGCTAGCTCAGGCCCCGCTCCTACTGCCAGCCCCAGCGGGGAATCCTTCCCCGTCTAGAATACATGTATGCTGCTGCCTACGAGCCCGATCTGTGGTGAATCCGTCGCGACCACCTCCCACACTGCCTGCCAGGCCTTCCTTCTGGGCCGTCCTACATACTAGCGGACTCCTAGAGTATCGATAGCAGCATTGGCCCACCCAGGGCAAGCAAGCCTCTTGCGTTTCTGCCGAGATTTGGGCAATGGTTTGGAAAAGAAAAATTACATTCCAGATAGAACATCACAGAGAGTTCAGGGGAGCGGGCTATAATAAAGTATACTTGCAATGTCTCGAGGTATTTCGAGAACAAGAGCCGATAGCTATGATCGCAAATCATGCGAGCAGTGAAAATGGCCGAGGGGAGTTCACTGTCCGGCACATGTACCCCGGCCTCGGGGGAGATGGGGTCCGAGCTGGGGGCGCAGCCTGCCTATGAGTGCAGAGCTACAAACTTCTAGTCATCTGGTCCGTGTAGATGTCCTGGCCGTTCTCCGTCTCCCCCTGATAGATCGATCCTCTTCTGTCAGGCACAGGACGGGGCCCTTTCGCGAGATGTTTGCGTCGTTGTCCATCCCGCCCAAAAGTCCCCATGCCGACAGGAATACCCATTCCTAGCCCGCAAGTCCCACGAATGAGGCTGAGTGCTAGTCAGGAACATGCTGGGCAGCTGACATGCATGAAGCGGATGTGGCAGCTGGTGGTCGATGTGGCTGGCAGCATCTCCGGCTCCCTGGACCGCATCATGTCAGTGTGGATCCTCAGCTTGACCTGATGCGGCAGGCGAGAGAGGCCCTGCAGACGTACCCTAGCTAGCGCAGCTCGGCATTGGGGGCCAGGCACGCGGGGCCATCCCTGCGTCCCCGTTTAGAAGGTGACAAGAAATCTGACGGCCGGGATTGACGTAGTGATGCTCTTATCGGTGCCTGCCCGGCGGGACTTCCAAGAAACTTCCCCTCATCCTTCTCCAGCTTTTCGACTAGTCGCTCCCATGTCGAGCCGTACGCCGCCTGCCAGCTGAGGGGACAGGGGGCTGAGCTCCATGCTTGGCTCCTCCTGTGAGGTGGTTTGGGAAGCGGAAAGCGGTGCCACGCCCTACATCAACCCCACCCTCACCCATCAGACGCAACCTATGATTAGACGAGCTTCCCCAGCGTCTCCTCCTCCAGCCCGGCCTGCCACTGTCTCCTCTCCGGTTCGTTGTCGGTCGCCAGCAGACAGCCTCCCCATCTGACGCTTGTCCAGCAGCCAGTCCTCACGCCTCCCCCCTCACCGCCCGTCACCATGAGGTTCTCCGCCGCCAAGGCCCTGGCTCTGGCCCTCGCGGCCCTGCCGCTGACGTCGGGCTCGTCGCTCGAGAGGCGCGCGTCCATGTACGACGGCTACAAGGTGTACCAGATCGACGCCGCCGGGGAGGACTACGCCGGCATCGCCGACGCCGTCGCGAACATCGAGGCCGCCGTCCCGCTCGCCTGCGCCGAAGCCCACGACCACCTCGACGTGGCGGTGGCGCCCGACGCCGTCGGCCAGCTCGAGCGCCTCGGCCTCAAGATGAAGCTGCTCAACGACGACCTGGGCGCAAACATCCGCGCCGAGGGCGAGGTGAAGCCCTACGTGTCGGCCCGCGCCGCCGCCGTCGCCGCCCGCCAGGCGCCGGGCCTGCCCGACAAGTCGTGGTTCGACTCGTACCACGAGTTTGACGAGCACCTCGAGTGGCTGGACGACGTACAGGCCGCCTTCCCGAAGAACTCGCAGACGTTTGTGGCCGGGAACTCGCTCGAGGGCAGACCCATCAAGGGAATCCATCTCTATGGCCCCCAGGGGCCCGGCAAGCGCCCGGCTGTAGTTTGGCACGGGACGGTGCACGCGCGGGAATGGATCACTGCTCCTGTATGAGACACGTACCCTTGAAATAGCCTCCTCTCGAACCGAGTCCGTTGCTGATCTGAAACTCTGCTAGACTGTCGAGTACCTGGCGTACAAGCTAGTCGACGGCTACCTGAAGAGGAGCTGCACGTCGAAGCGCGCCATCGACAACTTTGACTTTTACATCATGCCAGTCGTCAACCCAGACGGTAGGAAGACATCTCCTTGAGCAAGCCCTCCAAGATGCGCACGCCGTGACTGACCACAACCCCAACCCCACGACAAGGCTTCGTCTACACGCACACCACCAACCGCCTCTGGCGCAAGAACAGGCAGACGCGCCCCGGCGCCTCGTGCGCCGGCACCGACGTCAACCGCAACTGGCCGCACCAGTGGGACGTTCCCGGCGGCTCGTCGACCAACCCCTGCTCAGAGACGTACCGCGGCCTCGCGCCCGGCGACACGCCCGAGAACGCGGCCCTGGTCAACCACACGCTCTCGGTGGCGCGGTCCCAGGGGCTCAAGTTCTTTGTCGACTGGCACTCCTACTCGCAGCTGATCCTGCTGCCGTACGGCTACACGTGCGACAAGGCGCCCGAGTCCAACGCGCGCCAGATGGAGCTGGCGGCCGGGGCCGCGGCCGCCATCAAGGCCGTCAACGGGCTCGACTTTGTCTACGGGCCGACCTGCCCGACCATCTACCAGACCTCGGGCGTCAGCATGGACTGGGGCTACGACGTGGCCGGCGCCGAGCTCGCGTGGGGCTACGAGATGAGGCCCGCGTCCTCGGCCGAGGGCGGCTTCGTCATCCCGCCCGAGAACATCGTGCCGTCGGGCGAGGAGCAGTGGGCCGGGTTCAAGTACCTGCTCGCCAACTGGTAGCGGAAGGTTCCAGATCAGACCAGGATGAGTAAAGAAGCACAGGGAGTGTCTGGAAGGCCAAACATCAATCCAAAATATTCTACAAGTACGTAAACTGAGCGTTTAGTCATAGCTGGCATTCGATAACGAGCAATACGTAATCCTATAAATTCTTTGCCGTCGCTTCTCTTTCCTGAAATGCCGAGATCAGCACCTTGTGCCATCCGCCTGAGTCGACACCCACACCACCCCATCATTGTCTCGGCCTTTGCGGTTGCTTCCGGTGCACACCCTCCTTCGGAGCATCTCCCGAAGGAGGTTCGTGTGCCTGTCCGCGTGGCCAATTACATGCCGCATCCTCTTGGTCACGTTAGATCATTACACTACAAGGGTATTTTTATACACCACATTGCACGACTACCGGGCGCAACCATCACTCCTTGTCATCGTTTGTGTTAATCCAAGTTTTTTTTTACTATATTTCAAGAGAGCGTCCTATCTGGTCCTTGACCACAACCACTGACTCTAACAATTAACAATAGCTGGTCAGCGTCCGATCCGGACATCGCTCCAAGCACCACACTTGGACTTGAGTGGTGTGCTGTGTTCCCAGTCCTCATCCCCGTAATCGCTAGCTCCTCCTTGGAGACACGCCCGACATCAGTGAGACCCTAGACATCACTTCGCCGCGACCACCTTAGCGGCGAAAGGAGTGGAACTCGACGGGGATGGCGTCGGCGCTGGCGCCCGAGTCGGCAAGCTTTTCCAGCTCCTGGACCTTCTCCTCCGACAGGCCGGTGATGTTGTACTCGGTGCCGTCGGCGAGGCCGACCGTGTTGTACTTGACCGAGCTCGTGCACTTGCCGCCGTCGGCCTGCTCGGCGGGGCACGTGTCCTCGATGGCGCGCTTGCGGTTGAGGAACCAGTACTTGCCACCCGTCCGGTTGCCGCGGGTGGTGAAGGGCAGGCAGACGAAGCCGGCACCGTTCGAGTCCCCCTGGCCGCCGAAGGACGAGCAGCCGCCCTCGGTGTAGGCCTCGCAGCGGATGCGCCAGTTCGTCGGGATCTGTGCGGTTTTTTTTTTTTTACCCCAGTTGTTAGATCGCCTGCCTCCTATCCTCGTCACCTTGGTGGAAAAGAGGGAGGGCGCGCGGCGAGTCCTCCCGTCTCATCACTTACCGCGGCGAAACCGACGCTGGCCATGCCGGCGTCCTGCGGGAACGTGCAGCACACATTGGGGTTGATGTTCGCGCAGGACCGGGTGCTGCCGTTGCAGCCGTCCGCCTGGTAGGCCCTGATGTCGATGGCCGACGCGGTGGCCGCGAGGGCGACGAGGACGGACGACGAGAAGTGCATGATGGATGGCGGTGCTGGGGCGGTTGGGATGCCGGGCGTTTGCTGTTGCTGTGCTGTCGCTGTAGCCGTTTGTGGGAAGCCTGCTGGAGGAGCTGATGGCGATGAGGGAGGAAGGAGAGAAAGAAGCGGACTTGGAGGAGCGGACGGGTTGGCTTTATACTACTTCGCGAGGTCTGCTTGCTGATCCCGAGACTGCCGCAGGGCCTCTTTGCTTTGGTTAGTAGCTGTCAGTACACCAAAACCATCGCTGGGCAAGAGGACTTCGATCGGGCCGTCTTACCATGTCCTGAGATGTCAAGTTCGCTGGTGCCATGCACCATCGTGGAGATGCCACCAGTATCTACCTCGGTCATCAGTTGCTGGCCTCGCCACCCCTGCACCGCAGCTCCTTCGGCGATAACTCTCGCGCACCAATTGGTGACGTTAACTGCCAAGATACTTGGCTGGCACGACAGTATCTCGTAAGCGAATCTACCGCAATGGGTCTCCTCTCGGTCGCAATCCTCAACTGCTGGCATTGCAGCCAGGTCGGCCAGCTGGCCAACCGCCGTATCCCCACCGGCGCCTATCCCCGATCCCAAACTCCGACGGTTCGGTCGACAGATTTCCAAATGAGGGGGTGCTAGGGCATTTCGGCCGCCCTGTTTGGTTCAGCCGACTTGCCAAGCACCGAACTAGTGACCGCTGGCCTATCGATCGAGAGTGCCTTGCGTCTTACATGCGTCTTGTCGGACCATGTCACGGCTAGGCTGGCTTACCCTATATAAAATGCGCCCCCATTCCCATCCTCTTATGCTACCTTGGACGGAGCCGGTAGGCAAACAGGCTAGTGCCCCCATGTGGGACTTGAAGTGTGGAGACAAGCGGCCGCTTGGCGCTATCCGTGCCCAACTAGGGAACCGAAAGAGCTTGGTATTGGGGGTCCATGGAGCCTTGGTCAGCAAGCCAAGAGACGGGCTGGCGGGGAGCTTATATCTTACGTGTCTGGCTTGCTCAATGGACCTTGGGGCTCATTCCGCCACCCTTACCAGCACGTTTGGCTGCCTACCCCGCATCATTCGCCTGCTTGCACTGTCCGTCTATCGCTTGCAAGAAACACAGTCCAAGCCGAGATGCTTGGCCACCGGTGGCGGGATGTAGGCGATGAATCGAACATAACACCCCGGACGAAGGCGTCAGCTGTGGTGGTGCCGCCTCATGGACGTTGCTTAGGCTGGGTCCCCAAGCGAGTGCTAGGCCTCGTCGTCCTCTCTGCTTGTTGCAGTTCTGTTCTATCGGATATGGCCCACAACGCCCACCACAGCGCCGAAAGGGCCGACGCAAAGCAGCACAGTCGACAAGTTCTCCCGGCTCTCGGCTCCAAGACCGGGGCTTGGTGGTGGGGGTGGGTGTGGGGCATGCAGTAAGTCGCCGCATTCGACGCATCGCTTCGAGTTCCCGACGTCTCGATGGAGGGGCGGAGACGCGACGGCGGACCTGCAGCGGGACTTCGTAATGCCAAAATCACCCAAGCCGTCAGCTCTTCGATTCCAGCAAGGCACACACAGCGTCCAGGGCGGGGATATTGGATCAACGGAGCTTGGGGCCCAGCGGGGGAGGGTGAGCCTGTGACATGCAGGTCACGATGCCTCAGGCTGTAGTCAACACGCCTAGACTTGGGTATGGGATCGGAAGGTGACAGACTCTAGGTCGGCAGCGATGACACGGCCAAGGGATGACACGGCAAAGGCAGCGTCTGTGGCGGGTATTTGGGATGATCAGGAGTACCTGTGCTTCATCGATGTTAGTGTCGACCGATCCAGTGAGAACAAGGTGGTGACCTGGAGATGAGTTACTAGCTAAGGTGACTCAAGGCTGAGTGGGGTTGACAGGTTTGAGGATCGTCGATGCTTGGGTTGAGGATGTGGGGAGGTTCTGTGTTCAAAAACAGACGTGTCCCCGCACTCTTCATCTAAGCGGGCCAGGTGAACAAGGGATCGCACATGGAAGGCACGAGCGGAGCCCCGGAAGCTCAACCTCTCCCCAGCGGGTCGCGGGCAATTGTTAGGCGAACGCTGGCTCTGAGCACGTGCATCCCGCATTGGCATGGCATAATTGAACAAGGAAAGACACACTGGAAACACAGAGACAGGAAAACCCAAATGATAAAGAAGTAAAACGACTTTGTATTTTGACCAGATGGAGGGCGAGCCCGACCTTGGCGACAACGCCGGGCCTTCCTGGTACTATCTAATCCTGGCAAAATAAATTCTATGCTTTCTATACCCTAATTATACCATAACCCAAGACGTGTAAAAAGATGCTGCGGCTGGAGGATTCGTCGCCCGGTGGCACTGGCAGACCGCTGAGGAGGTGAGGTTCGTGTGGCGAACCGCTTAGCAGACGGGGACCTTGATGGTCTGTCCGACCTCGAGCAGGAGGGGGTCGACGCCCTGGTTGGCCTTGAGGAGGGCGTTGACGTCGAGGTTGAACTTCTGGGCGACCAGGAAGAAGGTGTCGCCCGAGGCGATGGTGTAGGTCGACGCGCCGCCCTTGACGCACGACAGGTTCTCGGTGGGCTTGGCCAGGCACGACACGTTGTCGAGCTTGCAGGGGTTGGTGGGCACCTTGAGGACCTCGCCCAGCTTGATGAAGTTGGGGTTCTGCAGGTTGCTGGCCTTGACGATGTTGCAGATGCCAGACTGCATCTTCTGCGAGATGGTGGTCAGGGTGTCGTCGGAGACCACGGTGTAGTCGACGACGGGGCCGGCCGTGCAGAAGACGGGGGCGCGGGTGCCGGTCGGGGTCGGCGCGGTGGTGGTGGTGGGGGCGGTGCCCTGGGGAGCGGCGGCGGCGAAGCCGGCGGCGATGATGGCAACAATGGAGAACTGCATTCTGGCGGTTTGGTGAGTGGGTAGTGGGTGGAAAGGACTGGAAAGTCGGGTCGTGCGGAAAGATCAGCGAACGAAAGACTGTGGTGGCTAAAAGCCGAGAGGGAAAGACTGAAGTGAGTGAGTGGTAAGAGACTGAAGCTGTGGGCTGGTGAAGAGGAGAAGATACGAATACCCAGGGGTCGACAGCGGCAGCAGTCTTATAGCGATATGCTGGGCATGGGGCAGCCCGCGGACAGGCGGTGCCCCTATCGCCAGGTGTGCAAGCTCGCGTGTGCGAACCAGATTCTTAGTCTCCGGAGCCACCGATCTCCTGCGCGTAGCGGGCTTTCGGCAGACCCTCAGGGCCGTTCCATCGGGGCTAAACTCTAAACCGCCGCCTCCTGGACTGAAGATAGCAGTACCCTGGCCCCTGGACAAGGCGATGGCGCTGTCCCGGTTCATTGGCAGGCCCACTTTCCCGGGAGTGCCATCCCAAAGCGGACGAACCCTCTCGAACCTTGCCCGTTTGGGGGCCAGACGACTCGTGGCTTCAGGATGTGGAGCGATAATGAAACTGACCTTTGAGGTTTAGTGAAGATACCCCTTTCCACATATCCCCTAACCATGATTCCCACCGTTGACAGACACCTTGGACCGCACTCGTACCCCCTGGTCAAGCTCAAAGTGGGCTCTGGCGGAAATTTGTGTGGTCCATGACTGCCATGATATGGAACTAGATGCTGGCACTTAGTGCTCGGGGTGCGATGGCGCATTCAATCCGGATCTGCCCTTGTGGTCCGGCGCGGCGCGTCATCCCGGATGCGAGCGCGGAAAATATTGCTCGGCCCAGCCGGCCGATTCCCACACCGCCCCAGATGGCAGATATCCTGACGCCTCACAGCGGGCTACAGGGGCTGCGGCAACGGCCAGATGCGACGAGGGAGAGCGTCCGGTCCTTGGCAAGACGTCAATCGTATGATGGGACTAGTCAAGGGGCACCCTGTATTCCCCAAACTTTCCCAGGAATCCGGCCGCGAGGTCCCCGTTGTGTAGCGGTGATTCCGGAGGCATAAACTTTCCTCGTACCTAGGTACACTTGCTGTTCTGGGACACGGGGTGACCCATTGGCAACCGTTGCGTAACGGAGGATGCGCCGTGCTGGCAAAGGCTCGGGGGGCTGTCAGGGGGAGGATCAGTATCGAGTCAGCTAGATGAACACGAGGGGTGGTGCTGCGATATTTGGAGTATTCTAAGGTGGCAATGCGTCCAATGCTGCTGACGTAGTCCTTCCAGGTGACGATGTATTTATAGTTTGGTCCTTTTGGCCTCCTCCACCCTCAGCCCTACTCATCGCTGACCTCTCATCCGGGTCCGGTAGGGTAGACGGTAAATGAAGACTGTTCAACGGGGCGCTTTGGGCTCGTTCCCTAGGTAAAGATTTGGTTTCACCTCGGCGGATACAAACGTCGTTGACAGACGCCGAGACGGGGAATCGGAGACCTCTTTAGCCCGTTTGATGCCTGCACCGTGAGATATAGGTAGACGCGGCTGTGGGACTAGGTTTGATATCGGATGGTGAGTAATTCTAACACGTTAAGGATAGCTTGAGGATGATTTGGGAGTAGGGAGATATACAGACACACCAGAGAATGAGAGCTGGGTGGACAAGGATCCCAATGAGGTGTGACGCTGCTGCCGGGCTTTTTCCTCGAACACCAAAGTCTCTTCGATGTCTCCTTGTCTGCGGCTGCCTTGCACTCATAGGGTGCGCGCTGTCGTGGCCTCTCCATGCCTAGGTTTAGGCCGGTGAAAAAGGGCAGCAGCAGCATTATTGGAATTTCCGGAATAATAGGTGGCAAGATGAAAGGGGGTATGGAGAAACTCTGGCTTGTGCGGTGAACCCGAACGGTGGAAAAAAAGTGGCGTAAGTAAAGTGAGAGAAAAGTCTAGGTGTCTCGCAGCTGTCCACCACGGGCACCGCTGCAAAACGAGGCTGGAGCGGGTCTCCCGCTTTCAGGCCCCACCACAGACTACTGCTGAGGCTTGAATCACAGCCTCGTTGCGCTGTTTCGAGTTTAATGGGGTATAGTGTGTGTAGTTGGGGGATTGCATCAGAGCTGAAGGCCCGAAGAAAGTAATGACCAGTTTCTAAGTAGTAGAGCCAATTCACCCATCGATTTATCTACCCAGCTAGGTAGGTACAGTCAGCTGGCGCGAACATTCCTCCACCAATGACGAAGAAGCACCACTTGTCACAAAGGAGGCTATCACCAAGGGCCGGCACACTATTCCAGACCTTAGCACGGAAGATTTGCACAGGCACCCGGTGCTCCGCACCGGTGCTTCGCCAGGCAAATGCTTACCGAGCACCCGTCAGCAACAACAGGGGTGCGGTAGTGGGTACCACACCTGCAAAATACGGGTATCATTGTAGATAAAAGGGCACGAGGCCCATGGCCGTGTGCCCCGTCTTCCTTCCTCTTGAGATATCTAGATAGGCCTACAATAGAACCTATCTAGCACCGTTTGTCCATCACACTGCCATCTTGTGATAGCCAACAAACTACTAACCACCCATATTGATCGTCGTTCCACTGCCGAATGTAGAACCTAGTATGTTGTGGCTATTTCCACTTTGGCCTCCATAATTATGCGTCACAGTCGTGACCGGGCCCTGTCTGGAGGCTCCCGACCTCCCCGTCATGTCGTCCGGAGGCTCATACTGCTCAAGGATTGCCACAGCCACCGAGGCCGCCGTGGCGGCCGCGAAATTCTGCCAATGCTTGTTCTTGTGGCTGTCGGCGTAGTCGCAGATACCCTTGACCACAAGACAGGAGAGCACCTCCCAGGCCCCAGCCCCCTCCATTTCGAAGGCGATGATGTCGTGCTCCTTGGCCTTTTGGTCTCGGTGGCGGCCCGACATCATGACGGCGTTGCCGCACGCGACCTTGCCCAGGAATATCTGCGGAAGGCCCGTCGCGTAGCCCATCGCGTAAAGCTGCTCCCTCCGGGCGTCGCCCCTGCACACCTGTCGATCATCCTCGCAGCCGGCGTCGTCGCAGGTCTTGCGGGTGACCGGTTCGCAGAATCTCCGAGGCGTGGCGTCGCATTCAGCACAATCCTCCTTGCGGTCGATATGCTCGTAGTCGGAGGGGAAGATCAGGTCCAAATCGTGGCTGGGTGACTTGTAATTTGCTTTGCGCCTCTTCTCGCTGGCCCTGGCCTGCAGCTGGCCAAGATTTTTCGCCGCACTCTCTTTGAGGCGGCCCATGTCGTGCTCCCTCTCAAGGAAGGACAGCAGGGATTGAAGCTTGCTGCTCGGCGGCCCAAGTGTGTTCTGGATGTCGAACTTTACCGCGAAATGATCCGTATACTGTGTACCGAAGTCGTAGTTGAGGAGGCTGGTGCTGACGACAACGTCGCCGAGAAATGCGTTTTTGTTATTGATCTGAGGCAGGCCGCCGCAAACGCCGACGATGAGCCCAAACTGGATGTTGGGGAAGCTCATGATCATCTGTGCAGATCCGGCGGTAGCCGCCTGTGGGCCTATCGAAGGCAGAGTGAGCAGCACGATATGGTGCTTCCCGAGTCGCCCTGTTTTGTACTTATTGGTGTCGCCTGGTGCCTTCCCGAAGGCTGGCCCGGCATCATCGTACAGCTCGTCAAAGAGTAGATCAACTGCGTTGGACTCAATCGGCATAGCGCATATGATGGCGATGTAGAAGCCGAGGCGATCCGTTGGCGGGGACATGGCGTTTTTTGAAGATGTATGAAATGGGGAAAATATACAAGCGGTGAGTAGGAGGAAAAGGGGCAGTCGGGGACAGAAAAAAGGCCAAGATCGTGGGAGTAGCAGCAGAAAATAAAGAGAGGACAAGTTCTGAGGGCTAGTCAAGCGCAGCGTCGAGATAACATGTGTGTGCGAGAAATAGGGAGAGCGAGCCGGAGATGGGGGAGGGGACATGGGAAAGGAGGGGAAAACTGGCTTGAGGTATAGGAGCGGCGGCACCCCACACGAAGGCGGAGTGGTGGAATGACAATAAACTAGCCAATCAGTGTCGCTGAACAGCCACATTCATGTGGGAAATTGAGAGACCATTGCCCGAGCGCAGACAGGCTACGACAGCTTATGCAGAAATTTCAGCCCAACCAGGGAAAGGTGCCACTTAAGTGGCTGGACTTGGACGACTGTTAAGCAGGCGCTGGCTTGGCCGCAGGAGCTGAAGATTACGGACATTATTCATCACTGGCGCACGAGGTAATCTATGCAGAGCGCCAAAGGAGTAATGCACAGGACCAGGTACTTTTACTGGCACAGAAGTCACTTAAAAAATAAATAGCGATGTAGAAGTCTTCGCAATGGTTTGTATTTCACCAAAAGGGAGCCGCATGGTCTATCTTTAAGAAAAAGAGGAGGGAGGGAAAGAACGGGAGAGCAAGATCTAAACGACCCAGATCATCAACCCGATGATGGTGTTGTGGGCGAGGCTAAGGAGGGTGTTATCCTAGAGCGTTAGTGTCTGACGTCCCCTTACTGTGGGTAGCCTCAAGGGAAGGGAAGGTGTCGATCAAAGATCACGAGAGCTGACATACCGGTGCTTAGGGGGTGGGCGGCTGGACGACGATGAGGACTGGCGGCGGCGGCCTCATGGTGATGAAGATTGGGCGGCGGATGCTGCCCCGCGCCCACATGCCTCTCAGGCCGCCCTGGGCGAGGCGCGCCCTCTCTGCGGCCAGGCCGCGCTCCTCCTCGGTGGCGGGGCCGCGCTCCAGGTCGGCCATCTCGTAGGCCTCGCCGGGCTGGCCGGCCTCACCCTCACCCTCGCCCTCGGGGGTCGGCATGCGGGCCACGATGGGCCGGATCAGCCACCGGGGCAGCGCCAAGGTGCAGGTGCAGAGGGCCATCTTGGCCACGAGGCGGTGGAGCCAGGCGCGGCAGGCGGAGACGAAGCGGCAGGTCATTTCTACTTTTGGCAGTCAGCACTTGGCCCTGCCAAGCCCAAGGGACTGGCTGGAGGGAGGCACCTACTTTTGATATCGCTACTGTGAGGGGCATGGTCAGCAACAGGATAGATATGGAGAGAGAATGTAGGACTGGAACTTCATCAGAAGCAGAACTTACCGGGAACAAGAGGCTGTATGGTCGTTTTTTCTCTGGTTGTTCGGACCTTTTTTTCAGCGGCGACGACAGCTTCGAGAGACGGGCTATCAGCTGCTGCAGACGAGGCGAGGGCCGCACCTTCCCAAGATGGCATCCGGACTTCGCTGCAGTTCCATCGGTCTCCTCTTCCGCCAACTGCTGGCACTGTGCGCTTCGTCTAGCCGTAGCAGCTGTGAGGACTTGAGGACGCCCAGCCCCAGTTGCTCGGCCTGTGTTGACCTCCCCTAGCCCACCACTCTGCGTGCCACCTCCTCAAGTCCTCCACGCGCTGTTCCTTCAAGTTGCGTCTTCGATGGCTAGAATTGAGTGGTTTTCAGGGGCCTCAGAGCCGCCCTCCTCCGTTGACGATCCAGGCCGCACCAGGGGGCTCCTTAGCGTCCTGCTTACAACCGATCCGCGCATGCCAGGCGCAGCTAGGCTGCATATTCTGGTAGGCGCCGAAAGCAAAGAGGAACCACTCCTGTCCTCTCTGTCTCCTTGTGCCCAGGTCGTAACACCCCTGGACTAGGCTTGAAGCTCGTTCTCCAGCATCATTCTCTTTGGAAAAAGTCACGAGACACGCACTGACCCGCCTTTCTGTGGTCCAGTATGCCAGACACCGATCCGGCTGCCTCATGGTTGGCAGGCCCCTGATGCCCCAGATGGCCAACGCTGCGCATAATTAAAAGAACGGCGATTGCCCGCCTCTAAATGCTCCAGGAACTTTACTAAGCCCAACTCCATGGTACCTTCCGCCTCTCCAACCTTAACTGCCGACCGCTGACCTATCGAGCGACGCCCAAGGAGAACCTTTTTCTCACGTCGATAAGCTTCTCCACCGTGATCCGAGGAAAGGAATGATAACGAGGCCACAGCCAGCCAGGAGGAGAATGCGATCGCCCCCTCTCAGGCCAACAAGACTCGAGGCACACCGTTCCAAAAAAGGCACCCCTGCCAGCGCACTACCGAGCAACCTGATTCTGCGAAAGAAGATATACTGCAAGAGAGAACTGGGGCTCCCGCTCCGTCCCATGGAGATCCTTGGGTTCGGGCTTCGTGTAAAGGAAGCTGTCGCCTGGCAGGTGGAATCCAGCTTTCGTGGCGAATACATTCCTGGCCGGACAGAAGGTGACGACGGCGACCCGAGTGAATTCGGCTCTCGATATTGACATGAAGACTTCCATATGCCCTGGGACAATGACTAGGGGCACGGGTCCTACCGGCATTCCCTCATGTAATGCACAGCACCATGGCCTCTCGGCCTCTCCCAAGTTCTCAGAGCGTTGTGCTAGCGAGACAAGCTATTGTGGGAGTGATCTTGTGCGCTGGTGCAGCAAATTGTTACAATCAGGCCTCTGCTCCTAAGGTAAGGCACCTAAAGAGTACTAAGCAGTAACTGTAGATTGGGGTTAACAAGCGGAATTACTGGGTTTTGGGATGCTGGTTTAAATGCTTGCTCCAAAGGGTATTTAAAAGCTAACTTAAATTAATTAATGCCAATGCATTTATTAAAAACTATTTAGGATAATAAAAAATTACTTTTTATATATTATAATTAAATGGGTTTAAAATATATGCTTGTAGCTATAATATATTTGCTATATTTATAATTAAATATATTACCCATATTTATGTAGCTATTATATTTGCTATGTTGCATAGCAAACATATTATTTACATTTAAGCACATGCTTATGTAACCCTTACGTGCTTTCGTGCGGGGCGCGCGACTTGAATGTTACGGTTCCTGGTGGTTCCCGCTTTCCAGGTCTTTGCTTGTAATTGCGGTCGTAGCAGTTAAGTCGACCCACCCCGAGTTGGGCCATCCCTTATCTTGGGCCACCCCAAAATAAGCACCGTGGAACCAACGCATTTACTTCCAGGTAAAAAATGAAGCTATTTACAAGCTACAACTATGCAATCCTGGGTATTTTCGGATTCGTTAAAAGATGGAAAATCCGATCCAGGTGCTTTTTCCTTTGCAAATCCATTCCTTGCCCTTTTAACGTCCCTTATTGTAACAAACTTTTGGTTAGGATTTGGATGCACCCTTTTCCTTTTAATAAACCGCAACTTTTCCAATTGTGCTTTTTGTTGCTTGGTTTTGATTTTAAGGCTTGCGATTTCGATATTTTGTATATCCAAAGCTTTGGTAACTTTCCGGAACAATAGCCGGGCCGTAGGAAGTGCTTTAATTAGCTATGCAAATTGGTGCAATTGGAAGCCGGCGTTTTAACTTCGCTTGGGGGTGCTTCAGTTAATTAAGGATTTCCGTATTTCTTTTTCCAAGCTTTTTTGGAATGCTTTTTAACTTTTTAAAAGCCCCGTTGGTATAAATTTGCTTTGTTTGTTATTATTTTTTAGCAAAAAAGGGTTTAGCAAAGGTTTGGTTATATTAACGGGCCATAACCCCGGTTTTTTTTAGGCCGCACGCATATTGGAGGCTGTAAATGCCGTTGTTTTGGCTACAAAATAGCATCGAATAAAGTAACGCTTTCCAATAACGCTTAACGTTGTAAATTGCAAGTAGTAATTGATTTGGAATTGGTAAGCCGTTTTAAAAGGTAAAAAAATGGCTAAATCCAACGGTTGGAAAATGTAAAAAGTGTAAGGAAGTAAATATAATAAGTAAATGTTGTTATTAAGGCAGGCGGCTATAAATTCGGGCGTAACGTGGGATTCGTAACCGTTAAGTATTAACAATCTGGCTTTTTTGCGGGCGTTTTTCCGGACCGGGCAAACGGCCGGAATAAAGATTTCCGAAAGCCAAAATAACGCCGTATCGTTAATTATCTAGCCGTTATTTGTTGCATGGAATTTCCAATTTTTCCAAAGCCTTTTTTTTGTAAAAAACCATTGTTATTGTACGGATTTTCTTTTGAAAATGATAAAGGGATTAAGGGTAACGCCGGTGCCGGAAATGCATTTAACTATGGAAATCCAGGCACGCAATCCTGGGCTTTTCCGTTGCAAAGGCCGTATCCCTTTGCGGCCAATAACGAAATCGTTGGTTTTTAAACCTTTTATAAAGCTTATTTCGTTAATATTAAAACGGTTACCTTGTTTAATATTTCGGACCTTAAAATGCTGCAACTTTTGAAACCAAAAGCTTATTATTTTTGTAATAGCCCCGTTAACGCGCGTTAATTCCATAAATTTGGACCTTTGGGTAGCAAAGTCCGGATATTTTTTAAAAAAGCGGTAAATTTAGCGTTTGCTTAAGGGCTGGGAATTGCCGGTTAAATCGAAAAGGACGGAAGCGAAATACCGGATTTTTTTGTGGGTTGGTAAGAAGCCGAAATTTGATTGCAAGCGGATCCAACTAGCTAGGTAATTTTTTTTACGTACAAAGAAACGTTGTTTATGTTGGTGGGCGACTTTAGGTAAAAAACGGCTTTGCAACCGGTGTTGCAAAGTTAATTTCGGAATACCGTACTTTTTCGCGGCGTGCCGGATTGGGACGCCATTTCCGACGGTTAAAACGGCTTGCTGGATATCTTTTTTAAAATGTTTGGAAGCCATAATTAAAAGCTTTAAAATGATATATTTGCGGCTTGGATTGAATAAAAAAAGATCGCGATAGCTTTACTTTTGTTAGCGGGTGCCGGAAACGAAAAGGTTCTGTAGGGTGGCCCAAGATAGGGGGTGGCCCAATTCGGGGTGGGTCGACTTACTTATTCTTTTTCTTTTATATGGGTATCGAAGGTACGCGACCATTTTAGCTTAGCTTGTTTCCTTTGGTTAATTAAGTTAACATTAAGCGCGGCTTATACTAAGTCCTGTGCCAATTAATTGCTAATCCCTTTTTTTTTGCAATCGGCTTCGGTGGCTGGATCGTTACCTTTATGCTCCATATCCGAAATGCTTCGCTGTACGATACGGGAATATCCGGTTCGGGCTTTTGGGCGGGTATAGCGCTGGGCCGCGCTTTGCTAGGCTTTGTAACCGACCGGTTCGGCGAGCGTTTTTGCATTTCGCTTTACCTGGTTGCGTGCATCGCTTTGGAGCTGGTGTTTTGGTTCGTGCTTAACTTTATCGTTTTCGCCGTTGCCGTTGCTTTGCTTTGCTTTTTTTTAAAGCTTACGTTTTCCGGCGCCGTAATAATAATTACAAAGCTTTTGCTTAAAAAGCTTTATATTAACGCTTTTGGTTTTAGCATAATTATAAGCGGATTCGGCGGAACGGTATTTTTTTTTATAAGCAAATTTGCATTTTACAAATTGCTTTTTTGCATATTTGGAAATTTAATGTAATTAACGTTAAAAAATGCAAATTATTAGCGCCGTTATTAAGCAAAAAGGTATAAATATTTTTTATTTAATTGTATTAAGGTTAATAACGGTGGTTATTATTTTGTAATTTATATTTCCGCGGTTAAAAAAAGGATAAAATAATATTAATTTAAAGGTACGTATTTATTTAAATATATATTATTTCCATTTTAAAATGTTGCAAAAAGGTTTAAAAAAAGTATAACGTAATTCATTAGTAAGCGATATACATTAGTAAGCGATATACATTAGTAAGCGATATACATTAGTAAGCGATATACATTAGTAAGCGATATACATTAATAAGCGATATACCCAAATTTAACTTCCGGTTAATTAATTCGCATGCTAACCCAATAACGTTGTAAATCCATTTAAATTATTCGGAATTATTTACATTAAACGTTTTTACTTTTTTTTAATAAATGCGCGCATTGTATCCGGTTTTGCCGCAAATGCTACATTGCTAACAAATTGTTATTGCTTTCCTTTATTAATTTCCATAATTGCGCATTTTTTACTGTAATTGCTTATCCAATTCCTTTTGGTTTAAAGCAATTCGTACTTTTTTAATAATATATAACCTTTTTTATTAAATACGTATTTTTTTGGGCTTTTCAGCGTTTGCTTAATACTTTATTCGTTTTGCGGAATAAAGCAATTTTGGCTTTAAAAAGGGTTATTTAATGCATTATCGAATTCGTTTTTTTGCAAGCTGGTTTATAACCGTTAGCATGGGTAACAAAAAGTTATTTTAATAATTAAAAATTCGAATTTTAATATATTTAAATTGCAAAATTGCGTTTTTAATTATTTAAAGCGTTTTTAAAATCCAAAGTTTGGGGTTATTTAAAAGCGTTTTCGGGGAAATTAAAATTTGTAACTTTATATTTAACTTTTTTAAAACCGAATTTAAATTAAAAAAAGCAAAACCAGCTTTTCGAAAGCTTTTTTAAATGTTTTTTTTCGGTTATAAAATTAAAAAATGCCGCTTTAAATGCCGAAAGGAATTCGATTTTAATTACGTAATTAACGTATAATTTTATTAATTTTTCGATTTATTAATTATACGCTTTTTTTAACGGGTTAAAGCATTTAACGTTAAACGGTTAAAAAAAATAAAACGAATGCAAAAGCATGCAAAGCGTAATAATATTGTATTTTTAGCAATAAATTTCGAAATCCGTTAAATAATAACTTTCGTAACCGTTTAGCATTAACAAACGATATAAACCTTTTGTACGCAATGCAATGTGCTTATTAAAATGTTAAGTTTATTTTAAACCAAGCTCGTTCGTAATTTATTTATTAACATTTGTTAAAATAATTTAATTGCGTAAAAAGTTAATTTTTAAATATTAATTGGCCAAATAATATTGCTTTTTAACAATAATAAAAAAAGGAATTGCTTAACCGCAATAATTAACCTTTTAAATAATTATAACCCATTTCCGGTTATTAAATTAAACCAACTTTGCTTTATTACGGCTTTTCGATATTGTAATAACCATAACGGCGGCAATTATATTTATAAAAAAGCCGGTTTCGTCGAAATTGTAAATATCGTTATCCAAAATGCCACATTTAATTATAATATTCCGCATAAAATCGAACCAAGCAAAAACAAGCTTGGGATTTTCGCATTTAGCCTTTTAATAATCGTATTTTTAAATTTAGCGCGTATTAAATTTTAAACGGCGTTTAACGAACTTTTTAACCCAATATTTGCTAATGGCGCCCGCATTGCGTTTACCAAATAATTAATTAATTATATTTTTAACATTAAAATGCCGGGAAAGGAATGCGCAAAAATCCAATTTAAATATGTACTTAACAAGCGCTTCCTTTTTAAATTCCGTTAATTTCCAAAAATTGGGCTTGCTATTGCATTAAATAAATCGGCCGCAACGTTAATCGTTTAATGTAAAAATGAAAATATTGTAAAATTTTGTTGCAATATAAATGCTAAGCTTTAAATTATTTTTATTGCTTTAAAAGCAAGGATTACTTTAAATTTTTTAAATAACAAATCCATTGCGTTTGTATTAAAATGTATAAATGGGAAATTAATAAAACGCATTGCGTTTAAAATTGTTCGATTCGGTAATATATTTAATTCGGTAATAAATTACGTTAATTGTTACGGTTAAGCAATTTTTTTTTATTATCGTTAAAAAGCAATATTATTTAGTTAATTAATATTTCAAAATTAATTTTTTACGCAATTAAGTTATTGCAACAAATGCTAACGGGTAAATTACAAATAAATTCGGTTTAAAATAAATTTAACATTTTAACAAGTATATTGCAACCCGTAAAAAGGGTTTTATCGTTTGCTAATGCTAAACGGTTATAAAAGTTACTATTTAATAAATTTCAAACTTTATTACTAAAAATATAATATTATTACGCTTTGCATGCTTTTGCATTCGTTTTACTTTTTTTAATTGCTTAACGTTAAATGCTTTAACCCGTTAAAAAAAAGTACGGTTAATAAATAAAAAATTTAATAAAATTATACATTAACCACATAATTAAAATTAATTTCTTTTCGGCGTTTAAAACGGCATTTTGTAATTTTATAACCGAAAAAAACATTTAAAAAAGCTTTCGAAAAGCTGGTTTTGCTTTTTTTAATTTAAATTCGGTTTTAAAAAAGTTAAATATAAAGTTACAAATTTTAATTTCCCCGAAAACGCTTTTAAATAACCCCAAACTTTGGATTTTAAAAACGCTTTAAATAATTAAAAACGCAATTTTGCAATTTAAATATATTAAAATTCGAATTTTTAATTATTAAAGTAACTTTTTGTTACCCATGCTAACGGTTATAAACCAGCTTGCAAAAAAAACGAATTTAATAATGCATTAAATAGCTTTTTTTAAAGTTAAAATTGCTTTGTTACGCAAAGCGAACGAAATATTAAGCAAACGTTAAAAAGCCCAAAAAATACGTATTTAATAAAAAAGGTTACATATTGTTAAAAAAATACAAAATGCTTTAAACCAGGAAAAACTGGATAAGCAATTACAGTAAAAAATGCGCAATTATAAAGGTTAATAAAAAAGGGCAACAACAATTCGTTAGCGATGTAGCATTTGTGGCAAAACCGGATATAATGCGCGCATTTGTTAGGAAAAAGTAAAAATGTTTAATGTATATAATTCCAAATAATTTAAATGAATTGCTGGCGTTATTAAATTAAAATGCGCGTTAATTAATTGGAAGTTAAGGTTTGGTATTTAATTTGGTAATGTGTTCGATTTGGTAATGTATTTAATTCGGTAATAAATTACGTTAATACTTTAAATAATTGTAATTTATTTTTAATTGTTAAATTAAATTAATTTTGCTTTATTACAACTTTTCGATATTGTAATAATTATAACGGCGGCAATTATGCTTATAAAAAAGCCGGGTTCGTTAAAATTATAAATGTTATTATTTAAAATGCCATATTTAATTACAATATTCCGTATAAAATTAAATTAAATAAAAACGAACTTGGAATTTTTGCATTTAGCTTTTTAATAATTATATTTTTAAATTTAACGCGTACCAAATTTTAAATAGCGTTAACGAATTTTTTAACCTAGCATTTGCTAACGGCATTTACGTTACGTTCGGCGAATAATTAATTGGTTATATTTTTAATACCAAAAAGCCGGGAAAAAAACGCGCGAAAATTTAATTTAAATATATATTTAATAAGCGCTTTTTTTTTAATTCCGTTAATTTCCGTAATTTGGGAATGGTATTACATCGAATAGGCCGGCCGCGCTTTCGTTTGGCGAAAGTAACGAACGCAACCGAATAAATTTTAGCGGCGGCCCAAATGCTTAGTTTTGGGTTCGACCGCAAAGTTTGGAAAGCAAAAATTAATTGGCTTTCGTTGCTTTGGTTTGCCATATTTATTAGTAAAAAAATTGGAAGCAAAAAAAAACGTATTGCGTTTTTGCAATTCGTGTATTGCTTATTAATATATATCGTTTATTAATGGATTACGTTATATCGAACGTTTTTACTTTTTTTAATAAGTACGCGCATTGTATCCGGTTTTGCCGCACGTACTACAACTTACAATTAAGCTTTTGCTTTTAAAGTAAAGCATTTAAAAAGTACTAAGCAATAATTATAAATTGGGGTTAACAAAAGGAATTACTAGGTTTTAAGATATTGGTTTAAATGCTTGCTCCAAAAGGTATTTAAAAGCTAATTTAAATTAATTAATACTAATGCATTTATTAAAAACTATTTAAAACAGTAAAAAACCCTTTCTTTTTATACCCTTTTACCAAGCCATGCTATATGGCTTAATCCAGGTAATTTTGCTTTTCCATTTGGAACCGGCGAAATTATTTGTGGTTGGGGGTAATTTTGTTTTCCCAATAAGGATCCTTTAAATTACCTAAATTACGTGCTAGTGCGGGGTAAGCTTTTTAATCCTTCCTTTTCGGGCTTTGCTTCCTTCCTGGCCATTTGGTATGGTTATTGGTTGTAACATTTTATACGTTTAAGTGCAAAAATACAAACCTTTACAATTTCTTGCCCCACGCGGCCATTGGCTCCCCGCGGGGTAACGTTGCTGGCAAAGTTAAAAGCTCCATTTGGGGTTGGTTTAACCCCGTATTAAACCGCAAATTTATTGCCGCCGGTTTATTTTAAAGCGCATTATTTATCGAAATTTTATTTACCGGCAAAATGCGTTACGCCGGTTTTTTGCTTTTATTTAATATTTTAAATAAAATTTTATTTTAACGCAAAATCCGCGGCTATAAATATTACATATTTATTAATAATAAATAAAACGGTTACGAAATGCAAATTTTTAATATAACCAAATTACTGTTATAATTAATAACTACACCAAATGGCCAAAAAGGAAGCAAAGCCCGAAAAGGAAGGGACAAAAAGCTTACCCCGCATTGGCACGTGATTTGGGTAATTTAAAGGATCCCTATTGGAAAAACAAAATTACCCCCAACCACAAGTAATTTCGCCGATTCCAAGTGGAAAGGCAAAATTACTTGGATTAAGCTATATAACATGGTTTGGTAAAAAGGTATAAAAAGGAAGGATTTTTTACTGTTTTAAATAGTTTTTAATTAAAGCTCCGGCATTAATTAATTTAAATTAGTTTTTAAGTAATTTTTGGAGCAAGCATTTAAACCGCACCCAAATTACTTTGTAAATCCCCCCAATTGTTAAGTTACGTGCTACTGTTTAGTACTCCTTTGGTGCTTTACCTTAGGAGCAAAGGCTTAACTGTAACAATTACTAACCGTTATTAACGCTAAAGCTTTTAAAACTTTTAGCATTTTAAATTTAACCGGCCACTTTACCAATTTGCTTATCGGCGCTAGCTATAACGTTTTTTCCAACGAAAAAGCTAAGTACGGCGTTGCTATCGGCGCCCGTTCCCGTACCAGCAATTGCGCCAAAAGTTTAATTTTTTTCGATTTTAAACCCCTTTTTAATTTTAAACAAATTATTTGCAACCTTTAAACCAATACATTTATAACGCGCAATGCTTTATTTATTGCGGCCCGTATATTAAATACGTTAGCAAAAATATTTATTACGAATATAATAAAAATACTTTTACCATTTATAACGTAATCGATAAAACCGCGTTTAAAATTATTTCGCGCATTTTATACAAATGCTTTTTTTATATTTACTAAAGCTAAATATTGGATTTTAATAACCAAAAGTATTTATTTATGGATAATAAATATAATAAGTACGATAAAATTACCGGCCCGGGCTTTAACCAATACCCCGTTACTTACATTTAAAATATTTGTAACTTTAAAAACCCCAAAAATATTAATTTGTATAAAATTATTTAAATAAAACCATATTGCGTACATAAATTTGCAATTAATTTAAAAAAATATAATTAACCTTTGCCTTTTATAACTTTTTATAACGCGGTATTAACCATAACCAATACGTTATTAACGGCTTTTCGTACCAAAGCAGCTATACCAGCGGTTTGCGCGTATATAACGTATCGTTAATTTTGTAAAACTTTATTGGCGGTACCGTATGCAAAATCGCTTTTTTAAACATTTACCCCAAAAACGATAACAAACCCGGCGGCGGCGCGGTACAATTTAACGGTAATTAAATTAATTACATTTACTTTAAATCCGAATTTATTTTTATTAATATTATCGAACGCGGCGCTTTTATTATTAAAATAACGAATAAACCCCGTTGCAAATTTTAAAATTGCAACGCCAATAATTGCTTGCGCGCTATGCGCTTTACTTTAACGGCCGGCCGCTTCGAAAAAAATTTAAAAATTTTGCGGCGAATTTACGAAAACGTACGTTGCCAACGTTGCCGTTGTGCCCGAATACGCCCAAAAAGCTTGCAATACAAACGTTATTTCGCGCGTTAGCTTCGCTTGCAAGTGCTTGCTTACCGCCGCGGTTTAAACTGCCCCGCAATGTAATTTGGGTGTAATAAGCTATATTATATTATATGGCCATAAACGCGGCGTTATCGATTTGCTTTATAAGTTAATGGCTTGTAAAAAAATAAAAAAGCATTAATATTTACGTGCGAAATGCCTTTTTTTAATTGTTTCCATTGTTTAAAAATAACCATGCGCCGCCGTAATGTTCCCCCAAAACGAGCAAGCTTTTGGGGCTAGCAAGCCTTTTGCATTGCATTAACATGCGGCTAGCGGCTCCCAGCCAGGCTAATTGGTCGGGGCGTTTCCCGGATTAGCTTAACCGGCGTTTTGTGTTCGCGAAGGACATTGGAATGTGCGCATTGCCAATACGATACTTATTGTAACCCCGGTTATTATTGGCCGCGGATGCATTACCCCGCCCAAAATGTTCCTACAAAGGGTTCGTTGGTGGTTGTGCTAAACAAAAATCCCGATATCCAAATCGTTGCACGCCCGCGCGGGATAGCTGGATAAACCCTTCGCGCGTTTACGGCTTTAAAAAACCTTTTACAACAACCAAAACTATCCATTGCCGTAAGCACGAAATATTAGGCTTGTATTACGGGTACAAACCGGCATGTTTAAAGGATTATGGATTACCATTTTTGGTAATGCTTTCCTGATTTACCTTTTTATTGCGTTATTTTTTTATATTCCAATTTTTTTCTTATTTTACGACCCAACCCCCCGTTTAAAGCCCATCCACGTCCGCTTCCTTTTTGTCCCTTAGCTTTTTACCCGTTATGTTGGCGTATTAGCTTAACCGAAAAGGGTTAACATTTTTTTACAGCATGTGCTTAAAGCAACGCACCCCAATAAATTATGGGAAGGCCCCGAAAAAAACCGATATACCGAGCCGGTGCATAGCCCGCATTTTAATTTCGGCGGTGCGGAAGCTGTAATATGTTTTTATTATTCGCCGCTTTCCGAACCTTTACTTGCATTTAATATAATACCATACTTTTTAAATCGAATTAAAGCATTGGGGATGTAGCAATCCCAACCCTAAATATATCGTATGCTTGCGCAAATTTGCTTACATGCTTGCAAACCGTTATACTTTCCTTTTAAAATTAATCCTGGTTTATTTTAATTGGTATGCAACGCAATCCAATATTTTTAAGCATTGCTTTATATTAAAGCATTTACGAAATGTTTATACGATGTGTATGCGCAAAGAAATTGGGGGAAAAGGCGCAGCGTAAGTACTTCGCGGGAAGCAAGCATTCGACAATTAGAAAAATTCGAACCAGCTAACCTTAATAACCCTTTGAAGAGAAACGTTGCTGCTTTTGGGCAGCAGGGCTTTTAATAGCAATTGGTGCACTTATGGCTTAACCTGGCAGCTATTAACCGGCGGGGTGCACGAGCACGATATAATTACATATGGCAATTGCCCATTTAGCAACGAAATTTTACCATCCGACGAAAATATAAATTGTTTGCTAACGGGACTTCCAACCGGTGGAATCGTTGGATTTATGCTTAAAGCAATAATAAACGGGCAAATAAGTTATAGCGAAAAGGCATTTAACGTATGCTTTGTTTTTATTACGCGTTACCGATTAAAAAAAATCCAATCGCAACGGGTGAACGATAGCCAATTTTAACGTTAATGCTCGTTTAAAACTTATGCCCATTTAATTACGGAATTAACACCCAATTAAACCTTAAAATTGGTAATTTCGAAAGCGGAAAAGGTAGCGGAACATGCATTGCAATTCGAAGGTTTTACCGGGCTTTTTGGTACGTTCCGTTTTTTAAAAAAAAAAAAGGATTAATTCGGAATTTTGCTTTTTAAGCCGTTGTTAACCTTATTTTGCACTTTTTAAATAGCGGCAATTTTATTAACAATAATTTGCAGCGGCTAACCCATATTTTTACGGTCGTGGTGGCAAATATTATGGCATTGGCTGCGTTTTTGGAAATACTATTGCAAAATATGCCTTTTCGTAAAACCATAAGTAACCGGACCTTTTAAATCGCGCGTAAAAAGCAACCTTATCCGTATTTTGCTTTGTACGGCCGCTGCAATGCTGCGCAGTTCAGAATGGACTGGGTTAACATGGAGCGTTGGAAGGTAACGTTGCGTGAGCAAACCCTTCCTATCCGTTAATAAGCGCGAAGCGCACTTAACTAACACCTACCTTACTTACCGACCTGCTTTTGCATTGGGAAGGGAATTTCGTAACAATTTGCGCCCATATAATTTCTTTGGGTGCGCTTTCCTAGCTATACATCGTAGCGATTATATTGTACGCGGCAACGCTTTATAAGCCGGGATTTAATAAGCACGCTTTTTACTTAGCCTTTGTAAAATTGGCATTAAGGAGCGAATATATCGAATATTTAAAAAAATGTTAGCGGAATATTTAAAGGCTTACGAATTAATAGCGCATTTATTGGCTTTTTCGGAAAAAATTTAAAATCCGTTTTTTATATAATTTGGGAATGGAAAAAAAATGCTAAACAAATGGCAAAAGCTTACGAGCAGTTCGAGCTTGCGTGGGCAACGGGTTAAAAGATTATTACGTAATAATACGCGGGATAATTAAGCAACCTAAAGTTTTTTTTTACCCGCAAAAATGGAAATAATGTTTTTACATAAGCTTCCGTCGTGTTTTTTGTACCGGGTACTTGGTTAAAAACTTGTGCCTTACGCGGAATGCTTGTGTTCTTTGCTATCGATACGTGGCTTATTTAAAGGTTGGCGACCGCAGCGCCGCCTTTTCCTTTCCTTCCCGCTAGCATGCCTATCCGTCGCCCGAGCAGCGTCCTAACCACGTCGCGGCACGCCGGCGCGCTGGTGCTGTCGTTGGCAAATTCGTTCGAGCGGCCACTTGGAGTTTGCGCAAAAGGGTGTGGGTGACAATGCCGTGCGTGCTTCACGCGACGAGCGGCAGTCGAGGGCTCAAGGCGCGTGGCAAACCGGCGGTAGGCTTTCGGGCTGGGCGGTCAAAGGAGACGAGTAGCTGTTGGTCGCGCCGTTGCGGCGAGAGATGCTGATAGGGGGCTCCTTGGCTGCAGCGCGGCGTCTGGTGAGTGCGGCCAAGGTCGCGTGTGGGATGGGCGATGCCGGTGGGACGAGAGGGCGAGGTCGGCACGTTGGAATAGGCGGCCTGTGTGTCGGCTCAGCGGCTCACAGGTTGACTCTAAGCCCTAGGGGGTGGCAACCAGCTTGTCTAGAAATCCCACAGCCCAGCTGAGGAGTGACAGGCGCCGCACTGTTGGGCGCATCTGCAAGACGCGATAGACAACCCCTGGCCTGTTACCGCAAGCCGGCCTGGAGAAAGCCGAAGTGGATGTCCTGGTAAGTGACGGCTGTGGGCGCGGAATAAGCAATGTTACCAGCAAAGTAGGATTGGAGACTACACAGATATCTTTATGCCCAGCATGTCTTCTTGGAATAATGGCTAGCTCTTGGTCGCGTTGCCCTGTATCGAGCTTTCCGGCAGGTTCGGGAACAGATCTTCGTTTTCCGTGGTATCCACCCCCTTTCCGACTAGCATTTTGCTTACACGAAAAGAGACACCTTTCCGGCTTTAGTCTGAGATGGCTTCTTTCGGTCTGGTCGCCCCCTGCCAGAACACATACGCTCTGCAACCATCATGCCAGATAATGTTCCACCAGTCCTGGCGTTGTCGGGATTGTAGGCGACTACCGTCGCATGAATGAGCCAGCCGTCTTCCAGTATCTGAATCAATGCCGCATGTCAGACATCGAGCGTATATGCGTCGATCGGGCGGTTGCGGCGAACTTGACGTTTACATGGATCACTACTAAAGCAAGGGCTGGTGGAGAACGGCTCTTGCTGGTCTTGTCTTGAAGATCTGGGATCCTGCCACGTGATGGCGTGACGCGTCAGTGATCCCGGTGCGATGGCTTGAGATAGATCCGTGCTTCTGTTTCGCGCTCGAACCCCAGTAAAAGCGGCCCAGCTGGTGCTGGTAGCGAGGACGAATGATACGGCATTAGCACAGCTGTTCCAGAACATCAAGTTGACATTCTAGAGGGCACGATCCGCCAGTCGCCACAAAAACATACACGCAATAACTTCCACTACGGGGTCGGGCGCCACCTCCACACCTGGCTAGCCGCACACGACCTCGCTCGACCGAACGCGCCCTGGCGCCACCCGCGCATCGCCCTCTACGCGCGGGCCGCGCGATGCCCTGACCCCCGCCTCCGGAAGCGGCAGCGGTGCCAACAAAACCGTCCCGACAGACACAGCGCGCGCGGCCCTCGGGCGGCAAAAGTCGGGCGACGACAGGGTGCAGAAGCGTCCCGCTACAGCAGCAGCGGCAGCAGCAACGCAGGTCAACAGCAGCACCCCATCGGCCGCGTCGATCGCGGGCGTGTACGAGGTGATGAGCGACGCGCTGCGGGCCGGGTGGCCCGACGTGACGGGCGACATGTGGCTGCGGGTGGCGCCGGCGCGCGACGCAGCGGGCGTCTACGTAGCGTCCTTCGACTTTGGCGTGCTCAAGGGCCTAATGCTTATCGGCACGGACCGCGACGCTATCCGGGCGTGCAGCCGCGCGCTGGACGGGGGGCCGCCGGGGCGGAGGTGCAGGCGGGGCGGAGGTGCAGGCGGGGCGTATACCAGGGCCCGGACCTGTTCCTGCGTCGGCGCGGACGGGAGGAGGAGGAGGAAGGTGTAAAGCCGGCCGTCCCCATTAAGTACATGCTTTACTAGCGCGGGGTCGAGACGGGCAAGGGCGAGGTCGATTGTGGCAATTTTTGGGGGGAGTTTAAATTTGTTAACGCGGGCTTGGGCAAGTTCGTAAGCGAAATGAAAATTGGGTTCGTTTTTTAACGCACCGAAATCCGCGGCATTAAAGTGTTGGATAAAGTGCTTAGCGTTAATATGGATAATTGGCTAAAGTATTTAAAATGGGTTAATAATTAATGGGTTTAACGCTAGCCCGTTTAGGTTCGGCGGCATTGTAACGGTTGCGTAACAGTAAGTACGCAAAGTAAGTAATAGTAAAATGGAACATGTATATTTGGAAATGCTAGAAAATGCGTAAAAGCTTATTTTATATTACTAACCATACCATTTCCAAAAACAGGATATATACGGCATTAAAATGCATTATGCATTGTAATAACCCGGCCATTTGTAGTGCACGACGATAGCCCGCGACTTCTCCATTTTGCTATCCTGTTCGCTTCCGTAACCTCCGACTTCTCAGTGACAGCGGCCCAAACGGGCTCAAGTTAATCGCGCCGCTCACGGGCAGCGCGCTGATGGGAAACACGCTGCGTTTAGGCCTAATGCTGCACGATGGCGGCGAGATCTTTTTGATAGGCCCCATCCTGCCGCCGAAGCCCTTACCCATCTTTTTGATCTCGAGCCTGTCCATGTTTCGTGCACGGCTAACGGCGCGCAAATCTTGGGCGGCGTCGAAGGTAGCCGGTAAGGGCCGGCACGAGCCCGAAAATGGCCATAGGGTCGTTACCCTCGCTATCGATAACCGAGTATATGCCGATAGCGGTTTCGGCCGCGGCGCCGATTATGGCCGGGATGCGGCTATATTGGCCAGGCTTGCGGTAATACCGGCCGGTTGGCCCAGTACGGGAACGAAAAAAAAATGGCGCTAAAAAAGAAAAGGATGGTATTTTGCGCCGGTTCTTTTCCCACTTGTCGACCATATCCGAAATTTTGTTTATGGAGCCCACGGCTTCCCGTACCATAAAGGCGGATACGGATACGGCGTTGACAAAGTTAATGGCCAAAACCGTATACGTATTCTCCTGCATCTGCCCAACGGCTTTAAGCGGGTTCTGGACGAAACCCTGCTGTTCCTTGTAAGCCTTTTCGACCACGTCCTTGGGGTTTAGCTCGTTGTCCCTGCTATAGTCGGTGACGGGAAAGTTCCAGTAGCAGTTTAAGTTGCGGCAGTTCTCGTCCCGCGGGGGGTTGTACACCTGGCGCTCGACGTCCTCCCACGTAATGTTTTTGATGCCGAAGCTGGCGAAAGAGGTCGGCCCAAAACTGCTTGCGCCTGCTCTCCTTGGGATTCCAGTCGATGGACCGCATGTGGCCCGTTACGGGCTCCTTGCCGGCGCGTTTGGAGTAATCGGGCGCGCAATTCGGTAACACGTTGAACCGGACGGGCTCGCTCCTGCAAGTTTAAGGTGGGTGCGGCGGCTTGTTACAGCCAACGGTCTGGCTGCCGTAATATTTATCGCTAAAACAGCGGCACTTGTCGGTCTCCTACCCCGGGCAATAGTGCAAGCAGTTTTTGCAGCACGACATTTGCAATATAACGCTAAAATCAAAGTACTTGTTCCCGTTTTTGCACTTGAAGCCGCGCGCCGCCTTGTTGCCGCTCCGGGCGACGGCGTCGGCGTACATGCCGAACTTGCGGCTGTACCCGTCCTTGATGAGGTTATTGTACTCGTCCATGGCCTGTTTATGTCCCGCGCAAGCATCTCGGCCATATAGACGGGCACGCAGTGCTCCGGGACGGGGCCCAGGTAACCGGCCACGTGCTCCACGGTCTCGAACGGGTCGTCTTTGCAATGTGCTAAAGCGTTAGGCTTCTCCTCGCCTTCATCCCTGCCCTCAAGCTCGGGCCTGCGCCAGTCCTTGTCGGTAAAGGATTGAAGGTCCAAGGTGCAGTCGACGGTGCCCTCAAACCCCCAGAACTCCAAGATATCCCTGCGGTTGGCTTTGGTTTTGTGGTCAGGTAAGCCGCCCATTCGGTGGAATCGTAAATAACCATGTCCGAGTCGGAATCTGTATGTGCCAGGTTACAATGGCTGACTTTTTTTCGTTAATGATTTTACCGATTTTTGCATTGGAGATGTACCCAGTGGTATCGGTGCAGAGCCCCTTGCCGACCTTGGATTTGTTCCGGTCATTTAGGAATGTGCATATGGAGCCCCGTTGCCCCGACTGGCTAGCTTGAAGCCGAAAATCGGACAGCCTTGCCATTTTCTGCACATGCGGAGAGATGGGAACTAAATAAAGGTGTGGATGTGCGCTTTCGCAAGAGCAAGATAGGATCCATGCAGGTACCAATCTGCAAGTCTTTCGCTCTTTTCCGCCATTTTTGGCGTTAACCGAGGCTGAATACGAACCACGCACATTATTGTGTGATAGTTTGCACTGTTTCCAGCGAACTGCTATAGATGCCACCTTTTCACGCCCAAAAGCAGACCTACGTTAATATCCCGAGGGCGACACTGCTCCGGTGAAATAACTTAAGCACACACTGCTGCAATCATAACCTATCGCCTATGGACGAGACCGCTATCCCATTAAAGGCGCTACGCCAGATCCAGCTGGCGGCCAAGCGCGGCCAGGTCGAGGCCTTTGGATACCTGATCGAGCTCAGTGCGCGCCTCGACCAGCCGGGCACCTCGGTGGCGTCGATTTGCGCGCTTATTAGGCTCGCCACCCAAGGGCCCGACGCTCCTGCGCCGCTGCGCCTGCTCCTCGCGGGCGCGGGCGCGAAGACCCGGCTGGCTCGCCAGCTCGACCAGGACCGGTGTGACGAGGCCCTTCTGGAGCTGATGCGGGGCTGGACCGGCCACCGGCTGAGTCGTGGGCCCTCGCCTAAGGAATATTTCGCCTTTGCGCGGGCGCTGCTGGACGCCGGCGTTAACCCCAGCCGCTGCTGCCTCGACGGCGCGGGCACGACCATATCGCCGCTGTCCTTCGCCGTGCTCTTGGGGTTTCCAGATCTTGGCCGGCTGCTGCTCGACCGCGGCGCGCATATTGGCGGACCCCCGGCCGCCGAGCTTCCGAGTAAGCCGCGCTTGCCCCTTCACGTGCCGCTCGGCGTCGCGGCACACGCCATGGCCGGTATTACGATCGTTGGCGAGGAGGGCCGGGACACCCTGGCGCAGACAGTGCAGGTGCTGCTGGACCGAGGTGCGGATATCAATGTGTGCGTGCCGTTGAGGGAGAGCGCTTTGCATACGGACCGCCTCGTCAGCCCGCTGCTGGTCTTCCTCAGCGCCGTGGAATCCTAGGATTTGAACAGCGATGGCCGATGCGCGCTGGAAAGCTTGCGATTCCTACCGTGGCGCGAGCTCCGCGCCTCCGCCTTTCAAGACTACGCCAGGCCTACGTGAGCGAGTAGACCCCCGCTGGAACTGGTGCGCTCCGCACGCCGTTATCGCCGGGCCCTACTGAACGACCCGGGGGTGCACAACCTCAAACAACCGTCCTTTATATCCGCCCTAGACCTCTTGGTCAGTCATCCCAATTGCCAGCGCCAACTTCGCGCCACGGCCGAGATGATGGCAGCGTACGACTACAAGAGCCCGGCAACGCGGCCCATCTCCCCAGAGTCGGAAATGGCAGCATCACAGCAAGAAGCTAGCACTATGGCGGACTGGCGGGCCCTGCTGAGCTCTATAATCCGGCCGCTCTCCTCATCGGAGCGCAGCGACTTTCTCTACTAATACGTCGCGCACAAGGGCACCTGCCTAGAACACTGGGCGCGCCCGCGGAGCCACAGGTCGCAGGACCACACGATCGGCCGTCTCGCGCGCGTCACGGTGGCCCTGCACACGCAGCAGCGGCTCAACTTTGTGCGGTTCCCGGTGGACACGTGCGGCGCCGACGCGGGGGCGCTGCTTGGTCCATCGTCCTGCCCGGATAGGCTCTACCATATGAAAATTCATCGTCTATTTCGGGCCTTGCCATCGGTCCCGTACGCGGCCATAACAGCCGAAACTTCAAAGGTAGCAGCTGGAGGCCTCGCAGGGACGAGACCGAACGTCCCATCACTCCTACAGCCATAGCAAATGTGGAATGCTTTTCCCGCTTTACCGACGCTACCGACCAGGCAAAATTCCAGGCTCGACTTACACGCTCCTCCGCTTTCATGTTTCCGATAGCTAGAGGTACCTTTGTGTTCTCTGGCGAGAGCTGCGGTGATGTGCGCAAACACGGCCTCAGTGCCTCCCAGCTCTTCACGTGGAACAAGGCCGTAAAGGATGACTACAGCGGCATGTGGGTTAATGTTTGGATCTGCGTCGGCGCCGGGGCGGCACGACCGCCACCATCACCACAACCAAGGGCAACGGCGCGTCGGCGCCGAAGCCGATACAGACCGGCATGGTCAAGGACTGCAAGGCCTTCCACCTGGTCACAAAGGGCCAGAACTGCAACTCCATCGCAAAACAGTTCCGCATCACCGTCGCCAACTTCATCAAGTGGAGCCCGGCCGCCAAGTCGGACTGCTCAGGGCTTTGTGTGAACACGTGGGCATGTGTGGGTTTCTTGCAAGTGCCCGGAGGGGTCATAAAATGATATGTGGCTAGATGTATCTGGTTGGAAAGAAATGAGAAATAAGACAGAAACCGGTTAGGAATCACGTAGCTCCCCGATCGCTTTCGCTGACCTCGTCTCCTCCGTCTGGCATGATTGCCCGTTTGCGAGAAGCAACTTGACGGTGTCTTCCTGCTCGTGGAGTAGCGCCGCATTCGAAGCACGGCCGTAAAGGCCGCCTTGAAGATTCACATGGGCTCCTCGTTCGAGCAATAGTTCGACGATGCTTGTATGGCCCCACTCCAAGGGGCTTACCGGGCGAGAACGGCTAGCCCAGATGCTTCTGCAAGGTGCTGGTGGGTTCGCGGCATTTATGGCTAGCAAGTGGCAAGGACACCAATCCCAAACCCGCGCGAGGCTAACGTGGCGATTCGACGCAGGCATGCTAGACATAGACAAAGGCAAGTCGGCAGATCTGCCACAGCCCGTGCTCGAGGCCCTGCCGTTGATAAGTTTCGCAGTCTTTTTCTGACCAGACAATACAGTGGTGGAGTACAGGGAGCCCGAATGTTAGCTTGGCCAATGGCTCCAACCACGGGCCTTTCAACGTATGAAGCAATTAAAATCAAACAAACACTATCCTTTCGGCTAACAATTCCCCCCGTCCCGTAATTAAAGCAACCTTTCCGAATTTTTTTAAAAAGCCCGTTAATTTTGTGTTTTTAAAGTGCTTTAGCTGTAAAAAAGCCATCTAAAGCAGCATTTCGAATGCGTAAGAAACGGTTGCGCTTGCATTTGCACGTTTGAAAAAGGTGTTTTTTGCAAAACGTGCTTGCAAAAGCCTAAAAATAAGCACCGCCTAAATACTTTGCGCAAAATTTACAAAAGGTGTGTTTTATTGGATTGTTTGTTGGAAAAGGCTGCGCAAAAGGCATATCGATGCCCCGGTTTGGGAGCTCCCAGCAAGCCCGGCAATACCAACGGCACCAACAACGCATGCAGCAATAACAATTTGGGCCCCAAGCACGTACAGCACCCGCTTTTCCCGTTCGGCGCCGGCAACCGCTACCGCTACGAGCAGACCTGCGTGCTAACGCGGCTCCGGCGGCGATACGAGCGCGCAAAAATGACGGAACTATAGCGCTTCGGGATGCTGGAAAAGACGCCAAAAAGCGGCGGGGACGCGCGCGGCCCGCCGGGGTTGGCGGCTGTTACAAGGGGATCTGGGATCGGCTTGGGGAGTGCCCAATATATTAATAATTTCTCAAGGCCTTTAAAAAATGCTTAAAGAAGCAGAATTTCCGGCAAGGACTTCGAAAGATAAGCCTTCCTTATATAAGCTATTTGGGCGCACAAGAAAGATACGTACTTGGGTCGAAAGGAACAAACTCCCTTTCGGCCGGGCGCGTAATGCATGCGGGGTTTTTGTAACCCTTCCAGCCGGCCCAACCAACGCCCAGTTTTTTATCGTTGTTTTGTAATTCGTTTTATTGGCCGTTCGTTCGGCCTTTTTGGGTTATTAATTTAATCCCCGTATAATACAATCCCCTTTTTTTTAAAGGTACGTTTCGGGCTTTAAATACGGGTATTTCGGGCCTTTTGGGGATACCGGCGGTAAAAATTTTTAACTTTTTTTTTGCCGCTTTGCTTTTAAAATTTTTTTATAGCTTTTATATTATTTTATCCTTTTTGTTAAAGTTTAGCCATTTAACAAAATATTGTATTAAGTTATTTTTTTAACGGGAATTTTTAACCTTTTTTATTTTAAATACGTCCAATAAAAATGGTACGTTTTTTAAAATTTGCTTTGGGTCGGGCCGTATTTAAATGCCGGCCCGATACGGTTCGATTAAAAAAGCGTAAAAAATAAAATGGATTTTCCATAATAATAAAAGCGCAAATCGAACGGTTAAAAAAAAAATAATTTTAGTAATTTAAAAAAGGCCGAAAAGCTTAAAATTAAACTTTTTAATAAAGCGCCGGGTTTTAATATTTTTAGCGTTTAATATAACGTATTGTTTTTCCGTAAAAACGGGCAGGGTTTGTTATTTTTTATCCGCTTATTTTTTTATTCGTTTTTAAACGGCGTCGAAATATTGTTTAATTTTATTGTAAATGCCGTGCATTTAATAAAAATAAAATTTGTTAACGGGATAAAGTTTTGTACGCTTTAGCTTTAAAGGGTTGTATACGGCTAGTTCGAATTTATAATTAATAAAAAATGGGGAAATTAAAATATTTGCTAACGAAATATTATTGTAAGCAAATTTTGCCATTAGCAATAAATTTACTTAATTAAACATTTTATAATTAATAAAAGACCGTAAATAAATTTCGAAGCTTTGGTTAAATCGTTCCGTTTGCCCGTTTATTTGCGGGTAAAAAGCGGTGCTTATTCGGGGTTTAATTTTTACGAAGCTAAAAAAATCTTGCTACAAATGCGCGGTAAACCGTAAGTTTTGGTTTAAAATAATATTTAACGGAATTTCGTAAAATTTTTAATATTTTTAAGCAAAAATGCGAATAAGGTTATCCGTTTTTTTTTGTCCTTTTTTTAAAGGGACGAAATGGCCCATTTTAATAAACGGGTTTATTATAACCCAAATAAAATCGCAATTTTGGTTATTGGGTAGGTCGGTAATAAAATTTATAGCGATAATATTCCAAAAGCGGTAATACAATTTTATGGGCTGGAGCAATTCGAAAAAAGCGTATTTGGGCGTTTTATTGCGTTAGCATTCCAAATAGCTTTTTACGTAATTTCGAACGTCCTTTTCGATGCTAAACCATTAAAAGTAGCGGGTAATTAATTCGAAGGTTTTGTTTATGCCTATGTATCCGGCAATTTTAATGTTATGTTCGAATTTTAGGATTTTGCGCTTAAATTCCAACTATGCTAGGACTTACAATTTATTGCAATGGTACAAAAGCCCGTCGCTAACTTTTTCCTTTTTATGGGGAATTTTTAAGTGCTTTTGGTATTTAGTATTGAATATGGCGGTTTGTTTAATCCTATTTGTAAATGTTTAATCCCAGCGCATGGTTGGGATGCTGTACAATTTTGCCAAAGCTAAAAGGAATAAAAGTGCTTGTAAGGAAAAATTAAAATATTTTTTTTAAAAAACTGTTGTAATTGGCTGGTTTTTACTCCCCCCTTTTTTAAGCTTGTATTATTCGAATTTGGAAAGTACGTCGGCTTTTTCGTTTTGTTTGCTTGGGCGGTATATAATTAGGAACCAATAATTTAAAAGCTATTAAGCCCATTTTGCTTATTTTCGGTTAAAAACTTTGGCCGTAATAAAATAAACCAAATTTTGGTAATCCGTAAAAATTTTAATCCTATGCTATGCCTTTTCGAAATAATGCTTTTATTTGCTAAAATTATTTACGATAGCAAATAATTTTTTGTTGTAAATTTCGTAATTAATTTTTGTTAATATTATTTTACGGGAATAAAAAGCTATAAAATAAAGCTTACCGTCGATAAGGTTGCGTTAGGATAATATTGCGGCCAAAGCAAAATCGAAAGCATCGGTTTTTATAATTGCTTATAGCGTAAAGTTAAAATGCCGCAAAATAAGTAACGAAGTAAATGCTTATTTTAAAGCTTCGAAAACGGTTTGCATTTTTGCTATCCATATTTAATCCTTTTTTAAAAAGGCATTGGCTATTGTTAAAAGTTTAACGATTTTGGAAAATCCTGCAATAAAGCGTCGGTAAAAGTTGGCGAATTTAACCAGCGATTAATATTTTTTTAGTTATTTAAATGCTTTTTAATTAAGGATCGCGTCCACTTTGTTTTGGGACATTCGGATTTTTTCCGGGCCGATAACGTATCCTAAAAATTCGACTTTTTGGGCTCCCCAAACGCATTTGCGGGGGTTAACGGCGAGGTTGTATTTGGTTAAACGCTTTAATACTTTTTTAACAAAATCGTTATGCTTTTCCTTTGTTTTTGCGTAAATAAAAAGGTTGTTAAAATAAATTAAAAGGCCGGCGTTAATAAAGTTCAAAAATATATGGTTTATTATTCGTTAAAAAGTGGTTAATGCGTTAATAAAGCTTATAAGCATAACGGTAAATTCAAAAAAGCTATACTTGCAACGGAACGCCGTTTTTTATTCGTACTTTAATTTTATTTGAATTAAATAAAAGCCGGTTTTAAAATCGATTTTGGTTATTTACCGGGCGTTGCGGAAGCGGTTTTGGAGCTTTGTTATTAGCGAAATCGGGCATCGTTTCGGGATTGTTTTGCCGTTAACATTGCGGTAATCGATAATTGGGCGTAACGGATCCTTTAAGTCCTTTTTTTCGGCAAACATTAAAAATGCTTTAACCGCTCCCTTTCCTTTGTACATCCGTCCCATTTCGAAATTTTTAATAAACCAAAATTTTAAAACGCTAAATTCTTTTTCGCTAAAATTGTATATAGGTTTTTAATTAAAAATAGCCTTTTTTTTAAATGTATTTCGTAATTTTAAAGCTAATGGTTTGGTAAGCGCATAATTGCTTTTGGAAATATAATTAAAAGGAATTTGCGGAACTTTTTTAAAATATTATCGAATTCGTTAATATTGTTAAACGAAAGTTTTATTAACGTTAATTTTTTAATTAAAGCAACGATAGTTAAGTTTGTATTGTAAATGTTTGCCGGGTCGCAAAGGTTAAAAATTTTACGGAACCAAAGCTTGCGGTACAATTTGCATTTGTTCGTATTAAAACGGATATTTTTATAATCCCGTTTAAAAATTCCAATAAGGTAATAGCGGGTTATTTATTAAACGGGCAGCAAAACGTTGCAATTCGGATTTAAATTTAATACGTCGAAGTTTACGCGAAAGCGGTAATTATAATGCCGCAAAATAACCCGGGGTATGTAATAAATTAATAAGTTTTTTTTTATCCTATATAATTGGATATAGGTTTCGAAACCGTTTGCTTAATAATATATAATTATAATTTAGCGGTTATTTGGGTAAAAATAAAAAACCCGTTATCGCTGCCGCAATTTAAAAAAATTTTAACCGTAATTTTTTTTATCCTTTAATTTGCAAAGCCATATTTAATATGGGTTTCGTAATTACCCGGGTCGAACCCGTTACTTAAGCTTGCAAAAAAAGCGCAAATAACGGTTTGGATAGCGTTATTGCTTTCTTAAAACCTTTTAGGTAGCGTTATCGAAACCTTTAAATTTTAGCAATTAAAATCCGTATCGATTTTTTCGAAATATCGATTATGGTTTGGTTTAAAAGCGTACTTGGCCATTCTAGCTATTTTAACCTTTTTGTTAAAACGCTTTTTAATTTTTTTTTTACCGGCGGGGGTTTAATAGCGGGCCTTTTGGCATTAGCGGCCGTTTTTGCGGGTAATAAAGGAAATTCGGTACCCGCGGTATTTTTTTTAGCAAAGCATTTCCGAATGTAATGGTTGTTTTGCCCGTATCGCTAGCAATTAATACCGTTTTTTTTTCGGGCATTAATGTTTTTTTAATTAACGCTATCGAAAGCGCCCCGGGTAATGGTCCAAATATTGTTTTTGCAAATTTGGCCGGGGCTTATTCCTTTGTTTGCCGCGGTACGGGAGTTTAAGGATAAGCCGGGGGTTTTTTTAAAGCTTTTATTACGGGGACGGCCCGCGTTCGAACGCTTTAAAATCGAAGCGGGCTTGTTTTTTTCCTTTTTTTTAAGCTTTTAATTTTTATAATGCTTTTGGAATGTGCTTTTATTTACCGCTATAAGCTTGTATATAATGCCGGTTTTTTGGAAAAACTTTAAAAATTTTTCGTTTACGTTGGGGATGCGCTTTTTATTAGCGTAAACGAACCGGTTTATTTTGTTAAGGAATTTTTTTTAATAAAGTTTTTAAAACGGGTACCGGTTAATTTAATTATTGCATTAAATTGGGTTAGTTTTATAAAAAACCCAACGATATCGTTTTTGTATTTAAAATTATCCAATTTAATAAAATCCGTACGTTTTTCGTTAAGGTTATGGAACGTATTGGCCAGGAACCCAAAATAAGCGTTCCAAATATCGAAAAGTCCATAAGCTTTTAACATTCGTACTTTTTTTACGTAAACGCGTAAAACGGTTCCTTTAAAATAAAAACCTACCCAAAAAATTTTATGGTCGTTGTTCGTAAAGGTTTAAAAAACGGCGCTTATAAAGGCCCGTACTAAATATTACCAATCCTTAAATTTCGTTTTTTTTTCGTTAAAAACGGGGGGTAATTTAAATAAAACGGGATTAATTATAAAAATTATTTCGTGCCAGCGAAAAGGGTTTTTGCTTGCCGAAAATGGGCTCGTTTGCGGGCGAAGCGGAAGCCCCGGGGGCTAACCGTATCCATTTTTATTTAAATTGGAAAACGAAAGGTTATTTTTTAATAGCATAAAGGGTTGTTATAACGATATTCCTTTTGGGGGGAATCCATTGGTTATGCCAAGCATTTAAAAGTAAAAGCTTTTTTGGGTTTGTCGATGCATAGCGGCCATAAATTCGGTAAGGTCCTTTTGCATTATTTAGCAATGCATCGAATTAAATTGCTTTAAAACGGATAAGGCCATGCTAAGTGCCGAATTGTTTTTAATTCGCGTAAGGTTAATTCGAAACGCGGATAACCGGGTAACCGGGGTTTGGGCGAAAAAAACCGGAATTAAAAAGGCGCTAATAATAACGGGGGTAACTTAGCGAAAGGTTTAACGGGAAATAATTTGTAATAATACGGCCGTTATATCCATTTGCTTGCTTTTAACTAATTGCCAATTAATTTTAGCGATAATGTTTTTGGTAAACGTTTGTTATTGCTTTAAAATAATTAAAAGGTAAACCGTTATAGCTTTTTATCGTTTTTCGAAATCGTTTAGCCTTTGTTCGGTATAAGCAACTTTATATTTCGTATGGCCCGCTTATTGCTCGACGGTTTCGATAATATAAACGAAACAACAATGCATATTTTTAATTATTAATTAATAAATTTTGTAAATTTTGGTTATTTTATTATAAACGTATTTGCGAATAATATTATTGCTAACGGATTTAGCAATAACATTTTACATTTTAACGGCAAATAAATTATTGCTTTTAATTATTTTTTTTTAAAATTCCGGGCTTATGCTTCGGAAATGGTTACGCCGTTTTAAACGATTTAAAAAACCGTTATATAATTTTGGCGGGTAAAATTATATTGCTAGCGCAATTTTGCTATTTGGAATTAAACGAGCTCGATAATTTGCAAAAGGTTTTTAATTTTATGCCGGAAAGTTAAAATTGTTTGGTAAAATGTTTAAAAGCCGTTATGGATTTTTTTTATTTATTAAACGTACGTAAAGTTCCCCGAAATACGTGGTTGGTAATTTAGCTTTTGGGTAACGGGCAAAAATTGTTTTTTGCCGTTACTTTGCTAAAGCTCGTTAAAAGTAAAAATAATATAAAGCACGATGGTTCCCGTATTTGGGTCGAGCATAAAGGTATTTTATTTTTAACGGATTTTATTAAAGGTTCGTAAATAAAACCGTTTAAAAATAACGAATGGTTTTGCCAAACCGTTCCGTTTGGGCTTTGGGTTATCGTTTTTAGCTTTAGGGCTTGCGGCGGGCGGTTAAAACGGTATTTGCCCGCAAAGTTTGGCCGCGGGCTTTTTATCGGCTATAATAATGTCGAAAAATAATGGTTTAATTAAAAGTTACCGGTTTTCGTCGTACGAAAGTAAAGGTTTTGGTAATGTAATGCGGAAAATTTGTTGGAAATAATTTTGGTAAAGTTTTGTAACCACGCTAAAGCTATATTTTAAAGCGGTAATGGCGTTATTTTATCGCTATAATTGTTTAAAATTGTTATTAATTTTTTTACTAAAATTGTTGCAACGCTTTTTAATTTCGTTAAAAAACGTTATATTTTTAAAAGTGGTTTTTATTGCGTGCGTTAGGAAAAAAAATTGGGTAATTTCCTTTTTTAGCAATTTGTATTTCCGTTTTTGTAAAATAAATTTTTGCTTAGTTTTTTCGATGGTTTTTTTGTGCTTTTTTTGGAAAACGGAAATTTGCAATTTGGTAATTTTGCTTTAGGCTTTAACTTATTAAGTAAAAGCGATAAGGTTTTTTTGTATAGTGTTAATTTGCAAAGCAAAATTGTTAAATGCTTGGCTTGTTTCGAATTGCAAGCGTTTTTCGATGGTATTAACGCGTTTCGCAACGGCGCTTTTGTATACAATTCGTTTTTTTTTTTTTTTAAAAATTGGGCAATAGCTTTGTATTGTTAATTTGCTTATATAAGGACGGTACGGGTAAAATTACGAGCGTGGTCCAAATTTTTTATTAAAACGTTAACGCGTGCTATAAAGTTTTATTTAAAATTGCTTTGTTATTTTTCGACCCGGGTAAAGCGATTTTTACCGATAAGCTCGAATCTTATCGCAATAAGTAAGGTTATTTGCCGCGAATTGATTGGTTCGGAAAAAACGCGTGGCTTTTTAAAAGCAAAAGCAAGTTTATTGCTTAAAGCAATAAACGGGTTAAAAGATTTAACGGTAAGCTTGGTGGTTGTAGCAAGCGGTTGCGAAATAACCGGCTGCGGGGGCTTATCGGGGTCCGTTATAACGGCAACCAACGCCAAAATCGGTTTTTAGCGTAATTGTTGGTCGCGCTCGGCCTTTATAAAGTAATAAATGCAAATTCGCAAGTTTTAAACGGCAAAGCGGGTGCAATACCTATAAAAAAATATGGGGCCGCTTATTTTAGCAAGGTTTTTTTCGTCCTTAAAGGCAAATTTCGGCGAGCCGGTTTGGTTATTTGCTTAAATGCGTAAAATCGCAGCAACGCTATTAAAAATTTGCGCAATAAAAAAGGGAATTAAACCTATGGAAATAGGTAATAATTAAAAATAATTTGGATTAACGATACCCTTTTTTAACAAAGGTATAAATACGTTAAAGCAATCCCGAAATAATAAAAAATTATTTATTACAAAAAGATTTAGGATTGGTTTGGGAAATGCCCAATATATTAATAATTTTTTAAAGCCTTTAAAAAATGCTTAAAAAAGCAAAATTTCCGGCGAAAACTTTAAAAGATAAGCCTTTTTTATATAGGCTATTTGGGCGCATAGGAAAAATACGTACTTAGGTCGAGGGGAATAAATTCCCTTTCGGCCGGGCGCGTAATGCATGCGGGGTCCTTGTAACCCCTCCAGCCGGCCCAACCAACGCCTAGCTTCCTATCGTTGTCCTGTGACTCGTCCTGTTGGCCGTCCGTTCGGCCTTTCTGGGTCACTGGTTCAATCCCCGTGTGACAGCGGCGGCCAGGGCTGCGGTGGGCGCTGCGTCCCGGGCCGGGGCTCGCGCAATTAAAGCAATCGATAATATCCCTTACGGCAACGTGCACATAAGTTTTATGGTCGGACCGTTAATAATTAAAAATGGCGTTCCCCAATTTGTAACCCCAATCGTTTCGCCTTTTATACCCTTTATACCTTTTTTGTAAATTCGTTTTTTTGGATGCAATAGCTTGCTACCTTTTTTTTGTTCTTGCCACTTAGGTCCAAAGGCGGGGTGCTATTTTCCGTCCGAAACCGGCTCCAGCTCCATCCAGTGGGCACGCCCGCGAGCTCAATGAAGGAATGCTATGCGCCGTCCCGATACGGAGGCAGCCTTGGCGAATCCGGAGTAACACTTATTAATTCATCCTCCAACGCGCAGGCCACCGCTGGCATTCATGACTCAGCGCTTGTAGTCACAGAAAATCTGCATCTAGAAACTGTGAGATCGCGAGTGAAATAGATGGTGAAAGCGTCACGTCTGTGCCATGTGTACACCGAAGGGTGAAAGCGGATGCCTTCCTGGGCTCCTCCACAGCCGATGATCACCCCAGGTGGCGGGTCGGCAATGGCAATATGCAACGAAAGCAAACGAGAGAAAGAACGGCGGAAAAGGGCCAAAAAAGTCAGGTTATCTACCCAGGTAAGTAGCTAATCCAGAGAACGAACAAAGAACAAGAAATCCGAAAAGAAAGAAAACGTCCCTTGGGTCAAGCCCCGTCGTGAACTCACCCTCAAACGCCGACAAACATCGAGAAGCATCCTGGCGAAACCCCTATCGAACCACATATTCAAATTCACAAATTCCGGGACGCGGTGAAGACTGGAAGTCCCATAGACCATATCCATGTCCGGTCTGCGGTGCGTATGGCGGCGGCAATGGCACGCACAACCAGGCAAAACCTTGTCCGACGCCGGCAAAGCTGGAGGCTGCGGATTTCGCATCCTGCTGCTGCTGCCGCTGCTGATACTGCTGTGCGCCGCAGAGCAAAAAAAGTTAGCATCCGACGCGACTGTAGCAATAGACACGAGTGCACCGACCTGGTTGTCTTGACAGTCCTCAATGTGCTTGAATGACTCAGGGGCTGCGGCCGATGCTCCAGCCCAAGGGAAAACGGGCGAGCAGCTTGAGGCAGCGGAGAGCAGACTGTTCAGACCGCGCCCGGGATGACACCTGCCTGTTCCATGCAGCCCTTGTTAATCCCAGCAGGTGGCCCGACTGTCCTTGTGCTTAGCAGACGATGAATCTGGTGGCTCAGTGGAAACTGTGCAGCAAAGGGAAGAGGGGTAGCAACAAGAAAGAGAAGAGGCAGGGGCAATTGTGATGGTGAGCAAAGGCGAAAGATGGAGAGCTGGCTTACTACAAGTTCATGTGAAAACGAGAGGGATGATGAACTTAGACGAAGTCCCACGAGCCCTGGACTCGCGGCCGAAACCGGGGTCAGCGATCTAGGCAAAGGCGCCGGCACAAGATCCAGGTCGCCGTGGCTCATCTGGCGTTCTCGCCGGAGCACTCCGTCGGGCTCAGGCCAGCATCGGTTTTCGACGGGGGATAAAGGCTGGCCGCAACCGACGCAGTGGTCGACGAGAGTGACTCGGACCTCCTTTCTGCTGCTGCTACTACTAGTGGTGGCAGCGGTGGTGATGGTGGTGATACTTCTTCTTGTCGTCGTTGCTGTTGCTGCTTCCCGCCCGGTGGCTCGGGGTCGAAGATGGATGTGGAGACGGCGGCGACAAGGTCGCCATCGCCGGGGTCTAACCACACGCACCGTGGCCGGGGCGACCTTCCCGCTCCCGCAAGCCGGCCGCCGCATTGGGATACTATCATGGCATCCGCATAGGCGGTCTATGGCGGGCGACCGGCTGCGGGAGCCAGCAGGAGGGAGGGCTCGCCCCGGCGGCAAAACCGGGAAGCTAAAGACCCAAGAGTGGTATGTCAGCTCGAGCCGTGTCGGAGACGACCAGATGTTGTCAAAGTGCCGTGTGCAAGACGTGCAGCATGGGCTGGTTGGCTGGATGGATGGATGGGCAGAAGATATACCTCTCGATGCCGTTCATGCGGCTGCCGTGACCCTCGCACCCTATTGGCCCGGCCAGTACTATAGCATCCGCGCCGTGATACTGACCGGGGCGCAGGGGCTACGGCAATAAACGTGTCGATGTAGACCGAGTGGTGATGGTGGTAATGGTGGCGGTGGTAGTGGAATAATATCGAATAATTATTGCCTTTACCTTTAACCGCGGATGCACAATTAAAAGACGGCATGCTTGACTGGGTTCCTTTTTTCGGCATGCTGCAAAATCGGATGAAGGGTGATGGTCCTACTGTGGATGTACCCTATTGTTTCAATAAGGATCCTATTATGATACCCAGGGCAAATCGTCCAACAAATGGATAAACACTATCCTGAATGGGTGATTGGAAGATCAACGGGAGGGACTCGCTCCTTCCGTTTCTTTCGTCCAGATTCCACACGTGCCCGCTATCTCCCCGACAGTGCGGGAACCGTTTCTCAAGGCGCATTCGCGGTTGGTTCATGGGAAGGCACGTTCTCCATGTCACTGTCTCCGGTCAGACCTCGGGCTGTCAGTAACCACTTTTGCACGTCACCTCCGCCATACTCAGATCCCGCTCACCCGAATTCCCTTTTCAAAAGAATACGAGGAATCACTATTAATATTCCAGATCTGTGTGTTGACTCGGCACAGAAATATACAAATTGACCATCCGCAACACCAACCGCTTCAACCCGCTGCAGTTACTCGCCCACCTCACATCCTGTGCTGACAGTCAAAACATCACAAGCACACAAGCACGCCCATTTCTTCGCCCATCTTTTTATCCCAACATTTAACCTTTTCGTCTCACGCTTCGCCATTTCCGCAACACAACCGGGCGCGCAATAGCGACGCTGTTTTGAGCAGAAATTTCGCAAGCGCAACAGCTGGCTGCTTAAAAAGGGCCTGCGATGGCAGAAGCCCGGGCAGCTCCAGGCTCCGGCCCAGAGAGCAAGGCCGAGGACGAAGAGCGGGAGCACAAGACCATGGAATCTACCATGGGTCCCTTTTTCGCCGCGCATATGATCGCCCGCAATCTGCTCAACAAGATGTCGGACACCTTCCCGGTGGCAGGTTCGCCTTCTGCCGCGGAGGTCGAGATCATGGAGGCGGAGCGGCGCAAGCAGGAGGCCGCGCAGGAGGCCCAGCGCCAACGCGCCAAGAAAAAGTACATTGAAAGCCTCGGTGTCGACGCCAACGTGCCCGCCATCATCCACTCGCTCCAGAAGGGCAGGATGGACAAGAACAAGGAGATGCAGACATTGCTCGCCGCGGAGAGGGCCCTCGACGCGGCCGCCGACAGCTATGCCACCGCGCAGCAGGGATTCAACCCTTACAAGCGGCGCCGCATTACCAGCTCGGAGCTCATGGGAAACACCAAATATTATATGGCCAAAACGCCGGACTCGCTCCCCCCCGACCTCGGCGAGCTGTCGCTGAGCACGCGCTCGTTCAAACGGCGCAACCGGGAGGTGAGCGCCGGCAAGCGCCGCTTCGACCTCATTAGCTCTCTCGCCTCGTACAACCTCTTGACGGCCGAGTTCGTTAAATATCTCCACCCCCGCGAGATCCTAACGCTGTACTCCATCAGCCGCGTTTTCCACGCCACCTGGAATGCCACCGAGGACTACTTTGCCCGCATTTTGGCCAGCCATTTTAACCCCCAGGCCGCCGTCGCTTTCCCTTGGGAGCTGTATAAGACCTACCTCGTGCGGAACCCTAAGGGCTATATCGACATCGACTACACCCACCCCAGCTACTCCAAGGGCATGGATATTCAGACCTTGACGAACTGGGACAAGGTGGTTCTGGCAAAAGGTGACGCGCCCATTCCTGCCCAGAAAGATCAGGCGGGATCGTCGACAACAGCTGCCAATAGCGCGTCGGTGGCGAAGCAGTCGGGGTTCTCCGCCGGACTGGCCTGGGTCTACATGCTGATGCAGCGCGAGCGCCAAACCCGTGACATCATGGCGTGCATGGCTCGAAAGGGCCATCGCCTCCCCTCGTCGACGCGTTGGATGCTGCGCAAGCTCTGGGTGGTGCTTGATTGCCCCATCACCCAGGGCCGCTACGACATGATGAAGGCCTGGAGCAACACCGATCTATATAATCTGCAGCTGTTCCTCGTTAAACTTAGCATGATGTTTAGCGACCCTATTCATGGAGGCGGGGCAGGAGACCAGCTCAGGGACCTTATGCTTGGCCAGCCAACCGGCCTGCGCTGTCTCTGGCAGCTGCTCCGCAGGAAGCGTTTCAGCCACGACCTTACCGAGGTTATCACGCTGGCGCTTATGTTTAGTTATAAGGCCACCGAGGAAGACATGCTGCGCGGCGAGCCGCTGATGGGCGTGCCCGTCAAGTTCCTCGGCATCACGCACACTGAGGGTTGGGGCCACGGCCCGGGACACATGGTGCAGCCCAAGGAACTGGTCGCCCGAGAGAGCTTGCTCCGCGGGCTCGGCCTCGAACTCCACCTTAACATCATGGTGGCATGGGGCTACCGGCTTGGGGTCGGCGGCAAACCCATCCCGCCCACCATCGACGATATCTATATGAGCGACGACGAATGCGGTTCGGCGCCGACCGGCATCGACGGCCGCGCCGGGAACGTGCCCCTGATGGCCTCAGATTGGATGCCCCACCACCACATGCGCCACGTCTTTAACACTTTGTCGCACGAGGAGCAGCTTGCTGTGCTGGCCGTTGAGGAAGATGAACTGCTCAAGGCCCAGGCCTGGATTCCCCAAGACGACCTGACCGACGACGAGGAGGGTTTCGGCAGTGAGGAGGACGAGGGCGGGTTCGAGGACGACTCACATGGTCCCAATGGCGGCAAGGGCGAGGACGACTTGGATCTTGATGAGGATGATAAGGCCATGCTCGACGACCCCCGAGACTACTTGGAGGACGGCGAGGATTTCGATGACTACAACGACGACGAGGGTGATGACGAGGATGATGATGGCGGCGGCCATGGCAATCCTGGATCTCAGTCGGCCGCGAGCACCGTCACTTTGCAGTTCCCTCTGGAGCCCTCCGCCGGACCTGGTGCCGGGGCCAGTGTCCCGACGTCCAACCCTTCCGGCAACAGCTTTGGTGTGCGCGGGCCCAACGGTACCTTTCTTGTGCCCCGAGGAGACCCTACCACCCGCATCAAGTACCTGGAGCCAAAAACCGCTCCAGCAATCTCCAGCTGCCCCTCGACTGGTCAAGCCGCTCAGCGACGGCAACAGCATCAGCAGCATGCGGCTCACATTCAGGGCGGATACGCAACCGGCTCCATCTCGTGCGGTACCCAGACTGGCCAGGATGAGGATGGAAGCTACAGTCCGGCCGCCGGGCTCCCGTCAAACATGGACACGGACCTGGACGTCTTCATGGTCCCCTCCGTCGACACTTATCCTGGAGACCCCAGCCTTGGACTCAACGGCAAGCCGATCGGTCATCTGATCGACTTTCTTGAGGCTGCCGAGGCCGCCCAGAACTATGCGTGCCTGGCGGAGAACCCAGACGTCAGCATGAGCGGCAATGATCACTGTAGGGGCTGCGTCTGCCGCGGCTGCGAGCGCCAGGTGATCGCGCGCCGCATGGGGGTGGACCTGGCGCAGCTGCGGGCCGACAAGGCCAAGGCGAAGTCCTACATCGAGAGCTTGTCGGCGAGCAACAGCAACTGGGGCCAGAGCATGAACCTCAGCCCGCATATGGTTGAGCACTACAGCCAGCTGTTCACGCGCCTTGACTGCATCCTCCGCGCGCTCGACATGATCCGCACCAAAGCCAAGGTCGGATTGCGGGCCAGGAGCGACGTCAAGGCCTGGGTCTACAATCCGGACAACCCCTTCGACCCGGCCGACGATGCGATCCTCCACATCGCGGTCCAAGAGAGTATGGCCGATGCGCCTGGTATCTTTGCTGCCGCAGAGCTGCACGAGCGCGAGAAGACGAGCAAGCATCAAGCGAGTGCCACGAAGGAGTATGGCTGTGGAAGTAGGCTCGACAGCAACCATGATGCCCTTCCCCGTGCGGAAGTGAAGGCTGCGGCGCCGGTCCCTGAGGGCGGTGCCGCCGCCAGCAAAGACGGTTCCGGGTCGAGCAGCGACGATGAAGAGAGCGGCAGCGAAGCAGACAAGGTGTAGAGGAAGACGACGAAGAGGAAGTCCAAGAAGAAGCGCAAAACCTACAGGCCCTTCCGCAACGCCGTAACTAGGCGCGAGCCGCGCGTGGAGGTTCTGGACCATCTCGGCGACGAGGAAGCATCGCAGTTCCCGCGGGAGCACTTGCCCCATATCCTCAGCGACCAGACGCTCCTGCAGCCGGCCACTTACATCTACGACTCGCTCGGCCCGGACCGGAACCCGTACATGCTCCGTCAGTGGTGAAGAGGAGAGAAAAGATAGGAAGATAAACAAACGTCGTGGGCAGCTCTGGGCTGGCTTTTCTTTCTTCATGTAGAGATAAGGGGAAAACAAGAGGTCGGTGGTCGGAGGAGAGGGCATCTCTTCTGGGGCTTGCTTCCCCTGCCTCACGCAAGGAAGAGAACCTCAGCCCCTCTCTTCGAATCTTTTTTGTATGTTCATAGTCTTACGTTATCACCCGCATCTATCTTTGTAGTGTATTCCACTGCTGGCAAGCTTCTAGTGTTGATTGGTATCTGTCCCTCCGTATCTTTCCAGGCAAGAGTGCCATTTTCGCCTGAAGTCTCTGCCGCCTCAGCTCGCATTGACACAGTCGGGAGAATACTAAGACAGAAGAAGAAATGATGTCACCAGCACGTGGGAGAGTGCTATGAGAAAGAACGAGGGAAATAAGCCGTCAATATAGAGTGGAGAGCTCAGCTACGCTCAAGAAGTACGGTGGCTACCTCGTCTACAACTAAGTGACATCATGAATCCCCAAGCCCAACCAACCTCGCCCTTACTGCGACCAGCATTGAAACTCATATGCTTCCTCGCACCAGTCTGTGACAGAGAATCCACACGGCAGAGCTGCCAGGTGCTCCGAGATTGTCTTGCCCAGCAGGGAGCTCCGTGGTGGGATCGTATTGGAGAAACGCAACAGGGTCTCTGTGGATGACCAGGAACATCAGAATTATGGGTTGAGAATGGATGGAAACGGGAGACCGGACGGGTGGAGAGCGTCGGTGAGGAATGATAGTGACGAACCGGATATTAGTCCAGATGGCTGTGCTAGAGCGGCAATCCTCCTGTAGAGCAACCGAGGGCAGGAGATAAGCCAGGCGAGAAACGGTGAAGCCGACGAAAGGTTTGTGGTGTCGAAACTGAAAGAAGATTCGGGCGCCAGCTCAGATGCCTTGGCGGAGGACTTGCGCTTCCTGGTCGTGCTCGTGGTGGTGGCCGTGGTGGCCGTGGCGGTCGGAATGCCGCTGAAGAGCTTTTTTTTGTATCTGCAGACCTGCAACATGGATAAAAGGAAAGTCAGAAAATCAAAGGCAAAATTGTCTAGCGGTTGAGTGACGGTGCGACTGACATCGTGAGCATCGATCGCCGTCGGCGATGAGCTTTGAATCGTCCTTAGGGCTGTGTAAGGCTTTTTGTCCGCCTTGCCTTCCTCCTTCTTGAGGACCCAGGCTTCTTGTCCCTTGTCAAGCTAGCACACGTGGCGCATAGGTGGGTGAGAACTTGGGGTCAGGCAAAGGAGCGAGGTCCTGGAGATCTGAAGCTACAGGGAAAGGGAGTGGAAATGCTTACCATGTGCAGGCCAAAACCGCAAGTGTCAAGACCACAAGTCTTGAGTCACAAGGACTCAAACGTACAAACCGCACCCAGGCGGGGACGGGACTTCCTGGGGCGCGAGTCCCCAAGAAGTCCGGTTCGAAAAAAAAGAAGAAGAGAAAGAGATGTTTGGGGGGAGAGGGAGGGAAGACGGCCATTATATACCCCAAAGCGAGGCAGAGCCCCGCAATTTCCAGAGCGCAGACCCTCTGCTGGCCGCCCAGTGATGAGGGGAAGACGCGTGGCGCACGGGGCAGAAGCTCCGAGAAGCAGCATCTTGCCGGCCGAGAGGAGGGCGCTGTAGAGCTCAATACGGAGCGACGGGCGTGAGTAGACGGCCATGGAAGAGATCGTGGGCACCTGGTTGGCTAACAGGGCTAGGAATATCAGGCCACTTGGCTCCGGCTGGCTGTAGCCTACATTTAGGACTTCTAGCTGAGTGCACCACACCAGCTATACCTACTACCTAGGCATAATAAGGATTTTATGGTTAATCCACGCGGCAGGGTTTTTTACCGCGTTAGGTGGGAAGGCTACCCCGGGGAGGAAGATAAGATATGGGAATTATGGGAGAATTTTATAACGTAGTCCATTAGTGAGTGGGCCACATCAGCGTGTGGGCCACGACAAAGTTACGTGTTAAACGCGATTTTCGATACCCTTACTAACTCGGCCAATTTAAACCCAATCGTAACCAAATTTTAACAGGTTATATTTAACTACGTAGTAACTTTAATTTAACTCTTTTAAGATTTTTATAAAATTTTATTACTACCTTTTTAGGGCAATTTGTGTAACGATTTGGGTCAAGGCCCACAGGCCTTGACCCACAGACCAGGACCCACACGGTGGGCTATTATCAAAACGCGCTGAACGCGCGCCAAACACCGGAATCCCTTCTTTTCCTTCCCTTCTCCCTCAGATTAGAATCTTCGTTCGTAGCGCCAATTGACTACGTTCTAGTTCTCGACCATGGCCGTGACAGCGACAACGCTTTTGGCAACGTGCTCGAATTCCCCGAAGCCTTGCGCGAATTCGTTATAACCTAATTGCCCGAGCCGAGCCCCGAGCTCGAAAAAACGTCGGACGATTTTAGCAATTACGTTGTCGCCTTGCGCTCCGCCGCCCGTTCGCTCGAAACCGTTGTTATTAATTGCACTTTCCTAAGCGGCCGCCGCGCCGTCCGCATGCGCAATTTCGAAAAGTTTAAAATGTTACGCGTTAATTAAAATTATTAATTATTTGGCAAAAAATCCAATTGCGCCCGTTTGCATTCGGTTGGTTTATTGCCCGAATTTAAAACGTTTAAATTTTTTAACGAAATCGGTATAAATAATAAAGTTTTTAAGCTATTGGTTACCGTTATTAAAGTTAAAGATATTATAACGCGCAATTTTAAATCCATTATTACCGTTAAGGGCAATAACGGCCCCGTGCTTAAAAAGTTTGTAATTATTTGCAAGCAGCAAAGTATAAAGCTAAATATTATTGGTAAAACTTTAAATAAAAAGGATTAATATTATTTTTTATTTTTTCCCCCGTTTTTTTTAGCTTTTATTTTGGCCATGTTTATTCGTTTTTGCAATATATTATTTACGTTAAAAATGTATAAATAATATATAATAAATTTAAATGCTAAACGATGGGCGTTAAAAAAAAGTATTTAATTTTTTTCGGTTTGTTTTTATACGTTGGAACCGCAAAAAATGCATTAAACGGCGGGCAGGATAAACCATTACGATATACTTCGGTACAAAGGAACTTAATAAATCGCGTTGGGATTCCACGAAAAGCAAAGCATATGGCTCCAAAAAACGCTGCCAGCGTAACCGCCACCATGGCAGCGTCAACTTATGGTAGCTTGTGCGACTGGTATTAATTACCAATGTAGCTTGGCTTTTATACAATGCCAGTTGCAGGCCAACAACCCGCTTAGTTTCCGCATCCACTTCCGCCACCTCCATTTCCAGTTCCGAAAACCACCCCACCGCCGCATCCTCCACCACTTCCGTTTCCGGAACCTCTTCCGCCTCCTCCATCTCCGCCGTTTCCTTCGCCGTTTCCAGTATCGGCAGGGACAAACCCGTTGGCAGAGAACGCTTTGCCGGCCGCAATGTAATCCGCTCCCGCGTTAACGTTGCAATAACCCGCAGCATTGCACACGCAGTCGCGCATGCCTTCCCTTTCGCAGTAAAATTGCGCTTTGGACCCGTTAAACCCTTCCCAAACGACGTCCCCAGCCTTATAAACCTCCCCTTCCTGCCCCGCGCCATCGTTCCCCGTTGTTTGCGCCGCCGCCGCTCCCGGGTCCAGTACCCCGAGCCTTCCGGGATTCTGCCCGTTATTTTGTCCCCTGCCGCCGGGCCTTTGCGCCCGCCGCTTCCCGCCTTTCCGCGCCGCCTTGTCGATTACCCCGTCCACGTCCACGGCGCGCGCGTTGCGCAGCGCCACGTACGCCGCCACCTGGTTGGCGGGCGCCAGGTCCGCCCAATCGGCGAGCGTGCAATTGTGCAGCATGGCGTGCTCGTACAGGTGGCCGCCCGGCCGGCTGCGCGCGGTGGATGCCGGCGAGCTTAACGCGGTCGTGGTCGACGACCACCACGCCGCCGTCGCCGCCCTCCCAACAGCAGCGGCCCTGCTTTACTACCAGGCGGCCTCGCTTTTTAAAGCAGAGCTTGCGCGCGCGCCCGCTGCCTTTGTTATCCGGGAATACCAGCCCGCGCGGCGTAAAGTTCCACCGGCACGCGTGCTTTAAAAACCGGCGACCCCCGTATAGCCACCGCCACCACCCCGAGCGCCTGTATCGCCCCCAATACGCCCAGCTTATTGTGCCGCCACTCGTTAAGGCTTAGCTGCGCCGCCGCAGCGTCCCTAAAGGGAAAGGCGTAAAACCGCCGCTCCCGGCAAAGGTGCAATTGTACAATAAACCAGGCGTTAAAAGGGAATACCCAAAAGTGCTTTGCGGGGCTGCAATTTCCGCACCGGACCTGCGGGGCCTCGGCTTCCTTTTTGGCCGTACGCGCTTTAGTGCAATTCCAAAAGGAAAAGGCTTTAATGCGGGAAAATGGGCTTCCGGAAACCGCCCCAATCGATTTAATGCTTTGTTAAGCTATTAACAATATCGGTATCGTTATAATGGCCGAAGCGCCGGTACCGCAATAAAAACTTTTTTGTATAGCCGTTAACCGCCGCCGCTTTTAAAACGGGCATTATTTTTTTAAAGAACCCGTTGTAACAACCAATCCGGTTAACGAAATTCGCCAAGTAAAGCGGGGGAACGCTTTATTTTAGCATGCAATTGTTATTGCGTTTATACAATATAAAATTGTTAAAAACGCGGCGGTTAATAACGGCGTTGCAAAACCAATAGCAATTGTTATCGAAAATATGCTACGTTAAATGCCCGGATTTCGTTGTTAGCTTTTGCCGTTTTATAACAATGTATATTACGCAAAATTTATATTACTAACCAAACGGTATGTTCCGGTTTAATAGCTTGCCGGTAATAGCGCAAAAGTAGCTTTTTAAACGCGCGTAAAGCAAATTTTAAATATTGCGCAAAATTTTGCTTTTAAAATTTACTTTCCTTTTTTCGTTAAACCGGGCCGATTTTTTATAATTTTCGGCGTATTTTAGGCTCGCTTTGGCTACGGCCTTAACGATCCTAGCCTTTATGGAGGTGTCCAAGGGTCCTCTTACGCCCCAAAACGGACTGCCTACAATCTGCTTCATGAGGGCCTTAACCCGCCGGTATTTCGGCAGATGCTCCTTGGCGAACCATAGAGACGACTTGTTTCCGCTTAGGGCCACCGCTGATGGATCTGGGTGCATGATATGCAAAGGCTACAGTACGTTCGAAAAATTTGCGAGTAAAGCCAGGGCGCCTCGGCACGTGCCGGGCTTCTGGCTGGAAAAGTGACTTCTTTGCTTGCAGGTCCCCCTGGGAATCATCTCTGCACCTCCTCGTACCTCTGATGGACTACGGTTTATCATAAACTTCTTGAACCAAACACGGCATAAAGGAGACTACGGACTACCTTCAGTTGTACCTGGAGATATGGACCGGGCGTGCCTACTTCGCGGAAAGCAAGCCGTACAGTCCGCGCTGACGGGACTGCCCGCATGTGGTAGCATTATGTCTCTCCAGCGGAGGGTATATGGCTAGCACCTGCAAGGTTTTTTAGAGATGCGGTTGGCCGATAATGGATCAGGGCCGGGGATGTCCCTTCCGCTTCTGGAGTGGACTAAAAAAATTGAGGGTCAGCTACATGCCAATGAAGAACCCTTTGTTGCCTCCGCCACCGAATTTCCTTTTGCAATCCTCCACAAATTATCGCCTTATCGCCTCCAATCTATTTTCCGTTCATATTCGAATCTTTCGCTTTCGACGCGTCGCATCATCAAGGTGCCCCATCCGAGAAAATGTCATCTTCTGCGAGCCTCTCTGATGGCGAGAGAATCCGCCAAATGATATCCAGCCTTTCTCCGGATGCAATCGCACGCCTCATCCCGCAAGAGAAGATCAAAGAGCTCCTCAGGGCGCAGAAATCGAACGAACAGCCTCTGGAATCCGCCGTGGTCGCAAACCAGCCTGCCTCAGCTGTGTCTCGCAAGAAGAAGAAGGTCAACGGCTTCATGGCATTTCGCTGTGAGTATCTCTCTATCTACCTACCTCTTCTTCGGCTGCTGACCTATGCTTTTAGCATACTACGCCGGGATTTTCTCAGACCGCCCTCAGAAGGAGAGATCACCTCTCATCACGACTCTGTGGCAGACGGATCCATTCAGGCCAAGATGGGCCATAATGGCCAGCGTCTTCTCACGAGTGCGAGACTTTGCTGGCACTACGAAGGGCCGCATTGTCATGTCGGGGTTTCTTCGGGTCGCCTGCCCCCGGATGGGCATCCCGAAGCCCAGCGACTACCTGAGATGTCTCAACTGGCAGGTGGTTTCGAGTGCAGCAGCAGGGTCTAAGACTAGATTGGATCTCACTCTTCACCAGACCGCCGTGCCTCCAGTTGCCGACCAAGTTCAGGTGCCCATGACCGAGCTCGAGCTCCTGCGAGCTTGCCTCCAGGGTGGCTTTCCATTCGAAAACAGCTCCCAGCTTCTGAGGCAGATGGAGGACAGCTCTGTGACCATCATGACCCAGACAGCTCCGCCTTCTGGTGATGTGCGAGCTTCGAGCAGAGAAATCAACCAGGAGTACACCAACACCCTCATCAGCGATCCAACCGATACGGTTGCTTCCCTTCTTTCTCCCAACGGGGATATATCCAACTTTCTGGTCGACATTCAAATCATCCCCACTTTCCAGGCCCAAGATACAACTCCAATCCAGCAAGACGACACAGCACCCCCCCTGCAGCACAACATGCTCTTCGACGACATGCTCTTCGACGACATGCTCTTCGACGACATGCTCTTCGACGATATCTCAGTCGACTATTACGGCATGCTTCCTGCCTCAGGCCAACTCCCCGCTGGCCATCGGGACACACCGTTCGACTACTCGCACTCCACAATAGGTCTCTGGTAGCTGAGACCCCGGTCGCATTTCAACGACACAACCCCACGAAGCCACGAACGGGATGGACCTAACGCAAGCGGACTTTGGAGAGAAAGAGAGAAAGAGAGAAAGAGAGAGAGAAAGAGAG